ATCAAGAGGCACTTTTTACAGAGGGATAGAGAGAGGAATGCACGACGGGGAGAGGGAACTCAGGTCGCGTCCTGCGCCCAGTGCAGGCACCGGATCGTGGGAGACGACATTCCGGAACGGTAGGACAAACGCGGCGGCCGGCTTCCGCGCACCCCGCTCTCTGCCTTTGCAGGATCATTAGATCAGCGTAAACAAGGAACGTGAGGTTTTTAATTCTGTGACTTAAAAGACCCAGTATGTACTTCTGTGTGTGTTTATTAGTATCATATTTGAGTGCACACGTACTTGAAACTCCAGAGAGGAGTCATCCCTTTCAGACGTGCACAGGACGTGGAAAACGCACACAGGAGAACGTGCCGCCTTACAGAGTGAGCCTCCGTGAAGTCCAGCGCTTACTTAACAAGGGCCCGGGACGCATCCTGGGCCAGGATGCAATTACACTGGATTTACACTTTATTTTCTAATAAAAACGTTAGGGCAACGAGGGTAAACCTTGGAAATTCAACCACAAGAAATGCACAATGGCAACACGCCGTCTTAGAGAGCTGAGTTCAGACGGGAAATTAAAACTGCCCTTATAGACCATTTCTAAAATACCAATCAGAGCATCATGTTTCAAAACTCGTGGGTTGTGGCACAAAGGGTGTTCAGAGGGGCATTTCTGGCTTTGATGACGATGACAAAGTGGTGCTAGCCACCAGCCAACAATCTGTGCAGAAGAACTTATCTCCAGTATTTGTTTATCCACACAGAGTCGCTGTGAGGTGGCAACTACAGTCACCTCCATTATCTGGGCTTAAAAAAAAACTGAGTCACAGAAGGTCAAAGAGATTTTGAAGGTCAGACGCTTAGTAAACGATCGGGCTGGGATTTGAACCCAAGTCTGGGGGGATTCAAAGCCAGAGAAGGTAACTACTATGTTAAATTCTAGAAGGTAGAAGCAAATGTAAGAAAAACAGGGTGGGAAAGGCAGGAATCAGGCTCAAGCAGGAATAAGCACATCACAAGGCAAGCCAAGAGGGCAGAGGTTTTCACTGACCTTGGGGACAAGACCTTCGAAAGGACCGACGGAGCAGCCGTCCAGCCTGCAGCCCAAGCACCGCAGAGCGAGGAAGGGGGGGCCGTGTGCACAGGGCGTCATAGAAAAAGTTGGACACTCTGAGCCTCTAAGAGACAGTCTGGGACGCACACGCAGGAAAATCTGGGTGAAAGGGTAGTTTCACGACACAGTAAGTTGATCAGAATTGACAAAGGGAAATATTTTTAAAAATCGAGGAAGCAATGGAAAGTTTCAGATCACCATCTCAAAAGTGACGCCAGGGCCGAAAGACTTTATGGAAAAATTACTTCCAGCTCTTGAGGATTAGATGTCTCTACCCTGTCACGCTGTGTCGGGGAGTCGGGGGAGGCGCGTGGCCTCCCGGCTCCTTTTACGGCGCCCGCGAGACCTTAGACAGCACGAAGGGAGATGACAGGCTAGGGGTACCTGCAGGTGTGGGCACGGAGGTCCTCCGGAAAACGCCACTCTTAAAAGAATTGCACACTGAGATCTCACGAGACTCGCAACAACAAGATGTAGGTCGTTCAGTCTTAAGAAACCCACGCATAACTTCACATGGAGAAATCAAAACAGGCCGATCCGTGACGGTGCCAAGGAGCTGAAAGGCACTTAACAAACAACATCCGTGCTTGGTGAAAATTCTTCCCAAATTACCGTTAGCGGAGCATTTCTTTAATGCCATAAAAAATACTTTTATCTCAGAGTATAGCAGTCAATGTCCTCATTGCCAGAAAACACTAGCGGAATGTCCATTAATGTCTAGGGAAAGACCAGGAACACCTTTATGAGAGCCATTATTTACTAATGTTCTGGAGACTTGTATCAGTAAAATTAGACAATAAAATGTAGTAAGCAGTATAAGTGTTTTAAGAGTAAAGCAAGTTTATTAGCACGCTGCGATCACGTGGCTGGAAGCCCACGAGAAGCTGTTGAATGGTTGCGAGAATTAATAAGCGTGGAGCCATAGGCTGCCAGTCGTGAATGTATATGCAAGAGTCATAACAGACGAAAGCAATAACCAGCTAGAAAGCTTATGTTAAAGTGGTTCTATTCAAAGCAGAAACACAAGTGCTGAGAAATATGTAATTAGAGATCTTTAGAACCTCTGTGAAGAAGAATATAAAATTTGATTGAAGGAATTATGAATTTCCTCCCTTCGTTTCCTATCTCTGAGTCACTCTTAAGTTCAAGCCAGAGTTACCCCCTGGGCTGGGGTGGCCGCCCTTCAAAAAATCGCCTTTGATATTGGACCCTGTCAGAGAATTCAGAAATGTAAAACACATTTCACCAACCCTTCGCCACGCGGCCGCGCCCCTCTGAGAGTCCTCTGGGAGCTGAGGGCCTTTCATCCGCGTGGACACGCGGTACCTCTGCTCCCGCAGGCATGGGCCAGCGCTGCCCCCACCGGAGTGGGCGGCGTGGGCGGTGGCTCCACACGTGCTCCTCGCTGAGTGGGGCGAGCGAAAGGGCCAGAAGCAGGAAGGCGGGTGGCCGACCGAGGGACCCTGTTCCCCAGGACGCCGCGGGGGGCCGTGCGCGCTCCTCTGGCGGTGGGAAAGGGCTCTCTGTTTCTCGGCTCTCCGGGCCTACCCGTTGTGCACACGCAGGTACGCGCACGCACAAGTGCCCCGCAGGCTCCGGACAGGCCTGGTGGGCGGGGCACCCAGGGCTGAGGTTTGCAAACGCTCATCCAGTGGTGCCGGGGACCCCTGTACTGAGGGGCGGAGAGCACATGGGAGGTGCTGTGAAAGGTGGGGCTGGGAAGTAAAGGGCGTCAGTGAGAAGGAAAAATGGCTCTGCCTTGACCTCGCGGCGTCCCTGCGGCAGTAGAGCTGCTCGGCGGGTTAACACACCCCCTCAGAGTGCGGCGGGTTGTAGGCCCCCCCCTCCCCGCCGCCCCGCCGCGGGCGCGGGCTCCCAGCTCTGGTGCCCGTCAGAGGCAGAGTTTTGGTGGTTTTAGGGATGGAACAGACCTGCGGGCCTTGGCTCGAAAAGGAGAGGGCGTGAGGAGCGCGCAGCCCCCTCGTTCGGGAGGACAGAAAGGGCTGGCTGCTGCTCCACGTCCACCATTTGCCCGCAGAGAACACTTTGTTGCACTCTTCACATCCGTGAAGGCGGTAGACGTCACGTGAGGAAGCATTCTTACCATAATGGAAGAGTAAAAAGGTGGGAAGGGGGTAGAAGAGGCAGGTAAGAAAAGGCAGCTGTGGAGTCCACAGTTTTTAAAACACAGAAGTGGCTCGAGTATGTTTTCATGCTGATAATAAAGACCCAGCACAGAGGGAGAGGGCGAAGGTCAAGGTGGGAGAGACCTCAGCAGCAGGGTCACGCCCTGGCTGCGGTGCCGGCTGCTGAGCGGCACTGCATGGCTGAGTCCCGCTCTGCTGCGTCCGGCTGTGTGACCTCGAGAACAGTACTCCGCCTCTCTGCGCCTCCGTGTGTTTTTGGTGAAACGAGGCTATCGCTGGAACCTGCAATAGATCGTACGGGGACCGAATGGGTGAACCGCTACAACAGCGCTTGGTTCCTCATACGCACCCAGCGAGCGACCGTCGCAGCTGCTGTTACTGTCGCTGTGCCTTCCAAGGCTGCAGGGAACAGGTCGGTGTGGGGGGGCGACAGGCGGGCGAGCCTTTCGTTATGAACGGGCTGCGCACGTGTGTGGGGGTGGGTGGTGGCTGGATCCAGGGCTGGCATGTTGGGGGCACCGCTGCCTGACAAGTTGTATGTTTCTACGAAGGAGGAGGGGCATCTCGCGGTTAAGGAAGCGGAGTTTTGAGACAGCCATTGCTGAGGATGTTGGCTGAACCGTTTCCGTACAGGGTCAGGGCTGGAGGCCCCCGCGGTAGCTGTGTCTCAGGTGTGGGCGTCCCTGCGGGGCCCGGAGCCCTGTGGTCAGGCAGGCGTGGGCTCCTGTGGCGGGGTTACTCTCCTCCAAGGTGGAAGGACACCCAGGACCGGAAGTCGGGATGTTGGCCAGAGGGTCCTCGATGAAGTGGACCAGCGGTGACTTAACTTGCCGAACGAAGCACCAGGAACGCTGCCTGGCGGAGAGCAGGCGCGCTAATATTCGTTCATTCATCGCTATTTGTGGCTGCAGGTCGTGGGTGAATAAACCCCAGATAAACATAAAAGGCTAACACAGAACATAATAAATTTGGGTAACTCGGGTACTGAAACACAGGCTTCTAGGAAGAAGAAAATCTCTTTGAGGGGGCAGCTCTGCGGGAGGGTTTCTGTTTGACGGGGGCTGGGAGACCCTGCTTTCCCTTAGTCGGTGCTGCAGGCACACAAGCACCAGGACCGGCGGGCCGCGTGCCCCGCCACCTGCTGTGTGGGCAGCAGGGCTGCTCGGTGCCCGCCGGCGCCGCGCTGGACCAGCCTGCAGCCCCGCGTGCACGAGGCTCCCGGCCTTGCTGGTCGAGGTTCCTCACCTGGGAACCGAGGGCGCAGAGGGCGGGGGACTTCACATGGGCCTGCGAGTCCTGGGGGTCTCTGGAGATGCTGCGGGGGTCACCAAGGGCAGAACAAGTAGGCGGGCAGGGGGGCCTTAGTCTCCCTTTCGCCCTCTGACCTGCCCTGTAGACTGGATCCCCCGTAGACTTTTGTCTGAAAAATGGCGTTGGAGTTTAAACGTGTTACAAGCACTGGCCTGTCTGGTCTGTAAACCCCTCCCGTGGCGGACGACGCGCCCCTCTTCCGGCTCCTTGTGGCTCTGGGCGTGCACGTCTCTCTGTGCCTCGGTTTCCCTCTGGGAAAGCTCCGGCCTCCATAGCCTGGGAGGGGCGAGGGTGGTAACCGCCTGTGGTCACTGAGCCTCCTTTGGCCGACGGCTACGTGCAAGGGCCAGGGACGCTGAGGGACGGTCTCCCCAGGGCTCTCGCGAGCTCCGTTGGCAGTGGCGGCCACACCGCTCCTTCCTGTTGCCTCTCTCCTCCAGGGACTCGCGAAGGGGCGGCTAAGCCCAGTCCTGTCGCCGCCCGTCCGCCACGGGCCCGAGATCAGGAGAGGAAGAAGGCCAGCTTCACGTCCTCCCTGAGGATGGAGCTGCACAGCCGTTCTGCTCGGAGCAGAAAGTCCACAAAATTCCGGTCCATCTCCCGGTCCCTGATCCTCTGCCACGCGAAGACCAGTGACGACGGCTCCAGCCCCGACGAGCGGCACCCGGACCCCTTTGAGATGTCGCTGGGCCAGGGCAAGGAGGGGCTGTTCCACACGCCCCCGCCGCTGGCGGACACGCCCCCCGGGGCCGGGGCTCCGCAGGTGGCCGGCAGCGAGCGCAGCAAGCCCTGCAGGAAGACGTTCTTCCTCAAGGTAGGCCGCAGGGACTGCGGGCTGGCGGGTGGGGGGTGCGAGGGGTGGGCAGCGCTGGTGGCTGGGGCTGCAGGCGGAGTCCTCGAGCCCTTCCCTTCCCTAGGGGACCGCACCGGTTCTAACTCGGGACCAAAGCGAGGAAGGGTGGGGTCAGGGCCCCCAGAACGCCCGCCGTGGGCGCGGCAGGGAGTCCGGCTCAGTGGGTCTTGCCCGGGAGACTCGGGGAGGCTGTTTGTCAGCCCAAAGTCGGCTGAGCCTGGGCTCCTGCCGGAAGGTGCCAGGTGCAGGCGCCGGCATCGGCCCCCTGGGCAGCTGTCACCCGCAGGCCGGCCACTACGGCGTGGCACACCCGGCAGAGGGCCCGGGCGAGCAGGAGGCCTCATGTCCAGCCGGGTGGGGACCCGGGGGGCCTGCAGCGTGAGGCACCGGACACGGCCGGGGTCGGGTTTATTTTCAGGACAAAGTCCACGGGGTCAGTGGGTGGAAGGACCGGCGTGGCACAGAGGGAGAGGCGGCAGGTTTGCCCGCCTGTCTTGGCCGGAGCACTGGGGGGAGGGGCCGGAGCCTCCTGCCCGCAGAGGGGAGTGAGCAACGAGGAGGCGGTCGGGTGCCGCCACTGGCCCAGGGTGGCAGGAGCAGGCAGGTGGGGGGGGGGGCGTCCCAGCCGCTCCCAGCCCGGGCCACCGCGCGGTGGGCACAGAGTCCGGAGCTACGTCAGGGGCCGGGTGCCCGGGGCGGGCCAGGCGACCAGGCATGGGGCAGACGGGCAAGGGGCCGAGGCCAGGTGGACCCCTGTCATCTGTTTGCTTTCACGTGCGCCGTACTTTGCCTTAAAATACACGTTCACAGCTCCAGTCTCCTCCTCCCCAAACCCTAGGGGTTGGCGGCCGCAGCCGCACGAGTGTTGCGTGTTGCGGGGGTGGGGCTGGGGGCGGGCCTCGGTCCCAGGTCCCCTCTGCACAACTCGCTTCCCCGTGCTCTGCGCCCCCGGAAGCGAGCCGGCGCGGGTGACGCGAGCGCTCCCTCCCCGGCCTTCGCCAGGGCACAGTTGTGGTCGCCTGCCTGAGCAAATGTGCCCCGAACAGCCCCGCGCACCCAGCGGTTGCTTCGTGAATGGTACTACTTCTGTTTTAAGATGGGAACAGTGGCTGACGGGAGTAACTAGGTGCCTGCGGAGTCCAGTAGCCAAGGAGGCAGACCGAGGGCAGGAGCTGTAGGTTTTGCAAGGCTCACAGGCTCCTGAGAGGTCGCTGCCCTTCCAGGGCTCAGGCGCAGGGGTGGGAGGGGCGTGGGAGCGTGGATGGGGGGCGTGCGCTGTTTGGGGAGGGGGTCCCGCCGCCGAGGGCGGGGTGCTGGGCCGCATCAGGGGTGCAAGGGGCGCAGGGGTGTGACAGGGGCTCCAAGGCAGGGGAGGAGCCTGCAGGTCAAGCGGCTCGAGGAGCTCTTTCCCTGAGGGTGGGGCAGGGGCGACGCTCGTTCAGTTCCAGGGCGGCGCAGGAGGGACCCACTCAGGGCCTGCGGTGCTTATTTCCCCTTCGTAAGGGGCACGGGGACCACCTCTGGCCTGTTAATGGTTCTAAGCAGGTGAGGGCTTCAGCGGTCTGAGCAGGCCCCTTATTGAAAGTGCCAGGGCAGAGAGGTCCAGGGTGCCGGCCGGTCCCCGTGTCCCCTGCTCCGCCCCGGCGCCTGCCTGTCTGTGCCGGCGCCCAGGCGTGACTCGGTTGGCCTGGTCAGGCTCCTCAGCCTCCAGCGGTGCCGTGGCTACACCGATCCCCACACAGCATCTGGAAGGCAGCCCTGGGACAGCAGCCGCTCCTCTGGAGACCAAGTAAGCCGGCCAGGGACGTGCGCCCCGGGACACGCCTCGCTCAGGCTGTGGCGCAGGGCCATGGGCACCTCCTTCAGGGGGGCCTCCCAGACCCCTCGCGGAACAAAGGAAGAAGCGTTCTGTCGGATCTTCGCGAGGAGGGAACGCATGGACCCCAGACCCACTGCCTTGTTTAAATGGAAGGAGTATTTTAGAACATAAGGTGTCGCGGCCGCCGGGGAGGAGGGTTACCTGAGCTCGCGCTTTCCTCTCTGCGTCTCCTCCTCCTCCTCCTCCTTTTCCTCAGTCACTGGCACAGCGCCTGCTGGGAGCTGTCTTCTGGGTGTAAAGAAACACCTTTGTCACTAGTAATAGGATTTATGCTCTTCCCTGGAGGTCATCCCCAGAGGTGAGCGGGTGCGGCCACACTGCTGTGAAGTCTGCGCAACCCCAGAATAAGGGGGGCGCCCGGGTCGAGCTCAGGTCCGTCCTGAGGACGGAGCCGTAGGCCGTGCTTCCCTGGAGCGCCAGCGGGGAGCCAGGGCTGGGGCGCGGCAGGGGGCGGGGGGGGGGGGGGGGCAGAGGGCCGCGGGGAGGGAGCGGGCGGCTGGGCGGAGGCTGCGGTGAGGCAAGGCCCGTTCCCACGACCAAGCTGGTCGCGTGTCGGTGTTGGCGGGGGGGTCCTTTTAAAGAAATTGCTGCCTTCCACGCGGTGTCAGGGCACTTCCCACGCTGCTTCTGGGAGCTTTGTTTTTCATCTTTCACATTTGGACCTTAATTCACAGGAAGCCAATTTTTGTCTACATGGTGAGGTGAACGATAAAAGCGTTTTCCCCGTGTGGAGAGCCAGCGGGCCCCACGCTGTCTTGTGAAAAGCCTGTCCTTGCCCCCCTGACACAGTGTCACCTCTTTTATGAACCAGCGATGCGTCTGGGTCGGTCTGTCCCTGCCCTGGCCCTGCCCACCCGCAGTCTGTTGTTTTCCTCGCGCTGCCGTCACACAGCTTCAGCGCCGACATAGCTTCCCAAGGGTGCTGGCGCCTGGCCCAAGGAGAGACGTTCAAAGACTAATCCTCAGAGTGACGTCAAAGAGTTTACTGCCCGTGTGCTCTCCCGGGAGTTCTGTGGTTAGGGGGCTTACACTTAAGTCTTGATCCATTTTGAGTTTATTCTCATGTATGGTGTAAGAAGCTGCGCTAGTTTTATTTTTTTATGTATGTCGGTCCAGTTTTCCCCACGTCGTTCGTTAAAGAGACTCTCTTCATCTTACTGTATGTTCTTGCCTCCTTGCGCATGAGTTTATTTCTGGCTCTCCGATCTGTTCTGCTTAGCCATGTGTCTGTTTTTATGGCCACGCCATGGTGTTTTGATTACTATAGCTTTGCAGTATAGTTGGACATCAGGTAGTGTGGTGTGTCCAACTGTGTGTTTTTTTGTTGTTGTTTTTTTTCCACATTGCTGTGGCCCCTTGGATTTGTGGTTCCCTATAAATTTCTGGACTGTTTGTTCTAGTCCTGTGAAAAATGCCTTTGGTATTTTGATAGGGAGTCCCCTGAATCTGTAGATTGCTTTGGGTAGCGTGGACATTTTAATGATATTCATTCTTCCTATCCATGAGAATGGTATATGCTTCCACTTACTCTTCAGTTTCTTTCCTAAGTGCCGTATGATTTTCCGTGTCCAGGTCTTTCACCTCCTCGGTTAAATTTATTCTTGTGGGTTTTGTTTTTTGTTTTGTTTTGTTTTTGATGCAGTTGCAAGTGGGGTTGCTTTCTTAATTTCTCTTTCTGACAGTTCATTGTTGGTGTATAACAATGCAACTGACTTCTGAATATTTTGTTATCTGCTACTTTATTGAATTTATCAGTTCTAATAGTTCTCTCTCTATAGTATATTATCTGCAAATAATGACAATTTTACTTCTTCCTTTATACTTTGAATGTCTTTTATTTATTTCCCTTGCCTCATTGTTGGGACTTCAAATGCTGCAGTGGATAAAAGTGGTGAAAGTCGACATCCTTGTTTTGTTCTGGTTCTTAGGAAAACACTCTCAGCTATTCAGTATCGAGTACGTTGTTGGCTACGGGCATGTCATACATGGTCTTTATTATGTTGAGATGTGTTCCCTCTATTCCCACGTTGCTGAGTTTTTAAGCACAAATGGGTGCTGGATTTTGTCAAATGCTTTTTTTGCATCTATTGATCAAATACTTTTTATTCTTCATTTCATTTATGTGATGTGTACCAAGTTAATTGATTTGTGGATATTGAACAAACTTGCATCCCTAGAAGAACCCCCACTTGATGTTGGCGTATGATCTTCGTAACGCATTTCTGAATTTGGTCTGCTAATATTTTGTTGAGGATTTTTGCACTTACGTTCATCAGGAAGATTGGCCTATAATTTTCTTCCTTTGTAGCGCATTTGTCCGGTTATGGAATCAGGGTAATGCTGGCCTCGCAAACAGGGTGTGGGAGCCTTTTGCCCTTTTCAATTTTTGGATCGTTTGAGGATAGACATCAATTCTTCTTTGACTGTTTGGTAAAATTCACCTGTGAAGCCACTTGGTCCAGGACTTCTGTCTGTCTGGAGTTTTTGTAATCCTGGATCGGTTTCTTTGGTAGTCATTGGTCTGTTTATACTTTGGCCATTCTTAAACAATTATGCCTCTGTTTCCTCCCATTTTTATGCTCCCCCCACCCTGTTTCACCGGCTGGGCCTTCGGCGCAGCACCGCACGGCAGCTGCCGCCGCCGCGCCCGCCTCGCCCCGCTCCCGGGCGTGGGGAGTATCAGCGCACCGCAGACCAGTGCGATGTTCGCTGTGGGTTTTTAAATAAATGCTCTTTACCGGATTGAGGACATTTCTCTGCCTATGCAGTTCGAAAATAAATTTTATTTTTCCCCTCATGAACTGTTGAATTTCTCTGCACTTACTGAGAAAATCATATGGATTTCTCTACTGTATTCTTGTTAATGTGGTAAATTACATTGATTGATCTTTTTGAATGTTAAAGCAATGGTGCATTCCTGGAATAACCTCAACTTGGTTATGACGCATTATCCTGTCGTTATAACTGTGGGGTTGATATGTTAACATCTTGTGCATGACTTTGGCCATTTGTGTGCTGAGAGAGCCTTGTGAGGCCCTTCTCTGGTTTCATATTGCAGGTATGTTGGCCTCGTGAAACGAGCTGGGAAATAATTTTCTCTTTTTCATCCTCTGAAATAGTTTATACTTTTTCAGTGGTTGGGAGAACTCACCTGTGAGCCATCCGGGCCTGAAGATGTCTTTGTGCAAAAGTTTTAAATTACCATTGAATCTGTTTGAATAGATAGGGAAATATTCAGACTTTTTTTATTTCTCCCATTATCAGTTTTGGGGAGATGCATTTTTGTTCTAGAACATTTTTCATCTGAATTTATTAGCATAAAGTTGTTCATAAAATCTTAGTACCTTTTCATTGAAATTTTTATTGTGATTAATTGTAGATTTCCATGACATTTTAGAGACTAATGCAGAGATCCTCCCAGTCCCCCGACCCAAAGTAACATTTTGCAAAACTCTAGTCCAATATCACGACGAGCATATTGACACTGATACAACCCGCTCGCCTCACTCAGACTTCCCCGGTGACCTGAGTACTCGAGTGAGTGAGTGAGTGAGTGAGTGTGTGTGTGTGTGTCCGAAAGACGTTGGTAGGAACTGCGGTGATGACTGTTTTTCATTCCTGGTGTTGATACGTTGCCTTGGCTCTTTTTTTTTTTTTAAATCTGTTATTCTAGGAGTGTATTAATTATGTCTTCTCAAAGAGCAAGCTTTTTAAAAACTAAAGTCATACTTTCTTTTTTTCAGTCACGATCGTCGGATTTGATTTTTTAAATTTTATTGCTTGAATTACAGTTGACCTACAGTATCGTGTCGATTTCAGGCGTGGACATCGGCACCGCCCCGCACGCGGCCCCCGCCCTGTCGTCGGTGGTGCGCCCAGTGTGTGCGTCAACCCCTGCGACGGTGGCATCGCCCGTTAGTGCCGCTTCCTCCCTTCCCTTTCTCCCCCGTCCCCCAGCCCCCTCCCCCGCATCTGGCGACCATCAGTTTGTTCTCCGTGTCTATGAGTCTGTTTCTGTTTTGTCTGTCCATTTTGTTTTTGAGATTCCACATGTAAGTGAAATCATATGATATTTGTCCTTCTCTGTCTGACCTCACTGGGCACAATACCCTCTAGGTCCACCCACGTGGTTGCAAATGGCAGCATTTCGTTCATTTTCATGGCGGAGCCGTGTTCTGTTGTTCTGTATGTGCCGCGCCTTCTCACCCGCGTGTCTTTTGAGGCCACTGAGACGGCTTCCCTGTCTCGGCTGTTTGTCAGTAACGCTGCCGTGAACAGAGCGGTGGTTATAACTTTTCGAATTAGCGTTTTGGGTTTCTTTGGATAAGTACCCAGAAGTTAAATTGCTGGTATTTGTCTCTTTGTGTAGCTTTTGTTTTAAAACCTATTTTGTCTGGTGTTAAGTTGGCGACTCCAACTTTTTGTGGGTTTTTCGACTTTTATGAAATATTTTTTCCCTCAACTAGCCTTGGGTTTTGTTGCATTTTCTCTGTCCGAGGTTTTCTATTTAATGAATCTTAGCTCTTCATTATTTTTATTGAGGCCAAAGTTTTGTTCTCTTTTCTAGTTTTTGAGATGAAAGTTTGGATAGTTGATTTTTAGCTAATTTTTCTAATTTGAGGCTATAAATTTCACTCTTAGTAATGTCCTCTACCAACTTTCATATTCCCTGTTTTCACGGTTTTAGCTGGCTACCTCCGTAGAGAGCTATGGGTGTGTACTGTTTTTATTGTGATTTCTTTGTGACTCATGGTTTATTTAGAAATACTTTTTAGGCATGTGAGGACTTTCTGGGCTCTCTTTGTCTCTCCTTCTCTCTGTTAATTTCTGCATTTGTTTTTCTGTAGTGAGATAAGAGGACACATTGTACGTGACTTTAATCGGTGGGAGCTGGTTGAGATAGGACGCGAACATACATTATTGTTGCTGGATGCAGTGCCTGGATCGTCATGTAGGTCTGTCAGGTCAAGTTCGAGAATGTCTTCCATAGCTTTTTATCCGTCTTCCAATGTCCGTGTTGTAACAGTGGGTAAGGGCACAACTTAACATCTACTGTGATTTCAGGTTGGTTTGGGTCTGCGTCTGTCGATTCCTCAGTAGTTGGTCCATTGTTGTCCCGTAAGTTTTACACTTGGAATTCTCCTTCACCTTGCCCTCTTTTGGATTAATATATTTTTATTATTTATACTACTCCTTTTCTTCTTTAGTGAGCTTGTTATACATCTTTGCTGTTCTTTTCATCAGTATATAGAGTATATTTTTTAAATTCATTTTATTGTTTAAAAGATTTATTTATGTTTTTGACAGGGGGTATGGGAAGGGAGGAACGGGGCGAGAAGCATCAATGCAGAGTTGCCTCTCGCGCGCCCCCTGCTGGGGACCTGGTCCGCTGCCCTGGCAGGTGTCCTGACTGGGAATCGAACCAGTGACCCTTTGGTTCACAGGCTGGCACTCAGTCCACTCGGCCACTCCAGCCAGAGTGTAGTATCTGTTCTTAACGTATCAGAGTCTCATATAAATGAGCACTTCTCTCCGTTCTCAGCACCGAGACCTAAGAGCCCCGAGTCCCGCGCCCCGGCCTGCTTTCTGGCACCATCGTCCGGCGTCTCAGCTCTCCTTCTGCTTCACGCTGAGGAGCAGGTCAGGGCGGTGGCTCCATGCATGTGAGGCCGTCCGGGAGGCTGGCAGCCTGTGCACACGGCCCGGCTGGCATAGGTGTGCACCGGGCACGGCCTGGGGCAGTTCCGCTGGCGAGGCCAGGCCCGCGCGGGGGTCCTCCCCTCGGCCGCCCTCCTACAAGGCTTCTAAATACTTTGATCCATGTGGGAATGGCCTCAGTAGTTGGGGAAATTCTTCCCCCCTCACCCCACAAATTAAAAATACGGGGTAGGCAGAGTCCCCACTCCTGCAGCGGGACGCAGGCTGCGATGAGGTCCGATCGGCTGTCTGCTCTGTGGGTGTCTGTGGGTGGGGACAGGGTGGCCAGGCCCTCTGCGCGCGCACACACACGGCCTTTCATTCGGCGCCTGGGAGCAGCTCAGCCTGTGGCTTTGGGGCCCTGGCTTCCTTGGCAACTGGGAAACCCAATCCTTTGGCCACTTGCCTCTTCCTGCCACAGAGGAGCACCTCGGGGGTGCCGAGGGCCGCGGGGGGGAAGCTGGGGGCCGCGGGGCTCCCATGGGGCTGCGTAGGGGAGTGGAGCCGGGGGGCGTGTCCACGCAGGGCGAGGGAGCACGCTTGCCGACGTCTCCCAAGCTCCACACGGCCCCCGGGTGCTGTCCCCACGGTCAGAAGATGTTTGGAGCAGTGTGTGCCCGGAGCTCCCAGGCTCGCGCAGGAAAGGGCATGGAGGAAGGACGCGGGGCGACGGGGGAGACAGGGCGCTGGGCTCTCCGAGCCCGGACGGTGCCACTCTGCTCGGCTGCGATTTCCTGGCTCGGCTGGAGGCTTTGCTCGGTCCAGTCCTTCTGTGCGCTGGGGTGGGAAGAGCTGCTCTGGCCGGCCGGTGTCATGGGGTGACCATCTGCCGCTTGGTGGGGGCGGGGGTGCAGGCAGAGGCTGCCCAGCCCCAGGCGCTTCTGTCACCGGAGAGGGGCAGGGACACAGAGCGCTGGGCCGAGGGTCCCCTGCAGGCGGCGCCGCCCCACGTGCGCCCCCCTTGCGGGGCAGGGGCTGGGGCTGGGGCTCCCAGCGGCCTTGGCTGGCCCGCCCGCCCCTTCCTGGTGCTTGCCCAGGCCAAGGGAGCGCCGTTCCAAGTCTGCGCGCTGCCTTTGGCTGTTGCCAGTCCTCCTTGCGGGTCTCCCGGCACCTGGCCTGGCACATAGCAACGGAAAGCCCAGGGACCCGCACGGCCGGTCCCCAAGTCCTGAGAGGTTCCTGGCCGTTGGCCACGTGCCCTCAGCCTTTGAGGATCCTTCTTGTGTTGTCCGCCGACTCACTCCAGGCGTTTAGCTGTGAGCAGCAGGGAGGAGTGGCCCAGTCCCTCGCACGGTTGGACGTGAGAAGAGTGCCAGCCCCCGTGGACTTGCATTCCACAGGCAAGGGTCTGCGGACTCGCGAGCGCTGCAGAGAGGACGAGGCTCGTGAGCTCCGTAACCACGGCCGCCAGTTACGCGGGAAGCGGCTCAGCCGGCAGGGACTGCGGGCCTCGCCCGGCCCGCCCCGCAGCTCACCCGAGGGGAAGCTGAGCCCCCAGTCAGGGACAGGCCCGGGGCAGGGGTAGTTAACGCCGCGGGTCCCATGATCCTCTGTCCCCCGGGGCGTCTCTGGTGAAGACACTGAGGGGCTCGGGGTTTATTGTTTTCCTGTTTACGTTTCGCTAAGACAGCACTCCTCCAAGATCCGTGCGCTTGTTCTCAGCTGCACCCTGCGCCCGGCCGAGATCCCCGCGCGTGTGTGCGGACACAGTCACTCGGCACTTGCTGTGTTCACGCGACATTTACGCAGCCTCCCTTCCTTCCTTCCCCTTTACTGGCCGAATTAATGTGACTGTGAGTTAGTGGGTGGCCGTCCTCCTAACTCCTTGCCCCCGTGGAGCCTGTAATTTAGTGGAGGAAACACAATCTGACAAGTACTTCCAAGATCAGTGTCAAAATCTCTGTTTCCCAAGATCGTTTTTCGGTGTTAACCAACCTGGTGACTAAAAGACTGGGATTGTTTTGCAGGAAGCTTCTACAACTTCCTCTCGAGAGAAGCCCGGAAAACTCGAAGCACAGAGTAGTAACTTCCTGCTCCCCAGGGTCTGTCACCAAAGGACGCGCAGCAACTCCACCAGTAAGTGCCTCGTCACCGGCTTCTGGTGCCCGGCAGGGGCGCCGGTGCCGTGGGCCGTCGCGGGGAGGGCAGGCCTCTGCCGGGCCCTTCGGGGCGCGCCACAGTCTGGGGTCTAGTCTGCGCCTCTGTCTAGACTCTACGCGTTGGGAGGGTGTGACACAGAAGTCAGGGCTTTACTCCTGCTCTGTCACGTGACGTCCCCTTGGTCTTAGCAAGACCACTCTCCCCGAGGGCCTCTGGCACCCTGTTACGGGGCGGGAGGTGAGGCTGGAAGAGGCTGTGATTCTCGGTGGTGGCAGGGAGGATGCAAAGTCAGGAAACTGAGAGGCACGCGGAGAACCATGAAGACGTGAGACCGCACCGCGTGCTTGTACTAGAGATGCTCGATGTTAACGTTGTCGCTCATTTCCTTCCTTCGGTTCCATGTGTCTGTAGAAAACACACGCCTTTACCTCAGAGTCATTGGTGGGTACACGGCATCTCATTCTGCGAGAGGTAGTTAACCCCCTCCCTAGTATTAGATAGTTTAGGTCTTCTCAGTGTCTCACTCACATCGCCAACGACGGCGACGCACGTGGAGCTTGGTCCGAGCCTGGGCTGGTTCCGAGGGGAGACGGGAGAGGCAGGGGACGGGGCACAGCTGCCAGCTCGCCCTGGGGCCCTTGGCCTCCCCCAGCCGTGCTCCGCGTAGGGTGCACCGCTGCCAGTTAGTCATCGGCTGTGTTTGGGCCCCCACTTGCTTTTTTTTAATCAAAAATTTTTCCTTTTTTCCCCCTTAGCCCAAATTCCTAGGCACAGAGTTTAAAAATGTGAACATGCCTTAGACTCTGAGCTGTGCTGTGACGTGTCGGTCACTACCACTCAGTGTGTACGACTATCTAGTTCTTCAGTCGCCGCCCAGACTGGATTAGAATTTTGAAAAGTATTTGCTCTGCCGGTTTCTCTGTTTCCCACTTCCCTCGCACCCGTGGCTTTTCTCTGCCTCATTCTGCACTCAGGACTAGCTACGCAGTTTGTAGGCATCGCTGTAAAATGAAAATAGGAGACTCCTGTTCAAAAATTAAGGATTTTAAAATGGCCACAGCAGAGCATCGAGTCTCCAAGCCGTGGCGTTGCAGCCCGCACGGCCGTGAGGCCAGCACCGTCGGCCAACTCACGGGGGCGGCGGGGGGTGGGGGGTGGGGGGGCTGGGGAGGTGGGGGGGGCGGGGCCCGCGGGAGGCTGCGGGGTGGAAGCCGCGGCCCCGGGGTGCGTGCTCCCGGCCCTGGTGCAGTCCTGGCGGGCCTGGGCCCAGCCTGGCTCGGCTCGTGGGCTCTGGTGTGCCCCTTCCGCCCTGGCCCTCAGCCGGGACGGCACGGCCTGCAGCTCTTGCCAGCCCCCGGGCCCCTCAGAAAGCCCCCTCGCTTGCCCAGGGCCCCCTGGCAACGGCCCTCCCCGCGCCCTTGCTGAGTCCTCCCCGACGTGCCTTTGTGACCCTGCCCAGTGCCCTTGCCGGTACAGCGGTGAGACAGAACCGCCACGCAGCGGGGGCTACACGCACCCGCCTTCATCAGTGCCCTTGGCGCGGGGCACCCGTTTCCGCTAGGTGATCATTGTTTTGCTGTTAACTTATAAAAAAGCCTCCTGGTTAAAGTGATATTTGGCCGTCATGTTTGTTGAACGTACTTTCCTCGGTTCATTGGTTTTCTCTCAAGTTTTTTACACGAAGATGTTTTTCTCTTTGTATGCTGGTCAAATCTATTGATATTTTTTTTCTTTCTAATGTTAAAATTTCTTCCGCATCCAGAGAACTATTAAATATTTGGCTGTATTTTCTTCTGGTTTTTAAATGATTTTTTGCAAACATTATATATCTGTAACTTACTTTGGGTGTTTGCTATGAAGCAAGAACCTAGACAGGATTTTTCCCTAAGTGCGTAGCTGGCTCCAGCATCACCTACGATGATCGGTTGCTGCCCATCTTTTTATTTCATGCTTGTTGTTATTTTGTTTGTCTCTTGCAAATAACATTCAGTTAGGTCTTGAAAGCAAATCTGGCGATCCTTTTACAGACAAGCTCAAGCTGTTGGTGTTAGTGTTATCAATCACATTTGCCTTTATTTTGATTTTTTAAATTTTTTTTTTTGGTTATTTGTCATTTGTTTTCTGCTTCTCGCTGTGCGTGTGTGTGTGTGTGTGTGTGTGTGTGTGTTTAATTTTTGCAGTAATGTGAAACGTTTATTCGATTTGTATTTTCACTGCTGGTTTCCTTTCAGTTAATAAGTTAGGTCTAATTAATGAATTGATACTTTAGACTGTTTTCCAGATCGTCCCTCTTCAGAGGGATGGTATTACTCGCCCGCCTGGCTCGCGTGGATGGGGAAGTGCAGGAGGGGCCGCAGACGCCCGGGCCTGACGGCACGGGGCGTGGGGGTCGGAAGGCATCTCCCAGATGCCGTTACGTGTTATCTATCGTGGCAGCCGTGTAGGTGTTCTGGACCGTATGCAATATGGTTCATCTTCCCTGTTTCCTTTGGTTTTTGTAAGGTGGCTCCTAGAAAGATGGAAGGTGCGTGGCCTCAGGGTTTCCGTGGGGACGCACTGCTGCGCACGTGAGGGCTGCGGCCTGCAGCCGCGCGCGGCGGAGCCCCTGGTTGGGGGAGGCGACCCCGGGTTCCCGGGAGAGGAGGCCGCCGCCCTGCCTCTACTTAGCTCCCCGGGGAACCCGGGGCTGGCTCCTCGGCCGTGTCAGGGGTGCGCGCGCCTGTGCGTGTGCGCGCAGCCCGCGGGAGGCCGTAGGGCCCCTGGGGGGTCACCTGCGTCCGCAGGAGGCCCCCAGGCTCCTCTGCCGGCTCTGCCCGTCCTGGGCGCCCTCTGCGCCTCCCCCGTCTCCGCTCCGTGGGGACTGACAGCGGGGACCGCACTGGACGCAGCGCGGGGGGGGGGCCGGGGGGAGGCGCGCGCGGCAGCTCCGTCTGAGGCCGGAGGCCGGCCCGTGGGGGCTGCCGTGCTGTGCTGTCCGCAGGGCGCAAACGCGTTCTCCCTCCTTCCTCTGCCGGCCCAGGTGTCAACCCCTACTGCACGGCCGGGGCGGACTTCCCGGGGGCCGGGAAGACGGCCAGTGCCACGGACAGGCCGCCGTACTCGCTCTGCAGCAGCAGGAAGTCCCTGTCCCAGCAGCTGGACTGTCCCGCGGGGAAGGCGGGGGTAAGGCTCCGGGGGCCCGACCCAGCGGGGGCGCGGTAGGACTCGGGGTGGCGTCCTGTCCACAGACCTGCAGGGGAGAGCGGCCCGCCGAGCGGGCGTGGCCACCTCCGGGCCGAGGGCCGCACGGGAGAGTCGCCGGCTGGGCGCCCCCGTGCGGCAGAGACCGGCAAGTGCGGCTGCCTGTGAGCGACCGCAGCCGCCCCGCAGCCCCGCAGCCCGTGTGCGTCCGCCCAGGGACCCCAAGAGGAGGACGGGGGCCGGGCCGGGTCCCGTGGCTTGTCAGACAGCGGGCGCTCGACGTGGGGTCCTCTGGGCTCCAGAACCTGATTTTTAACCCCTGCAGCACGTGACTTGACTTACACGTGCTGCCCCTCGTTCTGGAGACCAGCCGAGGAAGGCAGCGTATGGGCCGCATTTTACGGGGGGCGGGGGGCGGGACCCGGAAGCTGGCACGGCCGAGTCCCTCCCTACGAGACCCCGGGCGCTGGAATTCGAACCGGCCCCTGGCGGCTGCCCAGTCCGCGCCCCAGCCCCTCCCACTGCGGCCATCACCGTGCGGGGTGGCGGGGGGGGCGCTAAGCAGACGGGCACAAGCAGGCGGGAAGCACAGCGCCCCCCACGGGCCGCGGCAGCCTGCCCGCACCTCCCTGTCCCCCAAGCCCAGCCCGTGCGGCTCCCACGGGGCTCCCGTCGCCACTGCTGGTCACACGGCGCCCTCTGGCTGCAGCCTTGCCCTCCTCACCCTCGTCTGTGGAAACCCCACCCCACCCTGCTGCTCGGGCCTGTGTGCCCGGCGCACTGTGGGCTCTCCAGGGTGGGCTGCCGGTCACGCGGTCACGCGGTCACGCGGCGCTTGTCGCCGCGCGGCACACAGCAGGGGCTTGAGAATTTCATGCCTCCCCCCTCCCTCCCTCCCTCCCTTCCTCCCTCCCTTCCTTCCTTCCTTCCTTCCTTCCTTCCTTCCTTCCTTCCTTCCGTTACCGTGTTTCCTGGTCACAAGTGGGAAAAGTCGGCTTCCCAGTACAGACAACTTTACAGGCGGGGAAACTGAGGCACGGAGGGGTTACGTCACTACCCCCAGGTCACCAGGCGACAGTGACCGAGCCAGGAGAAGCGCAGTCGGTGGGGCTTCGAGAGTGGGCTCTGACCCCCGGGCTCGCCGTCCCTCAGCAGCAGCCCCTGCGCAGGGCGTGGCCGCGCCCCGCTTCTCCTGGGCGGGGAGCTCCTCCCTGTGCGCCCCCCGCCCCCGGCTTTCTGTCCTGAGTGTTCACGTCCTCGGGTTCCTGGCCCCTGCCCACCCCCTTGCCTGGCACACAGGAGGTCTCCGCGGACGTGTCTCGCATTCCACCGGGGGCCATGCCTGGCAGCCGGCTCTCCCGCCCTCGCCACCCTGGGTCCATGTGGCTGTGCCCGCGCCCCGCCCTGCCGCCTGGCCGCCCCTGCCGAGCGCTGGCTGCTGGCCCACAGGGGGTCGCGGCCAGCAGGGCCTGCCGGGGGCGGGGCAGGGGGGAGCCGCCACGCCCCACCGGGCAGCCACGGCCACTAGAGTGGGCCCTCGGGAGGGCGGGCGTTGTCGGCCGCCCCGCCCCGAGGAGGCGGGTGCTGCCGCCACCGACTCCCCACCCACTCCCCGTGCAGGGCGCCCCCGGGCCCACGCGGTCCCTGAGCACAGCCCAGCTCCTGCAGCCGTCGGGGGGCCTCCACGCCTCAGTCATCTCCAACGTCGTGCTGATGAAGGGCCAGGCCAAGGTAAGCGCGCCTGTCGCGGCGGGGACGTCGGCCACGGCCGCAGGCTCTGAGGGGCGGCTGTGTCAGAGGAAGCAGCGGTGGCTCTGGCGCCACATGTGGACACTGGTGCCCGTTCGTGGGGGGGGAGGGCACATGCGAGTCCTCGGCCCCCCCCCCGCCGCCGGTCCCCTTCAGCCTTCCGTCCGTGTCTGGGGAGCTCAGGTAAGGCCGAGGGGACACAGGTGGGGAGGCTGAGGCTGCTGGTCACTGGAGGGACCGCCCCCTCTCCCGAGCTGTGTCCACACAGCCCGCTTTCTGGCCGGTCGGTCACACGCTTGTGTCCCCCTAGAGCTGAGGGAGAAGGATTTAAAAATAGTTGACTTTCAGACCGTGTGCCGTGGTCGAGTGAACGCGCAGTGGAAAAGGGCACCAAGACTCTTGCAGCGACGGCCGAGGACGGGAGAACTGACGTCGGCCTGTCCGCTCCTGTGCCACGGGGCCCCCAGGGCGCCCGCAGCGCTGCCCCCGGCACGGCCTGCATGCCCTGGCCGGTCCCGAACGGGAGGGCCAGCGGGAGGGCGGCCGGCGCAGGGCCCCGCCGAGGGAGGGGGCAGGAGAGCCGGTGCGGAGGGGCAGCGGCCCCGGCCGCGGCGGGGGAGGGCGGGGCAGCTTCTCCCGGGAGCTGCGCTGTGCCCGGTAGGTGGCCCTGTGGCCACTGCTGTCAGGTGGTTTACGAGTGAGTGAGGCGAGTGAGGTCAGCAGCATCTTCCAGGAAGGACAGGTGAGCTCAGAGACAGGGGTGACCCGCCCAGAACTGCCCGTGGACGCGGGAGCCACACCAGCCTGTGCGAGACCTCCGGATGCCACACAGCCCTGTCGGGCCTCCAAGGCGCACACAGCTCTTCCCATCCCTTCGCTGATTCCCGAGACGCGTGAGACCGGAGCCACCTGCTGCCCCCCGAGTCCTCGGTCCGGGGCCGGGCCCTCGGGCCATGTGGTGCGATGACAAGAACGCGAGGCGGCGCGGCCGCAGCCTGACGTCTCCTGTTCCTCCCCCAGGGCCTGGGCTTCAGCATCGTGGGGGGAAAGGACAGCATTTACGGCCCCATCGGCATTTACGTCAAAACCATCTTCGCGGGGGGAGCTGCAGCTGCCGACGGGCGGCTACAAGAAGGTGTGGTTCCCAGCCGGCCCGCCAGCCGCTGGGCTGCAGGTCCCGGGAGGCGGGGCTGCCCCAGCCCTCAGAGTGCGGCCTGCAGGTCCCAGCTGTGCTCACCACGGCCCCATCCCCCGCGGGTCCTGGTGTCCACGGGCATCGCTTTCCTTCACTGTGCCCACCCTCTCTCCCTCCCTCCCTCCCAGCTGCAGGAGACCAGCTGCCGCGCACCCCATGGCTGGGTAAATGCCGCCCGCAAGCCCACAGCGTTCCGGGCTCTAGGGATGTAGAATTTCCAGGCAGGATCCCTCCTGAGAGGGGTTCATGGTCGGCCCGGCTGCCCGGCTGCCCGGCTGCCCTCCTGCCCATTCTCCTCCTCCGGGCTCCCCCGGGGAGGGACGCGTTGGTCGTCCTGACATTAAGGGGCCTGGGGACATAGGTGCCTCCTGAGCGTCCTGCCCTGTCCTCTTGTCCTGGAGGGACAGGGTGTTCTTCCAGCCCCAGCCCCACCCCGAAGGCCCGTTCGGCTCACTGGGCAGTGGGTTTCAGCCCGGGAGGCGGGGCTCAGGGTCGGTGTTCACGGAGCGCAGGGCAGCCCCGCAGGCCGGTGGCTCACCCGCGGGGGGTAGAGAGGCGGTGCCCAGCCCTCAGGCCAAGGCTGGGAGTCCAGGCGGGCGGATCTGCCTGGTGACCGAGCTGTAAATTGCGTAGGTGTGTATGAAGGTGGCAGATGAGGGGCAGGTCAGAGAAAACACGCAGGTTTCTGGTCTTAGTGGAGAGAGATGTCGTGTCGTGTGGAGTAAGAGGAGAGGAGGAACAGTAAAAGCAAGGGGAGTGAGGTCACGTGGGTGTATTTTCCATTTTTTTAAAATTGTTGGCATGCAGTATTTTGTCATTTTCACATGTGCAGCATTACGGTTAAACATTTATATAAATGATAAAGTGTCTGTCCTCTTTTTTAATAATAAAGACTTTTTAAAAAACTAGAGAGAGGGGAAGGAAGGGAGAAAGAGAGGGAGAGAAACATCAGTGTGCGGTTGCCTCTCGTGTGCCCCCAACTGGGGACCTGGCCCGCAACCCAGGCCTGTGCCCTTCCTGGGAATCAAACGGGCGACCCTTTGGTTCACAGGCCGGCGCTCAATCCACTGAGCCGCAGCAGCCAGGGCTGTTCTCTGTATCTTGAATTTGCTTCTGTTTTGTTTGTTCATTTATTTTGTTTAGATTCCATATATGAGTGACATCATAGGGTATTTGTCTTTCTCTGACTTACTTCACTTACCATAATAATACCCTCTAGGCCCATCCATGTGGTTGCAAACAGCAAGATTTCATTCTTTTTTTTTTTTTTTACAGCTGAATAATGCTCCATTGTGTATATGTATTACAACTTTTTTATGTACTCACTTATTGATGGACACTTCAGTTATCGCCATACCTTGGTTATTATAAATAATGTTGCAGTGAACGTAGAGGTGCATTTATCTTTTCTAATTAGTGTTTGGATTTCTTCAGGTAAATTCCCAAAGGTGGAATTGCTGCATCATAGGGCAGTTCCCTTTGAGTTTATTTCTGGGCTTTCTGTTCCGTTCTGTTTATCTGTGTGTCTGCTTTTACATCTGTGCCATGTTGTTTTGATCACTCTAGCTTTGTAGTATAGTTTGACATCAGGTAGTGTGATAACTTCAACTTTGTTCTTCTTTCCAAGATTTCTTTGGCTATTCAGGGTCTTTTGTGGTTCCATGTAAATTTTAGGCCTATTGTCGTTCTGTGAAAAGTGCCACTGATGTTCTGACAGGGATTGCACGGACTCTGGGGGTCGCTGTGGGCAGGATGGACTATTGATCGATGGGGCTGCAGGGAAGGGGGTGGAACCCAGAGGTGGACAAGGACCAGGTCAGGCCAGGCCACATGCGCCCAGCTCAGAACGCTAACCCCGCCCTGGCGGGTGCAGCTCAGTGGATTGAGTGCTGGCCTGTGAACCGAAGGGTCGCCGGTTCGATTCCCAGGCTGGGCACATGTCTGGGTTGTGGGTCAGGTCCCGAGTATGGGGGGGAGGGCGGCAGCGATGTGCGAGATGTTTTCCTCTCCTCTCCCTCCCTTTCTCTCTCTAAAAATAAATAAAACCTTAAGAAGACAGAGCGCTGATCCCCTGGAAGAGGCGCCGGAGGGGGCCCGCCACGCTGCGCCTGCAGCTCCCCCGGGGGGGCGGGGGGGCTACCAAACGAGACATGTCCTTGCGGCGCGCGGCGCTCCGTGCAAACGCCGAGCGGGTGGGCGAGGCCCGCAGTCAGGGCCGGGAGGACGCCCCCCGGGGCCCGCTCATCAGCCACAGCTTCTCCCTGTGCCGCCAGGTGACGAAATTCTGGAACTCAACGGGGACTCGATGGCGGGGCTGACCCATCAGGATGCTTTGCAGAAGTTCAAGGTGATCGTTTGTTGTCAGGACACCCCAGCTCTGGGCCTTGCCCCCCTCGGTCAGACCTACACGTCCAGAGTGTGGGGTCCGTCCATGGGCCGCCACGGCTGCTGGGGCGGGCCCAGCGTGGAAGGGTCTGGCCCAGAAAATAATCCTGTGATCAGGATCGTTCCGGGGGAGGAGGGAGCGTTTCGACTCCTAAGGGCTTACGGGTTGGTTTGACAACTTGCTGTGTATTTCTATTGCTGTGCCTACAAACCTGCCTCAGGTTTTAAAGGCAATTCCTAAAAGGCGATTGTGAGTCTCCGCCGAGCTCAGTGGTTCAAGACTCGCATCTTTGTACGCACCACGCACATGCCCTACGTATAACGCGTGCTCTCTGGGTACGCACACAATGATGGATGCGACACGCACGCTCACACGCACACGCACACGCGCGCCTGCTCGGGCGTCCTTTCTGCGCCTCGCCCGGCGTCGGCCCTGACGGCCGCGGCGCCGCTCTCTCCTTCCAGCAAGCCAAGAAGGGGCTGCTCACCCTCACGGTCAGGACCCGCCTGACGGCCCCGCACTCCCTGAGCGGCCACCTGTCGCCCCCGCTGTGCTGCTCCCTGAGCTCCAGCGCCTGCGCCGCCGCGGACAGCAGCTCGTTCCTCGCGGACGGCGCCGAGGCCCCCGCCGGCAGCCCCAGGCCCAGCTACAGGGTCCTGGTGGAGGTGTCCCTGACGAAAGGTAGGGTGCGCCCCCGGGGGCTGTGCCCCGGGCTTGCCTCGCCTGGAGCCGCTCCAGAGGCAGGGCAGGGTGTCTGGGAGCAGCTTCGTGGCCCATGCTGAGCCGGGGGACCCAGCGCTCTGGGTGCCGAGGGCTCGCAGGGGGCCCTGTCTGGTCCCGGCCGGCGTCCGGGGGCGGGGCCGGCACAGCAGCAGGGGGCCACGGCCCACAGAGCCCCTTCCCTCCCATCTTTTCCACTTGAACTTAACATCCCCTAAAAGTCGAGGCCACCACTGTGTGGCCTCTTAGCTGGCCTCCTGGTCTCCCTTCTTGACTGTTCCTACTCCTTTCTCTGTAGAGCATCCAGTGGCATTTGCAAAGCAGACATCAGGCCACACGCGCCCGCGCACCCTCGCAGCCTGGGGCCGCCGCCCGGGCCGGGCGTCAGCCTCTCCCTGTGGGCCCTGCCCCGTTGCCACGGCCCCGGTCCAGCCCCGTCCTTTGTATTTTAGTCTCACGCTGTCCCCCTGAGGCCTGCAGTGGCCGCCTGCCCTTTCTAGCACATCGCCCATGACACGCAGCCGTCCCTGCGCCTGCCCTCCCTCCGCGCCGTCGTGCCCCACGTGCACGCGCGTCCCCACCCCTAGGCCCCTGCGGCCGCCTCTCTAGCGGCACCCGGCGCAGCGGACGCTGCGTCAGTGCGGGAGGAATCCAGGCCATGAGGCGGAGGGGGCGGTGACCGGCATGACCGTGTGTGGGTGCCGGGCAGACGAGCGTGCCCTGGGGACCTCAGCCACCCCCCCGTCTGCCCCCAGAGGCCGGCGTCGGGCTGGGCATCGGCCTGTGCAGCGTGCCCTGCGTCCAGTGCATCTCGGGCATCTTCGTCCACACGCTCTCGCCGGGATCCGTGGCGCATCTGGACGGACGCCTCCGGTATGTCCCTTTTTCTGATTCTGGAAGGATCCCTGATTTATAACAGAAGGGGCCCCTCAGGCTGTGCGGAGGCTGCCGTGGCGGCAAGAGACTCCCCGGCCGGCAGCGTGGGACTCACCGGGGAGCGGGGCAGAGACGCGGGGTCGCACAGGTGCGGGCGCCGCCGGCAGGCGTGTGGCGGGGCTCGTCCGGCCCCGGCGGAAGGCGGCTCGGCGCGCAGGTCGGTGGTGCCGGCGGAACCGCGGGCCGGAAGGGGACGTTTTCAGGGCACCCCTCTTGTTACAGTTTTTGTTGAGTTGATCGGGGTTACGTGGGTTAACGTAATCATATAGGTCTCAGGGGTCCAATTCCATAACACAGCATCTGTGTGCTGTCCTGGGTGTTCGTCACCCCAAGTCCGGTCTCCGTTTAGCCCCTCCACCCTCTCCCGCCTCCCCAGCCCCCTCTTCCCTCTGGTCGTCACCACACTGTTGTCTGTGTCTATGAGGCGGCGGTGGTGGTTGTTGTTGTTGTTGTTATTTTTGGCTTAATCCCTTCGCCTTTGCCCCCAGCCCCCGCCCCGTCCCCGGTGGCACCTGTTCATCTGTTCTCCGTATCTGTGGTTGCGTTGGTTTGTCCATTTTGTTCATTGGATTCTACGTGTAAGTCAGAGCCTGTGGTGGTTGTCTTTCCCTGACTGGCTGACTTCATTTAGCACAACTCTCCCCAGGCCCATCCACGCTGCCGCCAGGGGGCACGTTCCCCCCCCCCCCCCGCTGAGCACTCCCCCGCCCTGCCAGTCCCGCGCTTTTCACCCCCCGTCCGCGGACGGGCCTTGGGCTGTGTCTGCAGCGTGGCGGTCGTCAGGAACGCTGCAGTGAACTAGGGGCGCTTACGTTCTTTCGGATGAGTGTTTCGGGTTCCTTCAGATATATTCCCAGCAGTGGAATCACAGGCTCAGAAGGCGGTTCCGTTGTTAGTTTTTTGAGGTAACCGCATGCTGTTTTCCACGGCAGCTGCACAGTCTGCGTTCCCACCAGCAGGGCATGGGGGTTCCCTTTTCTCCACAGCCTCGCCAGCACTTGGCATTTTTAGAGTTATTGGCCGTGGCCATTCTGACAAGTGTAAGCTCGTTCTCATTGTGGTTTGAATTTGCATTTCTCTGATGATCAGTGACATTGAGTGTCTTTCCATATGTCTATGGGCCACCTGTGCGTCCTCTTTGGAGAAGTGTCTATTCAGGTCCTTTGCCCATTTTTTAATTGCATTGTTTGTCTTTCTGGTGTTGAGTTGCCTACGTTCTTTAGACATTGGATATTAACCCATTATCAGATGTATATTGGCAGGCAACCTGATAGATTTATTTATAAATAACTTGTCAGGAAAGCAGAAATGTAAAATTTCTCTTCTGTAAGTGATCTGGACGTGGTACGACATTTTGTCCTCTACGCTCACCTGCCACAGCGTTTGCATACAGACCTCGCCGCACATCGTCTCCCTCGCACGTCTACCTTCTCTCGCAGGGTTGGGGTTTTGCTAAACCAGCCGGGCTTTGCCCTGCGTTTTAAGGTGACCCTGTGGTCGCGCCCTTTGCAAAGACATGCCCTGGTCAGGATGGCCTCGTGGTGGAGCCTCTGCGGGAGAGAGGGTTTGCTGTCCTCTGTGCCGGCGGTCGCCGTGGGCCGACCGCAGCCCTGGGGCCGGCTGCCGGCGTGAGCCCCCTCCGGGCCACGGCTGGAGCCTTTCCGTCCCCGGCAGCTGGCGCACGCGCGGGGCTGGTCGTCAGTCACGCCCCCAGGGAAGCGCCTGCTCGCCTCCCGGTCGGCACAGCGTGGAAAGGGGGCGCAGCCGCCGCAGTTGGAGGACCTGCAGGTGGCCGCGGGTCACCCGAGCCCAGCCCTGTCCCTGCTGATCACCAGCGAGGCGGGGGCGGCACGGGGGGGGCGGGGGGCCGGCTGCCGCCTGCGGCTTTTTGAATGTAGGTGCATTGGAGCAAAGCCACAGGAGCCTGCACGCGCGCTGCCCACAGAGCCTCGGGGGCCCCTCCTCGGGGGCCCCTCCTCGGCCTCTCCAGGAAAATGTTGTTCCTAAGCAAAGCCTAATCCCTTCCCTTTCTGGGGAGAAAACGCCCCCCTTTGTGCCTCAGTTTCCTGACCTGTGCAGCGGGGCCGGGTTGTACGACCCTCTCGTATCGATGCCGCCATCACTGTCGAGCTCCATCGTTGGCTCGGCCAGGCCGCATGTACGACAGCGGCGAACGCCGCCGCCGCCTTCCCTTCTGTTGGTTTGCGAGAGCCTCAGTGTCCCCCAGCCCCTGGTTTCCTGTCTACCTTCAGCATGTCCTGTCCTCCCGCCTCCTGACACTTACACAGCGGGAACACCGAGGCCCAAAGACGGGGCGTGACCGGGTGACTCGCGGCAGCGAGGACAGGAGAGGGAGGAGGCGGGTCGCAGCAAACTTGCGCGGCGCTGCCTCGCTCTGCTCACGCAGCGAAGGGCGAGCGGTGTGTGGCCCAGGGCTGCCCTGGTCGGAGTCCGTCAGGTGACCAAGGACGTCTGCTTAGTAATGTGGCTTTTAGGTCTCATCCAACGGCTGCAGCCGGAGTGCCCTTCCCGCCCCCGGAAGGGCCTGTCCCTACGCCCCGCTGATGAGCTTCTGCCCACGGCTCCCTGCTCATGCTTTCGCAGGTGTGGCGATGAGATTGTGGAAATCAACGACTCCCCCGTGCACTGCATGACACTCAACGACGTCTACGCGGTCCTGAGCCACTGTAGCCCCGGGCCCGTCCCCATCATTGTCAGCCGGCATCCAGACCCACAGGTAACGCCACTTGGGGTGTCCCGTCCTCCCCAAGGCTCGCTCTGTTCGCTCTGAAATCGGAAGAAGAAATGGCTGGGTTTCGACCTCGGTCTCGTAGACGTGTCCCACGTGTCGGTGGTAACAAAGGTCTGTGGTGGAGGTTCCTGGCCACCGCGGGCAAGCGGGGCGAGGCCACGGCGCTTGCAGCTGGGTGACAAGCTCCAGGGAAGGCAGATGTAGGCCCAGGGCCCTGAGTGGAGGCGAGAGATTCCCGCCCCCGCCCCCCGCCCCGCGCACCCAGCGGGCGCCTGCGGCGCGGCCGAGCTCAAGGGAGGCGCACGGCCGTGCCCCGGCGCTCAGGGTCCCCCCAGAGAGGCCGGCGTGACACCAGCCGCCACCGGGGTGGTGACTGCTCTGGGGATAATGGGGACGGAAGCCGGGACTATCAGTCAGTTTTCTAGGCGTAGAATGTGAGGATGGTCCTTGGCTGCAGCGTGAAGGCGAAGTTCGATGTTAGGGACTCACGATGTCACTGACAGAATCGGTGTGGCCCTCGCCCGCTGTGCGTAGTGAAGCCGAAGTCTAAGGCAACAGGTATTTATTGAATTTACTGGAGTGACAGTGATTATTAAAACTATACCGGTTTCCTGTAGCGGCCTGTGGTATGTCAGCTGCATGTTGTGCCGCGTGCTCGCCGTCCGGAGTCCGGCCTCCTTCCAGCCCCACGCGTCCCCGCGTCACCCTCTCCTGCCTTCTCCCGCCCCCTTTCCCTCCGGTTATCACCACACGGTTGTCTGTGTCTGCAAGGTTTTTTCCTTTGTTTAATTCATGTACCTTTTTTCTTTTTAAAACATTTTATTTACTTTTAGAGAGAGGGGGAGGGAGAAGGAGAGGGAGGGAAACATTAATGTGCGAGAGATACAGCCATTGGTTGCCTCTCGCATGCCCCCAACTGGGGGCCCGGCCCGCAACCCAGGCCTGTGCCCTGGCTGGGAACCGAACCGGCGGCCTTTCTGTCTGCAGGCCGGCGCTCAGTCCACGGAGCCGCACCCGCCAGCGCCACGCACCTTTACCACCCAGCCCCCCAGCACCCCTTGCCTCTGACTGCTGTTCTCTGTAACTACATCTGTGTTCCTGTTTTGTTTATCTTGTTCATTAGATTCTACCTGTAAGTGCGGTCAGGTAGTAGTTGTCTTTCTCTGACTGGCTTATTTCACTTAGCACCACGCTCTCCAGGTCCATCATGCTGTTGGAGAAGGTGAGCTTCCCTTTCTCATGGCCAAGCAGAACCCCGTTGTGTGAACGCGCCACAGCTTTTAATCCACTCGTCTGCTGACGGCCCCTGGGCTGCTTCCAGCTCTCGGCGACCGTAAGGAACGCCGCAGTGGCCGTAGGGGTGCATCTGTTCTTTCACATTACCGTTTGGGGTTTCTTCGCGTATATTCCCAGAGGTGGAATCGCTGGATCATATGCCCGTTCCATTTTTAATTTTTTGAGGCAACGCATTCTGTTTTCCCCAGCGGCTGCACCTGTCTGCAGTCCCACCAACTGCACGAGGGTTCCCTTTTCTCACGTCCTCGCCAGCGCTTGTTGTTTGCTGATGCACTGATGGGGCCATTCTGACAGGCGCGAGGTGGTATCTCATTGTGGTTTCAGTTGGCATTTCTCTGATGATCAGTGGTGTTGAGCATTTTTTCATATAGACATGGGTAGTATGGACATTTTAATGATGTTTATTCTTCTTATCCATGAACATGGTACATGCTTCTACTTATTTGTATCTTCTTCCATTTCTTTCCACAGTTTCTTATAATTCTCCAAGTACAGGTCTTCTACATCCTTGATTAAATTTACTCCTAGGTATTTTACTTTTCTGATGCAGTTGTAAATGGGATTGTTTTCTTAGTTTCTCTTCCTGGTAGTTGATTATCAGTGTATAAAAATGCAACTGACACCTGGATATTTATTTTGAATCTTCTTTACTGAATTCTTTTATTAGTCCTGGTAGTTTTTTGGTGGAATCTTTAGGGTTCTCTGTACATAATATCATGTATATATCACGTCATCTGCAAATAATGACAGTTTTTCTTCCTTTCCAATTCAGATGCCTTTCATTTTTTTTCTTGTTTGATTGCTGTGGCTAGGACTTCTGGTACTATGTTGAACAAGAGAGGTGAAAGCAGACATCCCTGTCTTGTTCTCAATCTTAAAGGACACACTTTCAGTTTTTGCCCAGCAAGTATGATGTCGGCTAAAGGTTTGTCATGTGTGGCCTTTATTATGTTGGGATGTGCTCCCTCTATTGCTTTTGCTGAGAGTTTTTACCATAAATGGGTGCTGGGATTTGTCGAATGCTTTTTCTGCATCTGTTGATATGATGATATAATTTTTATCCTTTATTTTGTTTCTGTGATGTATCACATTTATTGGCAGATACTACACCAACTTCACATGCCTGAAATCCCAGTTGATCATGGTGTAGGATCTTTTTAATGTATTGCAGCATCTGGTTTGCTAATATTTTGGAGGATTTTAGCATCGATGCTCGAGAAGGCTGAGCGGCGGCGACACCAGCCCCAACCTAGCAGTGAAAAGCCGGTGGGCCCAGGGGAGCAGAGAAGGGTCTCAGGGCGGGGCCCCGTGACATTCCGCGGCCTGTGCGCTGTCCAGTGGTCGGGGTCTGTGGACGATTAGATCTGGAGCTGATCCTGGGTGGGAAGTGACCCAGGTTGGAGGTGGGCTTGGCGGTTACAGCAGTGGGCGTGGGTGGGATCACTGTGGGGAATCTGCCGAGACGCAGCGTCCCAATCCATTGAGCGTGCGCCTGGCACATTTGCTGCAGACGCACCCCGTGCCCTTACATGTGTAGCTGTGCCGTCCCCTCTGTAGTCGGTGCAACGTTCCCTCCCAGTTCGCAGGCGAGGGCACCGAGGCTTAGAGAGGAGAGGGACTGGCTCCGCGGCGGAGCTGCTGAGCGGGGCGGCCCGGCGAGCGGAGCTGACGCACAGCCCACTCAAACCCGTCCGATCACGGGGCATGAGGATAAGCGCACCAGAGAAAAGCAAACGACTTCTTAAGGCAAATGGTTTTTCCAAGTGTGTGGCAAGAGAAGGAAAGAAAGGAGTCTCTGCTTCTCGGGGCCTGTCCCAGCTCCGGGCCCGGCCATGAGGCAACGGCGGGGCGGGACGCAGGGCGTGGGGCTGATGCTCGGACCCCGGGCCAAGGCGCAGCTGAGCGCTGGCTGCGGGGAATGGGGCGGACGCACAGGCCAGGGCAGGCGACGGCTCCCGCAGCTCAGACGAGGGCATCGGGCCCTAAAGGACGGGCCCGGCCCGGGTAGCAGGGCAGGGATAGCAGGCCCCAGAGTGTAGCTGACGGGTCCTGGCCCAGGTCCTGCATCACTACTTACTTTTGGTGACTTTGGACAATTCCTTGAAGCTCTGAGGTCTGGCTGCTCCGCTGGGGAAGGGTGAGTGGTGTTTACCCTCCAGGTCTGGGGCTGAGGGTGTGTCTCTTGTTCTGATTGGTTACCCTGGCGAGCGTGGTGTCCGGCGCTGCAGCCACTTTTAAGTGCATAGTTCGGTGGCATTAAGTGCATTCACTTGTTGCACAGGCCTCCCATCACCACCATCTGCAGAGACGCTCATCGTGTGGAAGCACACGCTCCCCTCCCCCGGCCCGGGAAACCAGCGTTCTGCTTTCTGTCCCGGGCCGTGGGGCGCTTGATGTCGTCCCTGTGACCGGAACCATGCGGTATTTGTGCTTTTGTGACTGCGTTTTTATTTGACATCGTGTCCTTAAGGGTCATCCATGTTGTAATGTGTCATTATTTCCGTTAAGATCAAAATAAAACAATCATTCTGCGTACACCATCTTACCCAGGCACCAGCGGATGGCCACGTGGACGGTCGCCACGTTTTGCTCGTTGTGGGTGGCCCTGCTGCGAGCAGGGCATGCGGACGTTCGGTTGGGATCCCGCTTTGACCTCTCCCGGCGTGTGTATCCAGAAGTGGCATTGCTGGGGCGCAGGGGGGTTATGTGTTTAACTTTTCAGGGAGGCTCCGTAGTAGTTTCCACAGCGGCCACGCCAGTTTACCGCCTCACCAGGAGCGCACGGGCCCCGCCTCTCCGCGCCTGTACCACTTGTTCTCTCGTTTTGGGAGTGGCCATCCTCGTGGGTGCGGGCTGCCTCATTGTGGTTTCAATTTGCATTTCCCTGATGCTTTTATGTTACCTTTTCATGTGCTTACTGGCTGTTTACCTTCTTTGGAAAAATGTCTATTCCAGTCCTTTGCCCATTTGGCGGGGGGTGGGGGGGGGGTGTTGTTTCGTTTTCTCTCTCCCTGTTTCGTGTCCTTCGTTGACTGACACAGGCTTAATTTTGACATAGTCTAGTTTGTGTGTATTTTGGTGCTTATAGTTTTGGTGGCAGTCTATATTAAAACGCCTGTCCCCACCCTGGAGCAGGTCGTCCTTTACAGAGGCAGGAACCGAGGGCTGGCGTAAGGGCCTTGTCTAAGCGAACAGTGGGAAAGTGGGACTTGAACACACATTCACAAGTGTGGCTCTCAGGAGCGCGGCGGTGCTGGAACTGCAGGGCCAAGGCAGCCCCCAGGGCAGAGCGCTGGGGTGGCGCCTCCGCCTGTGGCGTGGTCGCCGGCAGTGGCGAGGAGGCCGCCGGGTGGGGAGCCTATTTACTGTGAATTTGGACTTGACCTAGAACCTGCTCGGGAACCACTGACGCCCAGGCCGTGTCTGCAAGTGCGGTGTGTCAGCCGTTGCCAACGTGGGTTGGGAGGAAAGAAATGGGGCCCGGGGCCCCCCCTGGGGAGCGGGTCCAGGACCAGAGCTCCCGCGGTTAATTTGAGACACTTGACGTGTTTTAGGTGTCTGAACAGCAGCTCAAAGAGGCTGTGGCCCAGGCGGTGGAGACCCTCAGGTTTGGAAAGGAGAGGCATCAATGGAGTCTGGAAGGTAAGGGGCACTGTGAACTTTTATTTGAAACATCTTCGTCTTCTGAAAAAGCTGTGAATTTGGGAACTCACTCACCATGTACCCCACGAACATAGGAACAGTCATCACAGACAAGGCGTGCAAACGGGCCATGTAACGAACAGCCCAAGTCCCCTCAGTTATCGCCCCTGGGCAGCCTCGCGGGAGAAGTGGCCGCCTGTGGCGAGGCCATCCCTGGCGCCGCCATCCCTGGCGCCTGCGCACAGCTGGGACACCGGGCCGCTGAGGGGTCCGGCTGGGGCGTGCGGCTCGGTTCCCATCGCGAGCACGTGGAGGGTGGGGGGTGACTTCTCCAGACTAGAGTCCCGGAGCTCCCTGCACAGCCAACCGCAGAGCACGGGCCGGGGTGCGGGTTGCTCAGCGCCGCGGCGTCCCTGGCGCTTCCCTCGCAGGAGCCAAAAGGCTGGAGAGCAGCTGGCACGGGCGGCCCGCCGGCGAGAAGGAGAGCTCGGCGCCCCCACAGCGCAGGGCGCAGAAGGTCGTGATCCGCTCCAGCAGTGACAGCAGCCACGCCTCTGGGTCCCCCGCGGGGAGTCCCGGCCGCGGGGGAGAGCAGCCGCCCCGGGACCTGGAAGGCGGCACAGGCAGCCCCACTGTGTCCCTGAGGCCAGAAGCCAGGTCCCCCCAGGACAGCCCGCCGCTCCCTGAGAAACAGGATAACCACCCGCCCCTGAGACTGAAGAAATCGTTTGAGATTTTCGTGAGAAAGCCATCCTCCTCCAAGCCCAAACCCCCACCCAGAAAATACTTCAAAAGTGACAGCGACCCGCAGAAGCGTCTGGAGGACGGCGCCGAGGGCCCGTTCCTGGTGAGTGGCTTTGGGGTCCGTCTGCACCACAGGGGCTGCGGGGGCTTCAGGGTGCGCCACGTTTTGGACTCCTGAGGACGGAGCGCCATCTCCGAGCAGCAGCAGGTCCCGGGAGCGTCCAGGCTTTGTGCCGGCTGGGACGCGCGCCCCACAGCTAAGCGTGGCAGAGGGCTGGTTACCCTCTGGAATAAGGGGTCAGCGGTGGGGAGAAACGGCCCGTTTCTCAGGGAGGCCAGCGCCCCCACTGCCTTTCATGGGGAGGGGGCAGCGCGGCGGCGGACTGCAGCTGGCGGACGTGCCGGGTAAGGCGGGCCACACATGCCGTTGGATGTCTTGGGCGTGGGCGGTCCCGGGGTGCACACGGGGCCGGGCGGGTGTGTCGCTGCCTTAGCTGTGCTTTGTTACCAGGGCACTTCGAGAAGTTGCTGCGCTGCAGCAACAGCTGTCAGCGAGCCGCCCAATAAAGAGCTGAGTCTGTGTCAGTGAGTGGTTGTGTGTGTCCCCTTCCCTTCCACTCACTCCAGCCCCCCTCCTCTCGCTCCGTCTCCTGCGCGTCTCTACCCTCCCCTCAGTCCCTCAGTGTTCCACTCTCTGCCCTTGTCTCTGTCACCTGCTCCCCTGTATCCACACTCTCCACCTTTTCCTTTCGCTGTCACGCCTCTGCTAACGTCTCTTTTCCGTCTCACGTCTCTCTCCCCTCCACCTCTCTCCCGTTTCCCATCTCCTTAGTCTCTGTCACCTCTCTCCTCCTGTTGGTGGCTTTCTTGTCTCTGTTTCTACTCCAAGTCTCTTTCCTCTACCCCAGTCTCCCTCCTGCCCCTCTCGCCCCCTCTCCTGCGTCCTCTCTCCGGTCTCTTTAGACTCTCGTCGCTCCTCTCATCTCGTTCCACTTTCTCCTCTGATGCCTCTTCCATCTCTCGTGTTTCTTCTGTCTCCTGTCTCTTCATCTACTCCTGCCTGTCACCTCTCCTTTTCTCCTCGTGTCTCACTGCCCCCTCGTGTCCCTACTCCTGTCTCTCCTCCGTCTCCTGTCCCCTCATCTCGCTCCCATCTCTACGCCTTTCATCTCTGCTTTCTCATCTCCCCAGTCTTTTCCCACTCTCCCCTCTGTCCCCTCCCGCTCGTTTCTCCTGTCACGCTTCTCTTGCTCCTCTTTCTCCAGTATCTCCTCTGATGCCTCTCTTGCATCTCTCACCTCCGCCTCCTTTCCTGTCTCTCACGTCTCTTCCTCTCCTCTCCTGACTCCCTTTCTACTCCTTCCCTCCCCCTCCTCCATCGCCCCACTCTCTGCAGCTCTCTCCCACCTACTGTCTCAGTCTCCTGTGTCCCCCCCTCCTCTCTCACTTTTCTGTCCTCCCTTTCTCTCTCTCCTCCTGTCTCGTCTTTCTTCCACCTCCTGTCTCTCCTGACATTACCTCACCCACCTACTCGCTCTCCTTGTCTCTACTGTTTCTTCCCTCCAGCCTTTCCCTACTGTCTCCTCTCACTCCTCTGTCTCCCTCGCCAGCATTTCTTCTCTCGCGCCCCTTCCTACACGCCCCCAACTCCCCTCTCCTGTTGTCCGTCTCTTCGCTCTGCTCTGACCCTCCTTCCCCATCGCCTCACTCTCTCTCCATCGCCTCAGTCTCACACCCGTCCCGACGTCTCTCTTCTCGTCCTCCCTTTCTCCTCGCCTGTAGCCCCTGACATCTTCTCTTTCCTCCCGCCTTTCCTGACGTATTCCCTCCTCCTCCTCCTCCTCCCTACCGTGTTTATTCTCCCCCTTGTCTCGTCTTTCACTCCAGTCCTCTCCTCGCGTCTCTCCTGTGTATCTTCTCTCCTCTCCTCTCCCCACGTTCCCCTCTGATGCCTCGCTCCCCGTGTCCTCTGTCGCCTGTTGCTTCCTCACCTACTCCTGTCCCTGCTCGGTATCTTTTCCTGATCTCGCCGCCTCCCCCTCCCGTCTCTATCACCTCTCCATTTCTACTCTCATCCCCCCGCCCCCGCTTATTCCTGACGTCTTCTCTCTCCAGTCTTTCTACTCGTCTCTACTTTCTTCTGTTCCTCGTCTCCGCTCACCTCAGTCTTTCTCCAGTAGCTCGTCTCTTCCTCTTGGCTCCTTGTGTCTCTCGCCTCTCCCTCCTGTATCGCCTCACCTCGGGCTGCCCTGTCATCTCCTTGTCCCTGTCCACTTCTGTCTCTCTCCTTGAGGGGGGACAGATGGAGAAAAGAGACGAGCAGAGAGAGGGACACAAGAGGGCAGCTAGGGGACAGGGGAGACAGATCAAGGAGCAGCGAGGTGATGCAGACAGGGAAGGGAAGAGGGACAGGGGAGAGCAGAAACAGAGGGGAGAGGAATGGTGAGAGACAATGGGATAAAGAGACGAGAAGAACCCGAGGGGCGCGGACCAGGGAGACAGGTGAGGAGAAACGGGAGAGAGAAGGGGTGATGAGAGATTGAGCAGAGAGGAATGGAGAGAATAGGGAAGGACAGGAGAGGGTGTAATACAGGCCGAGGAGTGAGAGGAAAGGAGCAAGAGAAGATAATACAGGAGAGTGACAGAGAAACAGGAGGGGAAGAGAGAGAAGACACACAGAAGAGAAACATGGGGGGAGAGGAGACAGAGGCGTGAAAAGGAGATAGAGGCCACAGGACAGACACAGGAGGAGACCCAGAGGGGTAGAAGCATACAGGAGACACATGAGAAACAGAAAAAGGAGAGGTGAGAACAGCGGAACAGGTGAGACAGACCAAGGGGACGGGGAGGGGGGAGAGAGAATACAGAGACAACAGAGGGGGGAGAGCCAGGTGAGGAGAAACAGCAGACACGGAGACGAGAGAGAGGAGGGAGACCCCGGAGAGACACACAGTGAAGGGCTGGAGGAGACAGACGGATGCCAGTGACTGGGAGAAGAGAGAGTGCGATGGGAGGAGAGGTGGAGATGGGCCAAGAGTAGAGAGAGGAGAGAGACGAGAAGAACAGCAGGAGACATTGAGGAGGGGAGACAGGCAGGGGAGAGAGAGGAGGAGATTGAGGGGAGAGAGACGGGAAGGGAAGGGAGGGGGCAGGGAGGAGAGCGAGGAGTAAAGAGAAGGGAGACAGAGAGCCTGGAGCAATGAGGAGCTGGAAGAGAGAGGCAGAAAGGAGACAGGAGAGAGACAGAGACTAGAAACAGGAGAGATGAGAGGCAGGGGAGAGACTGAGACGACGGGAGAGACAGCAGAGAGGAGACACGTGTAGGGGAGGAGAGACAGAGAGAAAAGGTGAGAGATGAGAGAGGGGGCCAGGTGAGGAGAAACAGCAGACACGGAGGTGAGAGAGACAGGAGTGAGACCCAGCAGACAGACAGTGACTGGGAGAGAGAGAGAGAGAAGAGACACAGAGTAGAGACAGAAGACAGGAGAGACAACGACAAGTCAGAGCAGACAGAGGTGACCAGAGAGACAGAGAAGAGTAGGGATGGAGAGACAGGAGGGGGGAGAGTAAGAGGGGAGACGAGTGCAGGGAGAGAGACCGGGGACTCAGAGCAGATACAAGGGATGAGAGACAGGAGACACACAGGACAGACAGGAGAGAGAGGAGCCGAGAGGTAAGAGACAGGGGAGATGAGGGTAGAGAAAGGAAGAAGAGACAGAGGGGAGACAGGAGAGGAGAGTGGGAAGGGGGGAGAGAAGATAGAGGAGGGAGAGAACAGAGATGGGGAGGAGACAGAGGACAGACACGGAGGAGAGGGACAGGTGTAGAGGAGGGCGCAACAGGAGACAGAGTGCAGATGACAGACAGATGGAAAAGAGGAGAAATCAGGAGAGAGAGATGAGAGGAGAGAGAGATGAGAAGTTGAGAGAGGAGAAGGGAAGAGAGACAGGAGAGGGAGGCAGAGAGACAGGGGAGGGAAACAGGACAGACAGATGGGCGATACTAAGAAATAGAGGAGGGACAAAGATGAGACGTGATCGAGGGAAGAGAGACAGGAAAGACGGGAGAGTAGAGGTCATTCAGGCAGGAAGGTCGAGAAGGAGTCAGGTGGGGGGGGGAGAGGAGGTGGTAGGAGAATGAGATGGAGGGGTGAGTATGAGTTGAGACACATGAGAAAAGGGGGTGAGAGAGGAGGAAGACGGGGGTGAAAGAGATTTGAGGAGTCAGGGAAGGAAGAGAGGAGAGAGAGGGGCTGGAAATGGGAGGGAGGAGAGAAAAGAGCGAAAGAGTGAAAAGGAGGAAGGGAGATTGGGGAGAGAAGAGAGTTCGCAGGAGGACAAACGGGCAGATGAGGAGACGGACACGCAGAGAAAGGAGCAGAGAAGAGAGACAAGGAGACACTCAGGATAGGAAACAGTGACACGGAGGAGAGTGAGCGGAGAGACTGATGGGGGCTGGGAGGAGGAGGAACAGAGAAACAGCAGGAGAGGGGGAGAGGGGGGAGAGAGGAGGAAGGGAAAGGGGAGGAGGAAAATACGGAGAGATGGGAGACAGAGGCGGCGAGATCTGGAGAGCCCTGTGGGGATTAGGAAGAGACAGACCTTGAGGAGGAGAGCGAGCAGAAAGGAGCAGAGGAGGAGTCTGGCAGAGAGAGGCAGAGGAGGAGTCTGGGAGATGTAGCACATAGGAGGTGAGAGAGGAGATCTGAGTAGGCAGAGAAAAAGGAGCGAGAGAGAGAATACAGGAAAGATGGGGAGAGAGGAGAAGAGGAGGATGAGAGAGGAAGAGATGGCACAAGAGGAGAGAGAGGAGATGGGCGAGGGGAGAGAAGAGGATAGAGATGGAGGCAGAGAAGAGGCGGGGAGGGAGGAGGAGGAGGGGATAAAGGGGAGAGGGGAGAGAGAGAAGGGGAGGAAGAGACAGAAGGAGATAACCTGGGGGGGAGACAGGAGCAAGACGGAGCCAGGAACGGGGAGGGGAGGGAGCGCCAGGAGAAGAGGGAGACGGGAGGAGGGGAGAGGAGGCAGGGGGAGGAGGTGACAGAGCTCGCCAGTGCTCACCGCCTCGGGGCCCCATCCTGCACACGGCCTCCCCTGGCGTCAGCCTGCGCGCCCTGTGCCCACCAACACCCCGTGAAAGGGAGCCATGCGCGTTCTGCACCCAACCCCCCCCCCAGGTTGGGACCTGCTGCTGGATACTGGCATTTCCCTGACATAGTTTGCTGTTTACTGTGTGTGTCCTTTCATTAATTAAGCTATTAGTTTACTACTGACCAGGACTAGTGACTTCTAATCCATTATTTCCGGTATAATGCTAAAAAATAACCTTGAAATTACGAAAATGGGCGAATGAGACTGCTCGGGGCGCGGGGCGCAGACAATGCTTTATTGGGCTGTGCACTTGAAACACGTGTGGTTTGGGGAACCCCCGTCACCCCAACGCAGTAAATCCCTGTATTTATTAACTACCCTCCTGGCCTCATTACCTCTAATTACTGCTTTTTGAATCCCTGATTAAATGTGCACACTAAGAAATCAGGCACATACGCGTGTGGGTTTGACCCCACAGCGTAAGCCCCTTTCTCCCTGGAACCTGCTACAGCCCCGTTGTCTGGCCCACACACCGCCCTCCTCCCCGGGCGCCTCAGGACCCGACAACCACCCCGCCCTTCCACGGCTCCCGCCTCCTGTCTCTGTCAGCCGCCAGTCTACCCCGCGGGTGATCGAGAGGATGACAAACCACGGAATCATCAGGCTGTAAAAATGATTCCAGCTCCGACTGACATGGCATTGCTACCACTTACGTGATTTATCAAACAGCGTAATCTGAATCAGTCCCACAATCAACTATTATAATTAGCTTCAGCTTACAGATACAAAATCAACCCAACAGCAGCTTTAACTCACCCTCACGTTCTTCTCTGAAATCCTAGCCAACCCCCCATTAATGTTAATGATGTGACGTGGCCCATTAATACTGCTAGCGTATTTCAGCTGAGCAGAGTCCCTATCTTAAAAACTGCATTATCACTACACAAATACTATTACAAATTTTCATTTTTCTATCATTTACTACCACAAAACTCATTGTATTTTAACGTCCCATTCAAATCACCCCTCCTGCCAAACAGAACGAGGAAGCTGAACGGAAGGACTGAGCTCAGCAGTTTACTCCTGCGTTGCACCCGGGGAGCATCAGCTCCGCTCCTCGTTTCTTTACACTTTGTGCTCGTTCAGTGCTGACCTCGACCCCTGCCTACCCGTGAAACCCTTTACTATTCCCACCCAAGCACGACAGCACTTACACCGAAAGCGCCTCTCTTTGGCCTTCAGTTACGACTTCCAAAAACTCAGAGCTCCTCGCTGGTTCTGAAGTTCTTGCAGCTATAAAACTAAAGCTACGTGGCGAAGGCGCACTATGACACACAGCAGCGCCGAACCCTCTAACACACTTCACAGTGTACGCCCTGCTGACGGCCTCCTTACGCAATACAGCTGACGCCCGTTCCATCTGCCTCACCTCGCATCCGCGGGGGCCCTGCCTCCCGCGGCCCTGGTGCTCGCGGACACCACAGAGCGCCCGCCGCCACCGCCCTGGTCACCGCACCCCGCCTCGCGTCCTCTGCGCTCTGCCAGAGGTCCTGCCGCGCAGACCACGGGAATTCTGGCCACCCCGCCTTCACCTCCAACAACTGATCTGGATGGAGAGACATTCGTACACACACCCAGATCTGACATTTCTCTCGCTGCCTCCACAGTCCCAGGAGCACACGAGGCCTGCACACACCGCACCCCGACAGCAGACCCGCACCTTACGCGAGAGCGCCCACCGACACCGATGCGTTCACGGCCCTCCTGCTCCTGTCCACACACGAGATCATTTCAGGAGCCTTGCAGTGTAAATACTGTTCAATGAAAGCATTGCATTGTCAATCTAACCATGCACAGACTAAAAATTCTAATTTACAAAAACAGAAAGAAAAAGTATATGCACAAACTGCTAATTCATGCCTCCATATATAAAAACATGACTTTTGCACAGTCTAGAGTGCTAACCCTTACACTATGGGACCAAGAACGTGACTGACGTTCTCAAACCTATAAAGGATAGGAGTTATTCATTGGTGTGAAGAACCTGAGACTTCTGAAACTACAAATAAAAGTAATATATCTATTGCTTCCTCAGTAATATCTCTACTTGCACTAATCCTAACAGTCAAACAAACCATGTCTAAAATCTACAAAAGGCAGATGCGCCCACATGATGTATGTCTGTCACCAGCCAACAACAACATTCATTCAACTGGGACAAGGAACAATAATCTACCATCGACACAGAACTATTCAAACTCTAAAAATAACACTGGGATTCTAGTGCAGTGATTTTCACCCGGTGTGCCACAATTTTTAAAACATACAATACCTGAGTATTTAGTCAGACACACTAAGCTCTTTCCCCTTAGATTGTAAAAATATTAATAAATAAAAGACAACAGCCAACAGAACAATAGCTGTCTGGTATGAATGAATGAAAATTATACCTATTTTTTTCAGGTGGGCAAAAAAAATGTATTTTTTGGTGTGCCACGGAATTTAAGTCATTAATTTATGTGCCATGAGATGAACAAAGTTGAAAATCACTGTCCTAGCAAGATTACTGCTATTACTCAAGCGATCGTTGATCACAGAACTCCCAACGTGTTATGTGCACTCGGACCCTAATGTGAACCCATTTTTACATAGCTCCTTACATCTCTCATTCCAGTCATGATCTCCTGCCACCTTATCATTCTTTTTCAATTCGTCCCCGGGTGAGGAGGAACAGGAACTCTATCCTTTCCACTGACCGGGTCACAACACGGTCAGACCGACGCAAACGCCGCAGCTCTGAGAGATCTTAAACAATCGCCGCGAGACACTGGGGAAGGTCTTCAACAGAGCGTTTTACTCCACCTTGGCAATACCCAGCTCCTGGGGCCAGGTTCCTGCCAGCTACCGCCGGAGACTCTGCCCCGACTCGCCCGCCTGTGACCGCCTGTGGCTCAGGAAGGCCCCACGCTGTCTCGGCCGGACCACACTCAAGCAGGGCAGTCAGAGCAGACACCTTCCTACGGCTCAGGTTTTAGCCACTTACATAAAGTGGGGTTATCCAGGCGGCACTGCTACACGAGCAGCCACCAGCGCCCTATCCACAGCACTCTGTGCTCTCACCCGAAACATTAAGAAAAAGGTATGAGCACATGACTCCAGCCCATTGGGCCTAACAGTGAGCACTGGCACGGACCAGCCCGAAGGGGTGTCCTCTGCACCCGTCCGCGTGCGTTCCTGAAAGCCGCGCCCCCCGTCCTGGCTCTGCTGTCCGAGGCCCAGGCCCTGACACACACCCCTTTCTCTCAGGACTGTACTCCAATCATCAAACTCGACTATCTGATGCTTAAATCCTGAGCACGACCTCGCCCTCTCGCCGCCGCCCCAGTGGCTGTCTGGGGCGCACGTGACAGCTCCGTGGGACTTCCTATGTGCCTGTACAAAATTCCGTGCCAAGGCTGCAGTCATAACGATGAACCCTAAGTAACAGAATCCAGCACCACATGTGTTAAAGGGTTTTCAATAATAAAATTAAAAGCTTTATCTAAAGCAAAAAGTACACTGAGAATGACTTTAGAGACCCTGACTACACAATAGTCAAAACCCAAACTGGGATTAGATGCCCCACTATGCTTAGCCCTAAACCCAAACACTGACTGACTGTAATAAAATTACTCTCCTGAGGACTAAGCAATACGTTAGAACTCAAAAGGCTTGGTGGTGCTTTGTACCCCTCCAGAAGAGCCTGTTCTACAATCGATAAACCCAGCGCCCTTCAGCTAACATAAATATTAAGCATGAAAACATTAGGTCACGGTATAGTGTCTAGGGAGGGATACATTTGGATTTCAAGAACATTATTTCTTACAACATGACGGTTTTTGAGAAACTGGAACCAAACGAGAATTTAGCAGTAAAGGATGCAGGGCCTATAACCGGAACGGGCCACGCCCACCCACACTGCCCGCCACCCTCCTCAACTACCAAAACTCTACGTTTTATATTTTTTTTATCCTCACCTGGGGACTTGCTCATTTATTTTATAAAGAGGGGAAAGAGAGGGAGAGAAATATCGATGTGAGAAACAACAATTGCTTGCCTACGACAAGCACCCTGACCAGGGATCGGACCTGCAACCCAGGCCTGTGCCCTGACCAGGACCCGCACCTACGACCTTCTGGGTGCAGGAAAACCCCCGGCCAAGAGGGCCACCGATCTGTGTTAACGATCACACGCGCACACATAGGAATGTGTTCACCCTTCTCGTACAGATGTGCCCTCTCTCCTTTTGCTTCTACAGCCTGTACGTATTTGTGTGGGAGATGCATGTTTATTTCCAATCAGTTGCAGGCTCCTCAAGGGTGTAAGTTGTCAACTGTCATTTCTGTTGTTGTGATGTTTGTTCCTAAGACCACCTGGGTATGCATTCTTACACATGGGGTCCTGTATTAAGACTTTTCCCTAATTTAAAAATACCACCTTTGTTTTCTGTTTAAAAAAAAAAAAAAAAAAACCCCAATGTAACCAAAGCCCTTATGTACAGTTATTACACAAATGAGCGGCACAGGCGGCAGGAGGGACCCCGTGAACAGGGCCGCTGAGGAACCGGTCACGGAAGCCTCCACATCACCCACAGTTCCAAGCTGAGCACTTGCCTTCTCTTCTCACAGCCGGAGGCCACCGTTTTGACACAGTCTCGCTTCCTGTTTACACCACAGGAAGCCAGAGAGCTGCTGCCACCACTGCCAGCGCAGGAAGTCACAGAAGCAGGAATCCCCTGTGCCACTGCCTGCGGCCCAGAACCCGCCGCCGGCCTGCAGACAGCGTCCCCCGCAGAGGCTGAGCCGGGGAGGACAGAAGGCAGTCCAGGTAGGACCGGCAGCTCTTCCGCAGAGTCGGGGGGCAGGTAAGAGGGGGCCTGGCCTGGGGGCCGGGCTCTGCATCACGTGGAGGCGGAAGGCGGGCTGCCCAAGGGTCAGGAGCCCATGGCGCTGCGGGAGGAAGGCAGGCCGACGGTCAACCGGAGCCCAGGGCCCTCAGGGAGGGGCACGGACACACGCCGCCGGCCGCTGTGGGCCGCGCCGAGGGGGGGGTCAGCGTGGCCACGTCGGAAAAGGCGGAGCAGAAGCATGGACAGTGGTTTCCCCCCCCCCCCCCCCGTGAAGAGGCACCTGGTCCTGCTGACACCAGCTGAAGACTTGGTGCCTTGGAAGTGGTGATGGGGAGAGAGAACGAACAGGACCAAGGCCATACAGGGGGTCTCGCCCTTAACGGGTCAAGGCGTAAAGATGGCCCCTTCCCCTTACGAATGCCGGGCCCCTCAGGCCTAGCGGGCTGCTCGCTCTAAGACACCAGGGCGCTGTGATGGTGACTCCCACTCTGCCCCTGCCATCCTGCTCCCCCCGCCCCCACAGAATTGAGGGAGAAAGCCCCACCAGGCGCAGCGCAAACCGCAGGCCTGTTTCTGCTCCCCAGGGACCGAGCCGCCTGCAGCCAGGCACCCCGTGCTGAAGAGGCAGGCGCGGGTGGACTGCGGCCTCGACGGCCCGGCCGAGGACCCCTGGGTCAGGATCTCCGACTGCATCAAGAGCCTGTTCAGCCCCATCATGAGCGAGAGCCACGACCACACGCCACTCCAGCCCACCGCCAGCCTTGCTGAGGACGCGGGGCAGGGCCCCCCAGACGGGATCTCCCCAAAGCTAGACCCCAGCAACGCTATTCCCAAAGGTTATAAGTCAGCAGACAACAGCATTGTGAAGAAGGGGCCTCCCGTGGCCCCCAAGCCTGCCTGGTTTCGCCAAAGCTTGAAAGAGTTGAGGCATCTCGGTCCAGACCCCAGGCAGCTGCCTGCCGCTGCCTCCACAAAGCCCACGCCGGCCCCCAGGGAGCGCCTGGGGCCACATGCGCGGGCCGCCAGCTCCATCAGGCAGCGAATTAGCTCCTTCGAGACCTTTAGCTCCTCTCAGCTGCCGGACAGAGGAGCTCAGAGACCGAGCCTCCAGTCGCCCAGCCCCTCCGCAGAGGCAGCGAGGCCTCCAGGGAAGCAGGCGGGAGGCCGGGGGCCTGGCCTCCTGGAGTGGGGAGCTTCTCCCACTGGTGAGCAGCTGCAGCCTCGGCAAGGGCCGCTGTCCCCCGGCTCCCTAGTGGCCTCAGACGCCAGTGACCTGGGTGTGTCGGGGACCCCGCCCGCTGAGCAAGCCCTGGGCCCCGACCCTCTCCTGAGCCTGCTGCCCGCGCAGCCTGCAGAGCCCCAGGGCACTGTGGTCAAGGTGCCAAGCCAGCGGGCACGCAGCTTCCCGCTGACCAGGACGCGGTCCTGCGAGGTGCAGCTGCTGGACGACAGGACCTGCAGGCTCTACGACATCAGCAGCCAGGTGTCCTCAGCCGTCATGAAGTCCCTGCTGTGCCTGCCCTCCTCGGTCTCCGCCGGCCAGACCCCCTGCAGCCCCGAGGAAGGGCCGCCCACAGGGCCCCTGCCCGGCCAAGACCCCGCTGCCGGCAGCGCCGACACAGGGTTCTCGCTCAAGTAAGGGTCTGCGCCCACATTTCCTGGAGGGCGGGACAGCCTCCCTCTCACCCGTGTGTGGAGAGCGCGCTCAGCTCTCCCGCTGACAGCGTGGGGAAGCCCGGGCGGCCCCTCACGCGCATGCCGGCCGGGCTCGGGAGCCGCACTGTGCTGAGGGGGCCTCGGCGCCTCTCGCTGCCCCCTGCGCGGGGACGGCTGGGTCCGGGCCTCGGCATGGCCTCCCTGGCCACGCACGGGCGCCTTCTGGACTCGCCCCCATCGCCTCTCCTGCTCATTCTGGGAGGTGGCAAGAGCTGACCCCCGGAACCAGGAGCCCCGCCGTGGCCCCTTCACCCATCCCGTCTTGTTAGGTCCCAGCCCCTGCCGACCGCGGAGCGGGAGGGGACAGGTCCCGGGCGGGGACAGGTCCCGGGAGGGAGGCGCACCGTCGAGGCCCGAGTGGGCACGTCCGGCCGGCAGCGCACGGCTGTGGGCTGAGCACGGGGCTCCTGCAGACGCACCGGGGGGGCCCCGTCCCAGCATGTTCTGCCGGTCAGAGTGGGGGCCCCATCACCGAGAGCACCGTTTCACACAAAACATGCAGTGAACCTACAGAAACCGCCAGGTGCCAAAGCAAGTTCAACAGGGAGAGGAGGGCCATTTGCTGGCTAGGTGGGCACCCTGCGTAGCCAGTGGGTGCTGACAGCACCCGGGGAGGAGCAGGGGGATGTGTGGGGACTTGCGGGCAGACACGCCAAGACCTCAAGCTGCACCGCCACAGGCCCACAGACAAGGCCCCCCGAGCCCTGCCCTGTTTCCGCGCCGTCGCGGGCGGGGCGGGGGCGGGGGGCGCCGCCCAGGAGGCAGGGGCGTGCGCAGTGCCCTGCCTGGACTGGAGTGACGCGCAGGCACGACAGAGCGACGCTGTGACTCAGGCCTGTCCTGCTCCTCCCACGACAGCCTCTCGGAGCTGAGAGAATACACGGAGGGTCTCGGCGAGCCCACAGAAGCCACCGGCGGAGCCCCCACGTCCAGCCAGTCGGTCATCTCCCTGCTGAGCTCGGAGGAGTTGAAGCAGCTCATTGAGGAAGTGAAGGTTCTGGATGAAGCGACGTTAAAGGTGGGTTTCTTTCATAAACATTTACCGGGACCAAGGCCTTGCTAACAGCAATGTGGTCACCTTGTTAGGCCACAGGGGAAGCAGCTTGAGTTGCCCCAGGCTCCTGGTGGCTGGTGGTGCTGCCTGGGGTGGAGGGAACAGCGTCACGGGACCGCAGTGAGATCTCCCACGGGGAAGGAGCTTTGTAGCTTATAAAAGCTTTCAGTCACTGGCTCATTGCAGCCTTTGGTTTTATCAATGAGAAAAGGTGAGGCCTGTGCTGCAGAGCCTGAGCTGCAAACCCCTCCCCCGCTGCCGCCGGTGCCACCGTTTCCTGTCCCGCAGGCCACCTTTCTGAGTGTCTGCAGGGAGGCGCTGCTTTGTCAGCCAGAGCCTGAGCCTCAGCCTGAGCCCTCACCTGGGACTTACCCTGCAGAGAGGTGACTGATCCCAGGGCCCCAGTCATTCTGAAAGTCCCACTTCCCACACTCTGAACACAGCGCGGAGGCGTGAGAGGAAGTGGCCGTGTGGAGCCAGGCCGCTGGGCTCCGATGAGCACAGGCTGTGGGGGCCGCGCGCCTCCCAGCTGCCTGGGTCTGCACTCGCGGGGACACCGACCAGGCTGGGACGGGAGCTCTACTCCCAGGTCAAGAGCCTGGTGAGCCGGAACGCAGGGCGCCCTGGGGGGGCGACCCCTCCGCTGCCCCCGGGCACGCCCCACAGAGGCTGCGTGAACTGCCAAGGCTGTCCTGACGGGCCTCTCGCAGGGCAGCGGGCTGCTCCTCGGGGAAAGCTGGGAGCCGTGGGCCCGGGCCCGGCGGCGGAGGGACAGGCGGTGAGGCCCACTGACCCTCAGCAGCCTGCGACCTGGGGAGTTCCCATCAGAGGGTCCCAGAGCCGGGGCATGCAGGTGAGACGATCTCTGGGCACCAAGGTGCACACAAGCAGCCAAGCCCCACCTGGACCTGCCAGGGTGTTTCACCTGGGTCACGTGGTGATCTTTAAGGACAGTGTTCCATGACAAACATGGATTCTGGGTTTTTCTTTTTGAACGGAAACCACCTGCCGGCACCGGATCTGCCTTTGTGCGCAGCGGCCGGTCCTCTCGGGCCGCAGGCCCTGTGTGTCCACAGTCTCTGTGGCTCCCGTCTCGCCTCTGCCCCTCTTGCTTGCTGACGTGGCCTGCCCGGCCCCGCATGCACATGCAGCCCCCGGCAGAGGGTAGACAGACCTCTGACTTACCGCTGAGGGGCTGTCCCGGCGCCGCGGCGTGGGGCTGGGGGCGCGTGCGCGTCTCAGCAGGCCGCGTGTCAGTGGGCAGGCCTGGGCACATGTGCGCAGGGGCAAGAAGGGACAGCCAGCTTCCATAGAACAACTCTGCCCCCTGGGCCTGCTGATGCCAAGTCCCAGGCTGCAACGGCAGAGCTGCAGTGCCCAACGTGCTGGGGTTTCCAGGTGACTTCGTGACGCCCACCCTACGCGAGCACGTGTGGGTGGGGGATGCAGGGAAGGCTACACGTGTGGCTTTACACATGTGGTTCTTTCTCCTGAGCTTCTCACAACTCCAGAGTGTGTGGCCCTTCCTTCACAGACAGTAACGCTGGCTCGAGGAGGTGACGTGAACGAGGGCACAGACAAGCTGGGCTTGACACTGGGTCGGGCTGACGTTAACACTTGTTAAATTGTTCGCGCTGCTGCACGAAAGTGGTTTTCACTGTTTATGTCCTTCTGCAGCAACTGGACAGTATCCACGTCACCGTCTTGCACAAGGAGGAGGGAGCTGGCCTTGGCTTCAGCTTGGCCGGGGGCTCCGATCTAGAGAACAAGGTGATCACGGTGAGTGGCCCGGGGACGGGGCCCGGGGGGGGGCACCCACTAGCCAGGGAGGAGCCTTGTGTGGGACGAGAGGAGCGTGGGACACCAGGCCACTGGCGGGTGCTCAGGGCGGGCTCCTCAAGGGGAGCGGGCGGAGCCCACCCCTGCCCAGCAGCGCATGAACGTCGCTTCCGTGACAGTGTTCACCCCTCATCCCGATCCTTCATCAACCAAAACGGCCTCTGGGCCTGCGCACCAGGGGCCGCGACCTCCGGGCCTGTCGCGGACCGGGCCGCACGGCAGGAGGTGAGCTTGAATATGCTGCGCCTGAATATCCCGAAACCGCCCCCCACACCCCAGTCCCTGGGAAGACTGTCTTCCACGAAACTGGCCCCGGTGCCAGGAAGGCGGGGGACTGCAGCCACACACGACACCCCAGGGAATCCGAGTCCCGTGTGAGGTCGAGAAGTCACAGGTGTCTCGGCCTCGCCCTGAAGCTGCTCACTCGGCGTCCCGTCCTCTGGGAGCACCGACCAGACAGACGGGCGACGGGCGACCCCGGGGCCTTGGGGAGGGCAGGGCAGCCGGGCCTGTGGCTGTGGCCGCGAGGCGCGTCACAGGGGGGTGGCCAGCCCCAGACCGGCGGCTGCATCCTGGGTCTGCCCGTGGCGGGGGCGGGGCGCTGACCGGGGCCGGTGTGGAGCATCTCGGGGCCGGTGGAGAGGGCCCCGCCGGGGAGGACGCTGCCCAGGGAGCGCGGGGACCGCGGAGGGACGGTGACGGCTGCAGCTGGGTGCTCACTCTGGGTTGCAGTCACAGAGTCTAAGCCACGGGGGCTGGGCAGCCCTGGGGGCCGCCTGCCCACAGCCGTCGCGGCCTCTGCGCACGTGGAGGCAGACGGAGCGCTGGCCCCTGCTTGGGACACAGTGGTCTCAGTTTCTTTGGCCTGAGAGCCCTGCCTGTTGGACTAACCAGGTCAGACCCTCCAGCGAGGCCCTCGATCCGACGCGGGCGGTTCCTGGGCCCTGACTCCCTCGGCTTCTCAGGTTCACAGAGTGTTCCCCAACGGCCTGGCCTCCCAAGAGGGGACTATTCAGAAGGGCAACGAGGTTCTTTCCATCAACGGCAAATCCCTCAAAGGGGCCACCCACAACGATGCACTGGCCATCCTCCGCCAAGCTCGGGACCCCAGGCAAGCAGTGATCGTCACCAGGAAGCCAACGCTGGAGGCCACGCCTGACCTGAGCTCCTCCGCGGACTCTGCGGCCTCAGCCACTGGGGCCAGCGATGCCGCCACGGAATCCAGTAAGTTCTCCCTGCGCCGCCGAAGCCCAGGGACCACGTCGCCCGTGCCCCCACGGGGCGGCTCAGCCGTGCGTGTTGTCCGAGGCGCACGTCTGCACTGGGACGTGCGCGAGCTCAGCAGCGGCAGCTGCGCGGCTCTCTGAGCCCAGGGTGCGGGGCCTGAGGAGGGGCGCCTCCCGAACAAAGCCCATCTCCTCCTCCGCAGCAGAGGCCACCGTCCACACGGTGACACTGGAGAAGACCTCGGCAGGGCTGGGCTTCAGCCTGGAAGGAGGGAAGGGCTCCCTGCACGGGGACAAGCCCCTCACCGTTAACCGGATTTTCAAAGGTACGCCGTGGGCCTGGGTCTTTCCCTTCTCCCAGTAGCAGGCAGGGGGCGCTCTCCTTGTTCTCCTGTCACCTGCATACACCGTATCTCCTTGTCCCTCCTCCAGGGGCAGCCTCAGGACAGCCTGAGACAGTCCAGCCGGGAGACGAGATCCTCCAGCTGGCCGGCACGGCCGTGCAGGGCCTCACGCGCTTCGAAGCCTGGAATGTCATCAAAGCGCTACCCGATGGACCAGTCGCGGTTCTCATCAGGAGGAAAAGCCCGCAGTCTGAGGGGGCCCCCGCCGGAGGGAACCCCTAGGCAGAGCGCAGACACCAGAGCCAACGGCACACGAATTCTCAGGGTCACTGCCAGCCCCACTCCGTGGCTGCTGCCCAGGTCTGGACCTTCTGGGACAGCACCCAGCCAGAGGGTTGTCCCAGTGGCGAGGGCGGAGTCACAGTGGGGTGGCCGATACAAACCATGGACTATGTACAGACAGAGCGCAATGCTAACACTGTGGTGCTGTAAATAAAGTGAATGTATTGCAATCTGATGTGAAATCCATGCCCTGCTCCGCAAACTTTCCAAGCATTAGAACCATGGGATGAGCCACCCAAACAGCCACATTGGTTTTGTCAGGCATGTGCAGTGTGGCCGACAGGGCTCGGAGGGGCAGCGTTGGCTGGAGCCACTCAAAGTCTTCGGGCTGGAACCTCGGGCAGGCCACATGCTCACACAGCTGGTGGCTGACACGCACAGGACCTCTCCTTATGGCCTGGGCTTCCTCACCACACAAGTGTCCCCGGAAAGGTCAGAGCTGGGGGTCCCGCGGGCCTCGTCACTGGAACAGCACCACGTCCCCTGTGCCCTCGGTCGGAGCTGGCATGAGTCTGCCCAGGGGGGAAGGGAAGGGAAGGAATCACCGGGCTGTTCTGGAAAATACCATCTATCACACAAAACACACACACGGCTGCTGTGGGCCGCAGAGATGCACCTAGGCTAGGCGGGCCCCGCGGTGGGGCACGCAGCCCGGAGGGCGGCTGGCACACAGAGCGCAGCGGCACTGACCTCAGCGCTTTCTGGAGGTTGGCAAAGAACCCGGCCATGCTGCGCGGGAAGAAGGCGTCCACCACGCTCTGCGGAAGGAGACCGCTCAGGTCCGTCTGGAAGAAGGCCACCACCCTGGTCTTGTCGGGCTCCCTGTGTGGTGGCAGCAGAGTGGGGTTATGTGTCTGCAGAGGAACTGGGGCCCAGCGGGGGGCAGGCCAGGAGCAGCCAGCCAAGAGAGATGGCAGGGGCACAGGGATGTCGCCGCCCGGGGGTCCCCTCTGGAGACTCCACGGTGGTGCCGGGCCGGCAGCAGGCAGCCGCCACTGCCTCCCGCCCAGGAAGAGTGTGAATTCCCTGCCTCTGGTTCGGCCGCCAAGGTCTCTCTAGGGGGACCCTGGGAGCTCCCAGGGCAGTACTTCTGCAAGGTCTGGGGAGTCCTGGGGGTTCCTGACACCCTTGCGAGGGGGTCTGCGAATGCAAAACACCTCTCAGAGCAGCACGGAGAGGCAACCTGCCTCCTTCACTCTCCCTCTCCGGCGGGTATGCGGGCGTTTTCCAGACGCCGCACGACGGGCACGGCCCACTGAACGAGGACGCGGGCGTCCCTGAGCCTGGCGCTGCGGTGCCTGGCGACACCGAACAGTGGCGCCCCTTCCCCTGCTCTTTGTTTGGAAAAATAGTTATTTTTTTCATAAAGATATCTGTTAATATGTAATTTGTTACTTAAAATTTTTTTAAATTTCCTATTTTTATTTTCAAGCACAACAAATATTGAGGGATAAAAACTCTTTAAAGCCCTGAAAAATATTTGAAAGTGTCATTTTTTTACACACCCATAACAAACTCTCAGAAAAAGAAACTAGGAAAACAATCACATTTGCAACTGCAAGAATACAATACTGAACAAATTTAACCCAAGAAATGAAACACATGTACTTGGAAAATTACAATACATTGAAAAAAGGAACTAAAGAAGATAAAAACAAATGGAACCATATACTGTGCTCATGGGTAAAATAATTAAAATCATTAAAATGTCCATATTACCACAAACAATCTATATGCTTGACGCAATTCCTTTCAACATACCAATGGCCTATTTCACAGGACTAGAACGAATATTCCAAAAATTTATACAGAACCACAAAGACCCGGAGAAGCCACAGCAATCTTGAGAAAAAAGAACCAAGTTGGATGTATCACACTACCTGATATTAAACTATACTACAAGGCCATCGTCATCAAAACAGCATGGTATTGGCATAAAAACAGACACACAGACCAATAGAATAGAGAGTCCAGAAATAAACCTACACCTTTATGGTCAACTAATATTTAGCAATGAAAGCAAGAACGTACAGTGGTGCAAAGACAGTCTGTTCAGCGAGAACAGCTGGCTTAGAGGAATGGGACAGACAGTGTGGGCTCGTCTGAAGGGGCTTGGGTGAGGGCCAGATGCCCAGGGAAGGTGGAGGTGGCACACAGAGGGACCCTAGGCCACCACGTGACAGCCTCATGTTCAGAGCAGTCAGGGTGGGAAACCACCGGCCCAACTCAGATTCAGCGAGGGGCATGCCTGGGGGGAGAGAGGACACAGCTTGCTCAGGACAAGGGGTCCTCCCTCTCACAACCCTCCTGACGGCCAGAACAACAAAGGGGTGGGCTCGGTGGAGCCCATTTGGCACTTTACCGGAACACGTCACCAGCATGAGAGCATCGCCAGGAGCCCCAGGTAGCACCGCACCTGCGCCATCAGATGTTCGCTGACATCATGTGGCTCAGCAGCTTGGATGGGAGGCCCTGTAGAATGCTGTCCCTCCTGAGGCCCGGGGCTCGGCAGGTGCACCAGGCAGGGTGCCCCGTGGTGCTCCTGTCGGCGCTGCACAGAGCGTGACCCCAGGGGCAGGGGCTTCCTCACACCGCAAAGCCTTGGCACCACGCAGACTCCGCCCCCACCTGCCCTACGCTGGGCCCCCGGCAATCTGCTCCCTCAACCCAGGCCCACTCACACCCTCATCTCTCTCAGCAGCGTCCTTTCTGGCCAGGAGAAACTTTGCTCAGTGACCGTGCTATCCCCAGGGTGAGCAGTGGGCGTCACACACAGGCCAGGCCAAGGGTCCTGCGTGCACATCATGCACAGAGGGGGCACGAGAGGGTTCTGGGAGGAGGTGTGGGGCCGGGACCATAGCGCCCACGCCATGTGTTCTGAAGATCAGCGAGATCGCACACGTGGAGCACCTGGGTTCCCTCGCGGGCGCCGAGCAAGGGCTGGACCACGGCGCTGTGCTGCTGCCTCTGCAGCAGACTCCCCACCCGGGGGAGCGCCCCGACTCCAGCACACGCCCCTCTCCACGCCGCCCTGCCTCACCCGGCCCCTGCTCTCTGACCCCTCCTGCCCGCATTCATTATAGCACTGAGCCCGAATGCCACACGCGTATCTGCTCAACGCTCCCCGAGGGCCTTCTCTTCACTGTGCCCAAGTCCTAACAGGCCCACGAACCGCCTGGGTGAGGTGTCTGCTGCCTCGTCAACCAAACCTACCTCTCCCACAGCCCGCGCTGACCCCACAGCCGCCACGCGTTCCCTAAACGCGCCACACTCGTCCCACCTTAGTGACTTCAGACCTGCCCGTCCCTCTGCCAGGAACAGGTAGCAGCTTTCCGTATCAACTTGGGTGGTACCTTGGGTAAGCTAGAGACCCTCAGGTTATCACTATACAGAAACGTCCTGGTAAAAACATGGCCATGAGCTGTGAGAACATGGGGACAGAACCCTGCACAAATCCCTCCCTGTCTCCGAGCCTCAGCTTCCTCCTCTGCTAAGTGGCACCGTGACTTGTACCCAGCTTGCCTGGGGCCGGAGGAAGGACTCCTATGCGGCAACGAGGGCAACGCCGCCCGCGCCCTTTCCCATCGCTCACTGAGGCGGATGTGGCGGGGCCTGGCAGTGTCGGGGCCTACGGCGCTGCGAGGCGAGGCAAGCCCTGTGCCCGCCGAGCGGAATTCCACCCGAGCCACTGTCCGCGCTAGGTCGCCCCCCACCCCCCGTCCTTACCCTGGCACAGGCTCACAGAAGCAGCCGCAAGGATGGTTCCGTCCTCTCACGTAGCCCGGCTTCGGCGGGCACAGCGGGTGCTCCAGGTGAGCAGCTGGAAGACAGGGCAAACGTTCAGAAAGCCGTGACGTCAGGGCCGCACCCGCCCCCCGGAGCCCGAGCAGCCAGCCAGGGGGCCCTGTTACTGTGCCCTGAGCCCCCAGTGTCCGTCCCCCCTGCCCGTACACATGCAGCAAAGAACAGCAGAGAGAACACTGCAGAATCATGACCTCAGGGGCCGGGAGGAGGGACCGCGCAGTTCTCAGCCGGCAGAGGTGTGAGGCGTGAAGGCACTGCCCTCTGCCCCACGGGGGAGACTCGGAGGTGGCGCCGGGCCTGCCGCACTCAGAAGGGGGCAGCCGCCCTCTGGCCCTGCCCTCAGGAAGCCACCCCCGTGGGCTCGGGATCGCTGCACGCCAAGGTTCTGAGAAGCCAAACGGAAGCTCCCGCGTGTGGGCCAAAGGCGGGCTCAGCAGAACAAATGGGGCGCTGACCACCCCTGCAACTTAGAGACGATGAGCCTGGGGACCACGGTGTCTCCGAGCGCCACAGCACAGCACCCCCAACAGCACAAGGCAAGCTGCGGGCCCGGGCCGGGCGGCCGTGAGCGGCGCCCTGCGGACGGAGCCCAGCGCCCGCCGAGGCCCCGCACCCCCTCGGCCGGCACTCACCGTTGGAGCTGACGGTCCCGTCCTCGTACGTCCGGACCAGCACCAAGTCCACGAAGTCTCGGGGAGAAATGATCTTCATGGCGGCCGAGGGGGTGGCCGTTCTGGTGACGCACAATGTCTGTCGGGGCCAAGGGAAGTCCTGCTGTGTCAACTTGGTAATGTTATCTTAATACAATTAAAATCATACCTCAATCTAGGCTTTTTTTCAGTACTTAAAGAGTTTTACTGGCTACAAAAAATACATGAGTTTTAAAAATTCAGTTTTAATTTACCTACATACTTACGGTGCAGGGTGATGTATTTTAAAAATAAATGTATTAGAATAAAATTTGGCAGGTTACATAGAGTAAAAATTTGAGTTCCAGGCAAAAAAACAAAACAAAACAAAAACGGTATAGCATTTCTGAGTAAGGAAAACTTGCCGCTGGTTGTGAAAGTGAACACTGGTAATAAAATTTCACTTTATTTTAGACACATCTGAAAGAATGATGTCCTGTCTCGTTCCAAATTGCCAGATGTGTTACATGTTAAAAATGACAGACTTGGGAATTGATGGTGAAAACTTCAGGTGCCATCTCAGTGCCAGCTGCCAGGCAGAAGTGTGGGGATGGTGTATAAACTCTCAGAAACCCGTTGGAGCTGGGCGAGCACCAAGCCTGAAGTCTGGCCCCACCCCCCCCCCCGCCAGGACTGCAGGGCCGGGCCGGGGCCGCCAGGGATGAGGGCCCAGGGCAGCCTGGCTCGAGGGTCCCACACAGTGAAGGAGAGAAGCCCCGCACACCGCCCACCTAACCCACGGGCACATCAGCCAGGGCAGCGAGGACAGCGGGCACCTGCGTGGAGCTGCGTGTAGGCCAGCTGTGTGCAGGCCGCAGGCTTCGGGAAGTGGGTGGTTTCCAAGGAGCAACGAGGGAACTGGGGGCCTCCAGGAGCAGGCAGCTTTCGGCGCCCGCTCCACACCTACAGCCCTGCGACCCCGGGTGCGTCTCCACGCCTCCCGGAAGCCGCTCCCCTCGCCCCCCGAGGGCTTCCGCTGAACTGCTGGGAGCAGGAGCCCAGTGTAAAAGGACGCAGTAAGGGACAGTGCTTTCTACTGTGGTCACAACTGCGGCGCCTCAGCCACCCTCGTTCCCGTGTCCTTGGCCTTCTCTCAGGCCCTACCTCTCTAAATGCGCCGAGAACATGCAGCCACTTTTACCTTCAAGAACGTTCTACACACAGCCATTTTGTTATTACATTTATATTGCATCTAAAGGGCATCAACCCATGTTCTGACTTCAAGCATCTGAATATAATTATCTGCAAACTGTCTTTATAATTTTTTGGTCTCTCTGTCCTGTTAATTCACCTAAACGTTTTTACCTAAATGTGTTCTCTTTTTAAAACTTAGATAAATTTATGTGAAAAAGAAGCTACTTAACTGCTGAAAATGGGGGGAAAAAGTCACCTGGCACAAATTAAAAGAAATTGGAACACACATAGACAAGAAATTGTTAGATTCTAACTTCAGTTCTGAGTCCGAGGGCAGCTGTTTTGTGATGGTAAGAGTGGCAAACGTCAGACAGACGTCAAACACACCAGCCTGCACCTGAGACTCCCCTTCAGGTTCCATGAGAGTCTGATGGATAAAGACCTGCAAGGGGTGGCCTCCTTGTGTGATTCCATTTCAGCCTGGACTGTTGCACCCACTCTTCGGGAAACCCTGTGATAATAAATGGAGTGACATGTGAACTGTCGGTCACTACTACGAACAGCCGGGTCTCACTGGCTGACCAGTAAAGAACCATCACTTGAGGTTTCATATCATCTGTGTAAATAACCAAGAAGAGCCAAGCCTACAAACGTCAAAATGAAGACAGCATTTTCAAATCGGACAGGTTGGCAAGTATTTCCCTGAAGCAACCTCCTTACTAATTTTGGCCGTGACTTTTTCCCCTTAACCACAGGGAACAAAATGAGGTGAATTCTGAAGGCTACAGCGGACCCCAGGACGGGGCCGTCTGGATCTGCTCTGCTGCGGTGCCCAGCGGTCCCACGTGCCTGCTTCAACTCACACTGACAGTGACAGAAATTAAAAACGATGAGCCATTTGTTTCCTTCAAGGAGGCACTTTTCAAATGCTCTCTGGCCACATGGCGCCCGCAGCTCCTACTGAACAGCAATATAGAACATTCCCAGAAAGTTCTAACCAGCGGTGCGAGCCTCCCTGACACATATCTCGCCAGCGGAGAGACTCCCACCCAGAAGCTGCGGCCCAGCAAAGACGCAGCTGGCAGGCGATTCCGGCTCTTTGGCCCAGACTCTCTCAGGTGCTATCACGGCCCCATCGAGGGGGTGATTCAAACTAGAGCCCCCAGGTCAACCCCAGGCCTTGCCCCCGCGCGTGGCCTCAGGGCCCGCCGTCACCGTGCACGCGCTGCTGCCGCTGCTCGGTGCTCCCCGCTCCGAGTCGCCCTGTTCCGACCTGAGCCTGGGCCCAGGCTGGGCCCCGGGGCTCGCCTTGCAGAAAGGTGCCACAAAACCCCTCCAGAAGGGTCAAGTTGCTTGGGGCTAACAGTGTTTGGAAAGACTTACGTCAGTGATGCTCTCAATAACTTCAAAACTGGTCACATTCTCATCCCACTTTTCTCGAAGGCTCCCAACAAGAGGCTTCACCAAGTCCCACACGTTTTTCTGTGTCCCGTTCACGATGCCTTCTCCTCGGTACCTGCAGCACAACAAGGAACCTGAACCCAGGGCGTCCGCTACCACACCTGTGTATCCTGGGACCACCTGTGTGACCAGCCGGCAGGCCGGTCACTGCTCTGTGGGGCAGCCTTGCAGAAGGGGCTCAGCTGACCGCTCCCCTGCCCAGGCCTGCGGAAATGGATGGCAAGCTTTCACAAGAATCGAGTTTGCTGGAAATGATTTCGTTAACAACGGAAGTTTTTCTGGAAGGGAATCGGCGCGCTGACTACAGGGTGCTGGGACGTCTGGAGTCTCCCAGGAAGGACCCCAGGGCCGTCGGGAGGGGCGCGGCGCCTCCGACAGCGTAGAGCTGGGCAAGCACTTACAGGTTCCCTGGAAACTCCACAGACGGCCTCCAGGAAACTGTAACTCCGTTCTGTCAAGAGGCAAAGAACCATAGGACTTTAGAGCAAGAAGGGCGCTGGGACATGACGGGGCCCACTCCTGCTCTGCGGGAGGGGTCTCGCCTCCAGGGATGCAGTTCTCCAGGGAGACCCAACTGACGCAGGACAGAGTGGGCTGATCCAGGACGCGACAGGGAAAGGGTCTTAACTGGCTGCCCCCAAGAGCTCTGGCTGGTTTTCAATCACCTTAAAAGCCACCATTTCACTTCCTTGAGCAACTGAGGTCCATTTGTTAAAAATCAGAACTGCCAAGTAAGAAAACTGTCCCCCTGCCACCCTCTCCGAAGGCAGAGGGCGGGGCTCACCCTGCGAGGGCAGGTTCCAGTCAGGTGACCTTAGACAAATCAATGAAGGCAGAAAGCAGAGGCTCAGCTCCAGCTTCAAGCACAATGACCCGGTACTGTGTTTCAGGGAACCCCTCCCTGCCCCCGACATCTCACGCCAGCGCCTGGGACGCGAGTGCACGACGACGGAGCGCGGAAGGGGTGAGGACCCGGCCCCAAGGAGCAAAGGCCCCGCGACCCTTCCCGCCCAGCTCCGCACTCACGCCTTCCCGACAGATCTTCCAGCCCGACTCATCTCGCCGGTACTGGAGCATCTTCTGGGCCACCGCCTCGCCCTTCTCTGCCGCCAGCGCGGGGTCCATTGCACCCAGGGCTGCGCGAGGCCGCTGGGCACTGCGCTGGGAGGCCCGAAACCTAGACCTGGGCGGAGCGCGGAACCACGCCCCGAGTTGCGCTCCTGCCCCGGGATTGGCCCAGGCCCTCAGGCGGGCCCCGCCCTGTCCTGAGATTGGCAGGGCAAGAGGTGGGACGGTTCCGCGGGACACATCACCCCAGGGCGAGTCCAGGAAAGCCGGGCTCCGCCCACGTGGCTCTGGGAGGGGCCCTGGGGCCGAACGGGCGAAGTGGGGCCGCGGGCAGGAGACCCTGCAAGAGCTCGGTAGAGAGCCAAACATTCTTAGGGGCCAAGAAAGAAGAGGCCAGCAAGTGAACCCCATTTTAAAAAGTAAACACATCAAAGATCATAAAAAGCCGGATAACGCTCTCAGAGAACAATCGGGCATATTTTAACTAACAGTAAATTTTCTTAATGTACAAAGTGTTCTTACAAATGAGGACATTTCGAACAACCCAAAGGGCCAAAAGAATGCATCAGGCATGAACACATCCTTCGCACACAGCTTAATCCATGGCTAATAAAGGGTACAGCACCTTCCTCCTGGCTGGGGCATTACGATTCCCTGATAGAATGGGGCGGCCCTTTGTACACCCATCTGATGAGCAAACAGGAAGAGACCTGTTACTGCCCAGCCGGTGCACAGAGACAACTGTTGTTTTTACGCGCTGTGGGTGAGCGTAGGACTTTAACTTGCTAAGAGAAAAATAACATATATTAAAGTTAGAACTTGTTTTTTTCACCTAGCAACTCCTGCACAGAGGCATGTAAGGCTGGTCTTGCTCCTGGACACACGGAGTGTCCAGGGCCTGCACAGGCTTACGGGGCACCCGCTTAGCGGAGCGTCCTCTGCACAGGCGCAGCCAGGGGAAGCGGGGGCACAGCGGCGGCTCCACACAGTACAGGGCCGTCTCCCAGCGGCAGCAGGCAGGAGCCGGCTAATCTAAGCAAGAGCCATTTACTCCCCACGAATGGAATCAATGGTATGCAGAACCTCACTTTAAAAATTACCACATTTTCTAAATGCTCCTGAAGAAACCAAATGTTTACATGTGTGCTGGCAGGGAACGCTATCCACAATATCCATCTCAAGTGCAAAACGTGAACCGCAGGCGCTCTGCGATGCAGAGAAGCTGCCAGTGCTCCGCCGGGCTGCCTGGCTTGAGGCTCAGCGCCACCACCTGCCAGCTGCGACCCTGAGGAACAGCTGCCCCCTAGGCCTTAGTGTCCTCAGGTGGGAGACGAGGCAAATCACAGCACTCGCTGGTATGGTCAGCGTACGGGTCGAAGGATTCAACCAATAGCCACCAGAATGCTGCTAGCACACAATGAACATGTAGTATCACATATATATTATGTATGTAACTTGAAAGATAACTAGAGATGTGCTCATGTTTTTATGTATGTGTCTGTGTGTATATATATTTTTAGAACACTCACTTCCAGAAAGGTATAGAATAAAAAGTATAGAAAGGTAGGGCAAAGGACATTTCTCTATCATTTTGTATCAAAATGTACCATTTAATTAATTTAATTGCTAACATGCAGGAGTTTTTAAATTAAAAAAAAAAAAAAACCTCTGTAAAAAGGTAGGATATTTCTATAAAGCTGCAGCTCTAGATCCTGTCCGACTGGGGCCTATGAGAATTTCATTTGGGGAGAAAACACTATGACAACGAACCTGAGGAAAAGTCAGGTTAGAGAAGGTCACTTTTGTGAAGACATCAGAATTTAACACGTTTTTATGCTTAGCAGGATTAAGCGTGGATTTAACATTTTCTCAGCACTGTAAGAGCCTTTGCCAGAAAACGAGATGCTCTCGGCACGGGACGCGCCTGGGGAAGCGCCTGAGGAAGCGCACCCGTCACTGCCGAGGCCAGGGTGACCGGCGGCCCGGGGGCAGGAAGGGCAGCAGGCTGGAGCCGGCCGGACGGAACTGCCCACAGCCGCACAGCACTCTGTCCTGCGGTCTGCCCCTGGCCACAGCTCAGAGGCCCAGGAGGGCTGCCTGGGCCGTGAGGCCTCCGCTGATGGGGCCCTCCCACGAGGCCTGGAGCAGACCGAGGAGCCTGAAGTGGGCGGACGCGGGAAGGGGTCTGGCCACCAAGGGGGTGGGCCCAGGGTCCAAGCGCCCCCGTCGAGAAAGCTCTGCCCCGGAGGGTTTGTGACCTGCCTAGGCACGGGGGCGATGCTGCACGCACCCTGGCGCAGTCAGCTCCCACAGGTGCTGGAGGAGCTGGGTCTCCGTGCGCGTCTGCATTTACTCACTCTTCCCTGAGCAACAGCTAATGGTTCCTCAGCACGTTCCTTGCCAGTCACCTGTAAGCACCTGACCCGTACTGTGCCATCCACCCCTCCCAGACAGAGACTGCACGCCGCACTTCACGGGCTAGGACGCCGAGGCTCACAGAGGCAGCTGAGGCCACAGGAGTAGGGAGCGGCAGAGCCGGGGCACACCCCTTCTATTCCACGCGTCTGCTCATGTCCTCTCTTGACTCTTACTTCTTCCAAGGAAATACAGCGTTTACCATGAAATGGGCAGAGTAAAAAAATAAAAAAGGATGGACACACAGAGAGGACACACAGAGGACACACAGACAGAGGCTCCGGGCAACAGACTGCCACTCCGCCCCGGAGGTTTGTCTCTGAGGTGCAGAGAGGCTCCTCCCTGAACTTGCTGCCATTCGGGGATCTGGAGCAGGACTGACAAGGGAGCCACGCTCAGGTCACCACGCCGGTCGCCAGACTCCTTATCCAGGGCACGCACCCATCATAGCTAATGGGGCACCTCCGACGGTCGCTGAGACCTGTGATGAGGCTGTTCTGCAGGTATTTTTAGGAGGAGTGCCCACAGTGGGGCCCCCACCCTCCGTGGTTCCAAGTCGCCTCCCCGCCCCCTCCTCCCTGCCGGGACTGAAAGCCAGAGGAATGCTGTGAAACCACAGTTACGCAAGGGCCTTGCGAAAGCCCAGACGTGCATCTTTTCATTGCTGCAACTTAGATAAGGGCAAGTGCTGGTGGCTGCTGAGGACAGAAAGGACACGGAGCCCAGAGCCAGTCCAAGAAACGCGAATTCACAAAGATCCCCTGGAACACATTTTCCCCGCTGGCTGACAGAAATGACATGGTGGGGCAACATCCAGTACTGGCGAGGCTGTGAGAAGGAAGGGCCTCCCGCCGCCTGCACATGTGGCCTCCTGGGAGCCAGGGGGTTCTGCTCTGGGAGAACCAGCCCCCACTCCCCTGACCTGGCACACGCGCAGAGGCCACGTGGGAAAGTCTTAGTGCCCCTTTCCTGTTAGCGGCACAGCAGTGGGAGCGATTTCGTTGTCCATCGGTAAGTGGATCAATGTTGCGCACTTTATTTGTATGATGACATGCTATGCAGCAGTTACAATAAGTGAGCTGGATCTACGGATGTCTTCAGCAGACCCCAGGAATATAAATGTGTGCAGCACATGGAAGTACGACAGCATTCACTTAGGTGAAACACTGACACTGTTTACAAATGCCTATACACATACATTCACACACACGTTTACATGTAACCGTGCAGACAGACTGAACGGATACAAGCCAAACTCTTGGTAGGAGCGTGAGGGGACAGCGTTACGTGTGGGGATTAGAGCGGACCCTGATTGTGTCTGTCACGCTTCCTTTGTTACTACGATTACTGCTACTGCTACTACTACTGATGGAATGGGCGCTGGTCCTCTAGTTCACTCTGTTCCTCTGAGAGCCCGCGAGCCGGGCTGCGCCCTGGAAGGGGATGCGCACTTGCCACTCCGGGCGTGCAGGGCGACCCCGGGCCGGGACGGCGCACCTGCAGGCGCTGGGACAGGGCCGGGCTTCCAAGCATGTTTCGGTGTCCCCAAGAGCCCTGCACCACAGCCCCTGACCAAGCATGTGGGAGAAGGGACCCTCACCATGAACTCCCAGGGGCACCTCTATCAGAAAAGGATGTTCCGCCGTCTTTTACATGTCAGTGACAAATATAAACACCATTCCTGTCCCCAAGGCGCTCACAGGAGGAAGAGCTAGGAACTCCAAAGACACAATCTGGAGTGATGGGTTGTCATGGGGACAGGAGCGGGCTGCTGTCTGCCCAGCTGTGCTGACGCATCGCGCACTGCAGCCCGAGACCCCATGACAACACCGGAAAGGGCCCCAGCCCTGGGAGGGAAGGTAACCTGGAGCGGGAGGGGCAGCTGTGTCCTTTCCGGGTGCGCTAGCTGGGGCTGTACTCCCGAACTTCCTGTAGCCAGGAACTCCTGCTCCACCTATCGCCTGCAGGAAGCCTGTTGAGAGTAGGAGAAAACAAGTCAGCAAACAGAAGTAGCGCCAAGGGATGAGGAGACAGAATCCTGGAGATGTCTCCTCACTCCCGGGTGTTAACTGGAGGACCGAGCTCCGCATGCCGGAAGACAGCGCACGCACAGGATTAAGGACAGGCGCAGACCTCTCGGGGGCCTCTGCCGCTGGCCCGGGCTGTCAGGCTTGCCTGTGACTGGTCACCTGAGTTGAGGCAAAGGGCTGTGGGAGGCGCTAGATCGAGGAGACCGCCGCGGGCAGCCCCCTTGTGTGTGGCTGCTGGGGAGCGGCTGGCTCCTGGAGGGGCCCCACATCTCAAACACCCACTGGCACACTCATCTCTCTTGCGGAAGGGTCCGGGACCACACTCAGTCACACCCCCCCGGCCCTGTGGGAGGCCCCCCTCTACGAGCCCAACGCCAGGAACACCTGCTAGACGTGTGAACAGATCAGGGCGTTCAGATCCACGAGCAGCTCCTGCCTCGACACAGCCTTCCTCCTGCCGCTGCGGCCCACGCCCCTCGGGGCCTTGTCGTGTCTGTGGGAGACCTGGAGGTACTGGTCTGTGCTGCTGCTCTGCTGGTCGCTGCTGGACGCCGCCGACAAGGAATCAGATTCGGTGAGGGTGGGCTCGCATGCGGGCTTGCCCCTGGGCCTCCCGGGGTGCGGTGGGTGCTGGGAATGCCGGGAGCGTGGCTTCCTCTGCACGTACATGGGCCTGTCAAGGCGACCGTCAAAACTGTCCTTCCAAGGCCTGGGATGCCCCCATCCCTGGTGCTCAGGAGCCAGGGCGTGGATCCCTGACCCGCCGCCAACAAAAAAGTGAGGAGCCCCGTGCAGGCCTGCCAGGCAGTGTGGGTGTGGAGGCCGACGGCTCAGCTCTCCCCCCCGCGGCTCCTCCTCTTCGCTCCGCTGCGGAGGGCGAGCCCGCTGCGGGGCCCAGGATACACAGTGTCGCACGTTCCCGGGGTACGTTTCCACAGCTTCCCCATAGGCACCTATTCTGAAGCGTCCTTCAGGCCAGAGTGTTGGCCGGGTTTTGTGGGAGTCACGCTCGTTACCAAGACAGCATCTGGGGGCGGGGGGCCTAGGAGCACGTGGCGCCACAGCCAAGGCCCCTGGCCCATGGGGGCGAGGGCTGATGCCCTCGAAGTCTTCTCGGAGAGGAGGTTCTGAGCGAACATCTTCCAGGTGCTCTGTAAACGCCACAGGTGTGCGGGGTCTGTTCCTGTGAGGGTTGCCTGTGCCCGCACACGGACCACGTGGGTGCCTGTAAGACAGGGGTGGTCAGGCGTGTGGCCTTGGCACCCTCGCAGCCCACGCCTTCCGAGCACTGGGGACGACAACAGAGCTCTCCTGGAGTTTTCGCAGAACCTGGTTCCACAGTGTCCTCGGGTGTCCGTGGACGGCACCCCCAGAGCACGGGGACCTGGCCTGAACGGGTCTCTTCTCTGCCAGAACTCCCCGAGCCCTTAGCGTGATGCGGAGCCCGTGCAGTTCCGGGGGGGTTGGGGGTGCCGAGGGCCTTGCTAACCCGCCCCAGGAGCACACAGCAGGACCGGCACTGGTGCAGCTGCTAGGAGCAGCTCCTCACTCCCCTGCCCCACAGCTGCCCAGCCCCGCAGACGGTCACCCCCGGAGCCTGCTGGACGAGTGGAATCCCTCCTCCTCGTCAAAGCCCCACTGGGGCGTGCAGACGGCGTCTCACACAGCGCATTGCCAGGGCCCTTGCGGCTCAGCCTTCGTTTCTGAACAGGCCCCACTCCCACCCCGTGTTGTATCTACACGCTTTCACTGTGTTACACGGAGACTACATGGTCCCCGAGTTTGGTGAGAGTGTCACGTGGGATCCGTGGCTCTCACAGGTATGAGTGAGACAAACAACGGACCCCACATAACAGACATGGTCCTGCAGACGACCCGGCCAGCCCAGACCTACAACATCCGGCCGACAGCACAGCCCTTTCCAAGAGGCAGGTGTCCAGCTCTGCAGACAAGCTCACCTGTCGGCGTCGCGCTCTGGCCCCCGTCTCGAGATGCCAGGAAGGGTCGCGCAGGGGCTGCTGGGCCCTGGCCGGGGGCTCTGGGACGTGGGCTGGGTGACCATCGCTACCCTGCCACTCCTGCTGCTCGATGAGTCAAAACTGACCGCATGGCCATTGTTCTGGGGTGTCACTGAGCAAGTCAGGGACAGCTGGCTGCCGAGGTCACTGTCCTTTGAGAGCCTCTTGGTGCTTTCCTCTTGGGTTTGGATTCGGGCTGCAGGAAAAGGGAGGGCTGTGAGAAGGTGAGCTCGGGGTGGCATGTTCAGGGTTGTTCAGCTGCAAGAGAGCATGACTTCCAACAGCTGGCTCAGCTAACCAGTGAGGGTACTTGCAAATACACCTAGCCCACGGGCAATAAACGTCTCCTAATTCACAGAAGGCTGGAGCTGAAGGTAAGTGCAGGAGGGACCAGGCGCACCCCGGACGTTGCAGGCACACCACCGGCAGCCCGAGGAGGCACAGCGGCGCTCCACCAGCACGGGGGCTCTGGTTCTTCCTCTGTGCAGTGGGGAGAGGAAGCTTCCATGGCAGTGGTGACTTTCTGGAAACGGGTCACAGAGCATTCCAAAAAAAAAGGTATGTGGCCTTGGACTGCAAAGTGGACACTGGACAATTCTACCGTTACCTCAAGGACGTCGGCGATGCTGCCTTGAGAACTAATACTGCACAGTCAGAGCGGAGCGGGGTTTCCTAGCTCGGGCTGCAGGCTCTTTCTACAGCGAAGTCCCTGCACAGACCACGGCCTCACAGCTCCTAGGCCTTCTCCCGCGGGGCACGGCCCCTCCCACTCAGCCCCTGCCAACCGGCTCAGAGGTAAAGCAGACGAGAGTGGGCCGGCTCCTGAATCAATCGTCTCTGAGGAGGGCCTCCTTCCCCCGCTGAGCCTCAGGTACAGCTGGGGACGAGGGGGGGAGGTGCGGGCCCAGGGGTGGGTTTCTGATTCGGGGCTCTGGTCTCGGGCTGCCCGCCTGCCTGGCACTGCCCTGCAGCCGTGGGACAGGGAGGGCTCCCCCTGAGGGGCTGGGCTCCGTGGCCGAGGCCTGAGGAGGGGCCTTGCCGGGGAGAAACGGGACGTGGACAGAAGTACGCAAGGGTGAACGAGACAAAGGCGTTCTTATGGGTTTTCTCCAAGTTGATGGTTTTGCTTCTTTTTTCTCTCCTACTTCAAAGTTTCCTTCTGATTTCAGACACGTTTTAGTCACAGGCCGGGGTATAATGTAAAAAATCTTAGACTGAAGCCAACGTCTATCTCCGGAGATCTTACCTTACTGTGCCGAGGTAATGGTGAAACCAGATTCTATCCGGAATCGTTGATGGTACCTTAAACTGCTCTATTTTTAAATGCCCAACAACTAAGATATCATCGCACGTTTTTCTTCACACTCACCTTCCATCATTTGGGTAACCTTTCGCTTATCTTCAGATCTTGCCTAAAATATAAAGGACAAGCACCAGTCTGTTTGCATTTAGCAGGCAGCACTAACAAACACTGTCCTTGGGGGAAACGACCCCTGCAGCCCTGCTCACGCCGTGGGCCAGGCCTGAACTGGTAGCGCCCCGGGGACGGCAGGCCCTGACTCAGACCTGTGCCTTGAGCGCGCACATGCTGACCCCTGAGAGCCGGGGTTTTACGCCCAGCGAGTTTTATTTTCAATCACTGGTTAGAGCATTTAGGTTCTGCCAACAGCGATTTGCCTGAGACGCTGAAGACAAAATGTGAAGTGGCAACATGGGAGACGTGTCTTTCCACAAACATGCCCGTTCCTACCAAATGCCCTTCTTCTTTACTTATTTATGGAATGAACTAGTATTTCTTTACACGAATTGATATTCGTGGGAAGTGTTTTTTGAAAAAAAAACTAGAACTCTGGCATGGGGCTCTGCGACAGGGCTGAGGCCAGCGAGCCGTGCGCTGCTGGAGTGAGGGTGCAGGGTCAGCACGGCCTCGAGAGCTGGTGCCTCCTGAAATGGGACACCTGGTGCCTGGCCCTGGGGGCGCAGCGGGGTGTGGGGGGGGAGTGTGGAAGGACGGGGCAGGGCCAGGCTCCCGCTGACCGTTCTGACCGCTGAGGTCTGGGGCCCAGATGGGAGAGAAGGTAAGGACCACCAGAATGGAAGACAGGAGAAAGGCGGGCCTTTGGTTCCAAACAGCGCCTTTGGGTTCCGACGCCCAAGCTGACATGGTCCGGGGGCCCTTTCTCTTCGCCTTCTGTCCAGCACAGCCCACGGAAAAGCCCACACTCGGAGGGCGGGGCATGGCCACAGGCAGAGCCAAGGTGTTCAGGGAACCAAAAAGCATAGGCAGACTCGCTCCTGGCGGGGTGGGAGCCACCCCTGCCCATGGGGGCTCTTAGAAATGACTCTGGGAGATCCTGGGAGGGAGGAGGAATGGCCTTGCACCCCACCAAGTGGCCAAGTGGTCCTGTGATTTGAAAAAGTGAGGCCTCACTAGTGTCCCCTGCTGGTGGGACCTGTCATGTAGCCGACACACAGGCACAACAGCAAAGAAGAGACAATACTTGCATTCTGGATCTGCATTTTGAGCTGGTGGTTGCTGAGCTTCAGAGACCGCGCGATGCTCTGCAGGTAGTAGATGAGCATGCTAGGACAGAACAGCACAGGGGGCTCAGCGCACCTCAACCGACCGCCTTGCTCCCTGCTCAGCTGGGCGGCAGGAAACAAAGCCACCCACTGCTCCCTCTCCTGAGGACAGAAGGCCTTAGCAGTTCTCAACCCGTGAGCACTGGGAAAGGGGTGCTTGCCTTGCCTTGCCTTGCCTTGCCTTGCTTTTCACAGCGCCCCGCCCCTCCAGTCCCCCACCTGGGATTGGGCGCAGGTTACGGTGGTAAGGAGGGAGTGAAGACAGGAGAGGCGCTTACAGCCCACTGGGCTACAAGAGCTGTACCCGTGAAGCTGCAGTGAGCGGGAGCTGCCTGGCTGCACTGCAAGACGCCTCTCTGAGGCTGCCTGGACTTCTCGGGAACAGGACGATGGCAATGCCGTTCAGCCCCATCTCAGCGGCCTCGGTGAGTGCCCGCTGCCGCGGGTGCACCGACCGTGCTGCACCTCCTGCCTGTCCGGAGTCCCTGCTTAGGTCCTCCATCCCTGTAAGTGACTTGCACAAACTCACTGATTTTACGTGATGTTTGGAGAGGAGTGCTCGCTAGCTGGCCCCACCAGCAGAGTCCCCAAGAGCCGGCAGGGAGGGTGTGTGGCACTCACAAGAGCAGCAGCACTGCCGGCAGGATCACCACGGGGCTGCTGACGTACCCGACCGCAGCGCTGAACCATGCGGGGAAGTCCTTCTCGATCGTTTCCGACACGATGTCATAAATTTTCTCTTGCCCACTGCAGAGAGAGAACCATGACTCCTGGTTGGCTAGCGTGCCCTCCTCAAAGTCAGCTATGAAACGGGAGTGCACGCCTGAATGTCAATGACAGCACCCCTCTGGTGGCCGCCTACGGAGTCACCGAGTTAACACGCAGCTTTAAGGTGGGTCAGAAATCACGGCAAGTGCGTGTCTTTTTATAGTGCAAACACCAACTCTAACTGTCCCGTAAACATATCAAAATGGATTAGGTCCTCAGTGGAGGTAACTTGAGGGGTTTCTGCCTCGACACAAGAAAACGTGCAATCAAGAGTGACAAGGACGATCCTTTAAGCCCCGGAGTTCTGGAAGGGGAAGACTGAGCCAAGCAGAAGCTCCTTCTAGCGCCCGAGCAAGGCAGCTGTCCTTCCCGATTCTCAATGGGCCGCCCCTCTTCAAAAGGGGCGCAGGGACGGTCGCACCGGCAGGCAGCCTGCTATCGAGGAGGGCGCTTGCCTTGGGGTCCCTGCTGCCGACCTGCTCTGTGAGCAGGAGGGGAATCCAGCTCAGTGCTGGCAGTGACGGAACTAAAGGCACTTGCCTGAAAGGCCCGCAGTGCAGAGATGGCTTGTACCGGACAATAGCAAACACGGTGGGCAGCATGCAGAGGAAGAGCATGAACAGGAGCATGGCCAGGTAGAAGTTGTTGGACCTGCAAGAAACCGGCAGCCTTGCACAGAGGCCACTCGTGGCCGGTTGCCAGCGACCTACGCCCAGAGAACAGACACGAAAACCAGCCCCGGCTCCGCAAACAGGAAAGGCGCCCGCCCCCATGTCTAGGAAGGGGTCTGACAGAGGGCCACCTATCACGCAGCCCAATCGGCCTGTCCCCTGCACATCTGCTCAGCACCTGCCCGCATCAAGCCAAGGCAGAGGTAAACCCATGGCCATGACGTAATAAGCTTCGTTCATGGGAAGCCCCGAGAACCTCTGTTCCATCTGCCTGGGTCCCCAGCCTGAACTCCTCTCTTGTCTGAGGGTGGCTGGGCTCCTTGACTCTCTCACCTCCCGCCCTGCCTGCTCCTGGCTGCTCAGATACGTGCTCTGCCTGAGGAAGCCCTGGGCCCTGAGCGGGTGTGCACGCCTGCAGAGGGTGTGAGAGTCCCTCAGTGCGGGGACGCTGCACTAGCTCTGTCTGTCTCTGTCTTTAATCAGTTTGGACAGAAAAGAAACACCAGAGCACACAGAATGTAGCGAGTGGGGGACTGTTAACGTGTGAGACCTCTCTCCCCTCCTACTCTGCATACCCGTACCTACCACACCTGCCCTGTGCCTCCCTATCTGTAGCACATTATATGTATACTGTCCAGATCAAACTAGGTCATGGCCAGAAAGTCAAAAAGTCACGGACAACCACATAATCACATTGAAATAAAAGAAACGAGCTCGATAAGCTTGAATTAATGTGTTCAAAATTCCTCAAAATAAAAAAAAACACAGGAACAAAACCAGTGCTGCCTAGGCTGTGGGACAACCGGGCCCCGCCCCCCATAACGGTGCCGAACGCCAGGGGTGTGGCCGCCCGGGAACGCTCGGTGCTGTCAGCCAAGGGTGAACAGATGCAGGCCACGACCCGGCTGTCGCACGCCTGGGCGTCTCCCAGCAAAGGCGCCTGGGGGAGGCTCGGGGCGCATCACTCCCACAGCCAAGAGCTCAGGAACGACCTGCGTGCCCTCCCTCAGCGCAGATAAAGACGTCGGGGTCCTGTTCTCCGTGACATGAGGCAGAGAGGCCAGAGGCCAGGGGCAGCGCGTGTGCATCTCCGCCCACACAAAGGAGTACCCGGCCGAACGCAGGGCGCTTCCAGGACCGGCAGTAACTGGATGCGGTACATGGGGCTTCCCAGGGACGTCCCTGTTGTTTCTTGATCTGGGTAATGTTTCCATTTCTGTGTTCAGTTTCGGAATATTCATCGAACGGGGTCTCTGTGTAAGTGCACTTTGGACTGGATTACTGAACTTCAGTACAAGTTGTTAAAAACGTGTCGTGAGCGTGTGAGGAGTAACGATTACTTCCGAGGGTGGGCCCCTGGAAACGCTTCCTGGAGGAAGCGAACTGGGAGACAGGCAGGGAGGGGGGAGCCCCCGGCTGGGGACGCCCTGGACAGGCCTGCGCGGCTCGGTTCTCTGTGCGGCTCGGGTGTGGTCCGACCGACCTGGATGCCCGGAACACCTGCTGGTGGGGCACGTTGCAGGTGAGCACAGCCCAGCTCCTCAGGTACATGAGCCCAATCAGTTTGAGGACGTTGAATGCAGGGAGACACGGGGAGAAGAAGGACCCCATCCTGGAACCGAGAGGGAAGCCAGTGAGCGTGCGTTCTCTTCAGCCTACTGTGGCTCTGAGACCCTGGCGTGTGCGCCCTGCGCTTAAAGAACCAGGGAAGCCCCCCAAGGTCGGAGACCCGAACTTCCACCTTCTGCAGACAGAGCAAATCGCTTCTGCAGGAGAGTAGGGATCCTGTTTTAAAATACCCTTTGTCTTTGTCTTCATGCTCAGCGACAGAAGGCCCCCTCCTGGTGATGAGGTGAATGACAGACGGCTACAGTTGGGGCAAGCTCTCCATTTGTCTGTCCGTGGTGAGCGCTGATTAATAAATTCCCGACTTTCAGCTTTAATCATGTGTGGAGCAGTCACTTTGGCTGGACCTCACACATTTTAGCTCACTTAATATTTGGCAATCATGGAAGAAGAGGTAACTGCCCCAAGTTTACACACATGGAAGGTGGGGCTGGGGAAATCAAGGCATCTACACAAGCACATTGCTCATAAAGGGGCAGATGACCTTTGGGTCATCCTTGGATGACGCTGCATCATCCAAAGTGAGATACTCTTGGGAGTGACCGGCCGGGTCGACCGGCGAGACCTAGACTACCTGGGGAACCGCATTTATTACGGTCGCGTCGCATCCGGCCTAAGGAAGTTAACATCTCTGCCCACACGCAATGTGAGCAAAGGCACGGAGAAGCTGTTGACACCCACCAGATCATTCCTTGATTGTAGACGAGGTGCAGCACGTTCTCTGCGATTTTGAATTCTCCATATTCAGGCTGCAAGGGAAACACACCGGCAGCTCACTGCAGCCTCCCCGCCCAGAGTTCCCGCCCTTAGGGATGGACACGTGAAGACCCCCGTCTGCCTGGCGACCGCAGCCAGCAGTCATGGGAGACTCAGCTTTGCCCATCCTCTCCCTCGTGCCTCACGTCTGCCCCCCAGCCCAGGCGCCAGGACAGGACGGGTCCAGCCACACGAGCTTCCCCAATGGACGCAGTATCTCACTCACAAACTTGCTCTCCAGGTCCCAGCACCAGTAGTCACTCAGGTACCGAACAAAGAGACCCCGAAAGAAGTCGATGAGCAGGACGCTGGCCACGGTAAAGAGCATGTCGATGATGGACAGCTTCAACATCTCCTGAAACACAGGCGCCCTCGCTGCCACCCCCCGCCCCGCCCCCCTCCCTGCCCGTGGGCGGGAGGCCCTGCTGTCTAAGTCTCTTCTGGCACGTAACGGGGCTCAGTGAGCCGGGGCTCACTGGCACTTTGGCATCCGCGGTCTGCGCTATGTGGAAGCAGGGGGGGTCTGAGGCCAGCGATTCGGTGTCAGGGGCTCAGGGCTCAGGGCAGACTGAGACTGCGTGTGGAAGACCGGGTCGGAGCGGAGCTCGGAGCATGTGCCTGGCTTGAGCCTGTCCTATCTGTGTCCTCGGACAAGTCATTTAACCTCTTATGCCTCAGTTTCCTCATCTGTGCTTATAAAGATGATAATAATAGGATTCTTATGTGGACAAAGCACTTAGAACAGGGCCCAGGACACAGGCAATACTACATGAATCTTTGATGGTGATTATTCATTTGGAGACCAGGAAAACCCTAACCTGTTCGTGAACCTCACTTCCCTTTTCTGTAGAAGAGGGGCGATGCAACTTGAGGGGGCTGCTGGGGTTGAGGGAAGACGCGGACGTGAACAGGCTTCAGAGCGAGAGGGCGCACCTGCCCGACGTAGGTTTCCCAGCACTGGCCCTGCAGGCCCTGGCTGCCTGCGGCAGTCCGGTTGGCCTCCGAGAGGGCCGAGGTGTAAGCCGGGACGCCAGCCGGTGCCGGGGCCCAAGTGCTGTTTCTCCCGAGCCCCGTCCCTGGCCCAGGTGTGGACACCTTCTCTCCTTCAGGGGCTGTCCTGGTGGTGGAGAAGGTAGTGGAATCCAGCCAGTGACTGGTGTTATTTTTGGTAGCAGCTTCCTGTCGAAAGAGGGAGGGAGGGAAGAAAAAAGGTTGTCCACATGCTCGTGCCCATCATGGGTACAAGGACGTCTCTGCCCTGCTCAGGGATATTCCCTCTTGAGACCTCTGTCCCTCTGTCTCCAGCCTGGCAGAAAGCCACCGGACTAGACGCAGCCCCAGTCACGTAACACAGAGCTGGGATGCACAGCATTTAGTGACTCTGAGTAGTTGCCTGGGACTGTTCCGGTTAATACACATCATGTCTCATCATCCTCACAAAGTGCCAGGTAAGCATGACTGGGGACGAAGCTCAGCGAGCTGAAGTCACGCCTCTGAGGTCCCTCGGCTGGCGAGGGGCAGGTCACAGCCCAGTCTCTGCAATGTCCCAGCCTGGACACAGAACTGTTCCTGCTGCCTCTCCTGCCTCACACGACCTGGAATTCGGAGCTGGGGAGGCACGGGCAGACAAACAACCCTGAGAAACCTCCTCCTCCTTCCTGTCCCCAGCCCACCACGTAGGGCGCCCTCACAGGAGGGACAGGTTTAAAATGAGCTCCCAGGCCGCCAGGCCGGGGCGGCACCACCGAGGCTGCTAGGGACTGCCCCACCGAACGCGCGGCCCCTCCCCTGCCCTCACAGCAGCTCGGCCTGCCACCCTCCTGGCCGCGCCAGCAGGGCTGCCGACAGCTCCGGCCGGTGGAATTCGAGGAAACGGGACGGCAGACGGGAAGAGAGCTGCCGTCGAAGGCCCAAGGGAGCTCCCACGCCCGCACTGCCACTTCCTAGCCATGCACCCTGGCCTCAGCGTCTTTACCTTGAGAATCCAGGGGCTCATTCTTCTCTCCTCACCTGGAGAAGACCATGGGTGAGCTGAGTCTTAGATGTGATGCGAGGAGCACAAATACAAGGGGTGCCATCACGACAGTGACGACGAACCCTGGTGCGCGCGCGCGTGCATCTGTCTCTGCGTCTGTCCTGTGTGCGTCTCTGCATGTGTCTGCGTGTGCATGTGTGCGCCTGTGTGCGGGCAGTGGCTGGCGGCTGCTGCCCGAGGTAGCGCACTCACCTCGGTGCTCATGCTGTTGACTTTGTCCAGGAGTGCGATGATCAGACTGTAGAGGTTCCCCAGGTACAGCACAAGGACCCTGGAAGGCACGAGCCCCGCTGAGAGATAAGGTCACAGAGCCTGTGGCCCTAGACCTGCCGCAGTGCGGGAGTGACTGTCACCGCGGCACTAACCCAGTAGCTGCCTCGCTGGGGACAGTAAAAAGCAGCGCATTCCAGTGCCCACCTGCTTCCTCGGCCTGGGGGGGAGCCCGGGGCTCCGAGCTCCCACCTGCCCAGGTGGCTGTGCTGCGGCCTGTGCTTGGCTCCGCACGTGGTGCCACCAGAGCAGCAGCAAGAGCAAGACCCACGGCAGCTCTGAAGTGCCGTGTCAATCCTGTGTGCCTGTGTCGTGCTTTCTGGTTTATAATGAGATTTTCAAGGCACTGCGTTTGATTCTCCAGCCCTGTGAGGCTCACATTGTTATAAACCTACTTAGGGACAAGCAAACAGCCGTGGGGAGGGCTAAGTGACCTGTTCAGGCTCACAGTCACAGAGAGGCAGGAATGCAAGCTCAGGGTCTACGCGGTCTGGTTCTGAGACACGGGCCGAGCCCCTGAGGCGCCCCGGGGCCGAGGCTGTGAGGGCCGTGGGCGCCGAGTGCCGGGGACCCGCCAGTGCCAGCCTCCGTCAGCCGATGGCCAGAGACCTGGTGCTTGCTCCCTCTACGTCGGAAAGTTTGGGAAACACATGCAATTCCCCAGGATGCAGCCTTGACTCTGACCAGATGCCTGCCTGGGAAAATGCGATGAAGGAAAGCGGCAGCCTCACACACAGCTTCCCAGGGATGGGAGTTAGCGGCTGGGCCCCGTGAAACCGGTGCCAGTTCAGGGCACAGAGAAGGAGGCCGTCTCGTCATGCAGAGAGGACGCCAGACTCAGCCTCCAGGAGGCCCACCCGCCGCAGCCCCTCCCTCCTCGGGAGCAGAGCTGACACCTGCGCGCAGGGGCGAGCAGAGAGCAGGCAGGGCCGCCCGTGGGCACTCCGCGACCGCGCCAGTGTCCCCTGTGACCCTGTGACAGGACTGCTTCCAGTGTCAGGCCAGGACCCCTTTATCTCTGCAGTCACGGTACCTGGCACAGGGCAAGGCCCTCAGCAACCCGGCTGAGCACTGGCTCAGGGAAGAGCTGCAGGCTGGGGCCTCCCGCGGTATCGTATCCCACTGCGTTGGTCCCTGTGCCTTGGCTGAAAGGTGACAGGGCCTGCGGGCATGTCCATGGCACTAAGAAAATACATCTTGCCCTGGCCGGCTGGCTCAGCTGGTTGGAGCGCTGTCCTGAGCAGCAGACCAGGTTGTGGGTTCGATCCCTGATCGCGGTATGAATGGGAGGAAACTGACCAATGTCTCTCTGCACATGGCTGTTCCTCTTTCTCATTCCCTCTCTTCTTCTCTAAACTGAATAAACTTATCTTTGGGGGAAGATTTTTTTAAAAAAAGATAATATGCCTTGCCCGTTACCACAATTACACGTCTGGGGCATGTCCCTCTATGCCTCTGTTTCTCTAGTTTAGAACATGAATAACGAGGCCAATCTCTATAATAGGGTTGCTATTAGACCAAATGCAATAACAGAATTGATTCTCCCACCGCCTGCTGCTGAGGAAGGAGCCGAGGAAGGTCAAGGAAGCGCTGAGCGGGGTGGGACGACCAGGAGCCCCGGCAGGGCTGCGCATCGCCGCAGAGCAACCCTGCGTGGAGGGGCGTCGGCAGGCCCTCGCGCCTTCTACTCATGCTCTTCCTCTGAAACCACAGGCTGTTTCGGAGGGTGGCAAGTCTACGGAAAGCACCGGCCACTTCCTGAGGGGCAGCAGCCCTTCCCTAAGTGGTCATGCACGGCTCATTCTGCAGGACGTGCCCCATGTCACGGGGGAACACAAAAGACGAGACAAACGCAGGCCCCGTGGGCGGGGGCCGGTGAGCAGGGCCCTGGCAGGGAGCTCTGTCCACGTCCCGCCTGACAGTCCTCCCCGAGCCTCCTGGCTTAACGTGCAGGTGAAAAGACCACCCCAGAGGGAAGGGGTTTTTCAGGTAGGATGAAGCCAGCACTAAAAATGGACCACGGTAGCTGCTCTGACCCCTAGGGGGTGAATCCCAGGACCACCGTGGCTCAGGTCTGCGCTGACCCCTGGCTTATCCCCAAGAACCTCTTCAGAAATAAGCGGCAAAGCTTTATGCCCGTCTCCTGCCTGGAAAAAGCACATGGGTTTTGCTTATCTCCCCCAGTCAGTCCATGGAGAACTCAGTATGAGGGGGCCGGACACCTGCTCTGCTGGCTGGGTCCTCTTTCTTGTGCCTGTTTCCATAGTCTGTTCCTTCCTCATGGCCCCGCCTCTTTGTCTCTCTGCTTCCTCCTCCCCGCTTCTCTCTGGTGAACCCACAGGGGAAGTTCTGTGCTAAATTTCAGGGCCAATGGCGCAAACCCTGGCTCTTGCGGAGCCTGGCTTCCCACAATGGGACCGCGGGGCAGCCCACACGGAAGGGTCCCCCAGGCTGTGCGCGGTACCTTGCCAGCTGGAAGCGCAGCGTGGTCCGTGGGTGGTACATCTCCAAGGCCGCGATGAGGTCAAAGGCGGACGGTGCGAGCATGGTCACCAGAGAGACCACCACGCTCACCTGCCGAGAGAGGGCCACCCATGAGGCCCCAGGTGCCACACCCAGGCCTCAGGTGGCTCCCAGTGCCCTCAGCCTAACGTCTGGGTCACACAGCTCTTACAAGTGAACCCTCCCCCAAATCTCTAAGCAGCTTTCTGCAAATGGCCCCTTCGTTGTGGGTTTATTCCGTCAAGAGACTCTCCTTCACCTGGACACACCCACGCGTGCCACTACGGCATGTTCACTACCATCCCTGCCACCGTTCCTGAGGACGGTGTTTTCCTATTCCTACTTCCCTGCAACTATCAAAAAGAGAAAAAGAACAGCTGAGAGGTCACTGATACTCGTCCTGTACGAGGAAGCTTGGTTACCAGAGAATCAGGCCTGACTCCGGTTTTCCTAAGCTTATGGCAAATGAGAGAGGAGATGCCACTGGTGCAGTGGTGTGAGCTAAAGAAACGGTCCTGAGTATTTCTTTTAGATGTTCCTCTAGCAACACACACGGCCACAGCAACATAACCCTCTTCAATGACCCAGAATGTCAAGATGAAGAGGGAGATCGCCCAGTGTGGTCTCAGACTTTGAACGGGTATCAGGCACTGAGGATGAACGTAGGTACCGCGTCACCGCCACACTGGGTTTTGAAGCCCCCAGGCGAGCGCTCTGCAGAGCCGCGGCCTCGGCCTCGCAGGCAACGCGCGGCTTCTGCCTTGCCGCCCCCCACCGGACCACGCCCTCAGGGCAGCAGTGTTGCCACAAACACTAAGAGGGGTAAAGCTGTTCACAGCCTTCTTCTTGGTGATTTTTTTTTCACATTAATGGAAGGAAGAGATTTTTTTTTTTTTTTTTTTTTTGGAGTCTTGGTGTGGAGCTCTGTCTGTGCGCAGAACTGGGGAAGCCCCCTGTGTGCCCCAGAACTGGCTCAGCGCGGACCCTCGCACTGGATGGACCACAGTGTGGCTGTAATGCCGGTCTGTGGTGAAGTCAACTTCTGGAAACGTGTCAGTAAGGAAATGCCGCACGAGAAAAGCAGAGCATAGGTGAAGAATTCAAAGGTTACAACGTGCAAATGCCCAAAGCTCTTTCTGAATTAAAATTGGCTCTGACTGAGACCAGCAGAATCGTGAGCCAAGCCCGGCGCTGCCACCCTGGCCCCTGTTCTAGAACAAGGACCGGGATTTTCCTGTGGAGCATCTCTAGCTCACCCGCCCAAGAAACGCCAAGGGAGCAGAGGGGCGGCAACTTGGTGCGGGTACCTCATTCTTCTCCCAAAGCGTTAGCTCCTTCTTGGACTGCTCCAGCTTCTGGGACCGGTCCACCACGAAGTAGATGAGGTAGATGCTCCCGGCCAGCGAGAGGAGCACCAGGACATTGGCGATGACCCTCAGGCAGATGGTCACCGCTCTGTGGGGAGAGGCAGATGGGAGGACAGCACACGCACCCGAGGACAGGGACACATGGGGACGTCGGATGAGCACACGTCTGCCCTGCGAGATGGTGCTCCTTCTCGGGAATGGTCTTTCCAAGTTGTCAGTCCCCCAGAGGAACAGCCCCATGCTCACCAAGGTGGCCCTCAACACCTAGAGTAGAACTTCAGGCCTGAGAAATCACCTTGGAAGGCTTGTCAACGAAAACTGGATACTATCTGCATCCTATGACTTTAGAGGAATGTTGCTAAATACAACTAGTCTTTGCTTAATTTAGCAAACTAGACCCTGGTGCTAAAAATACCTCTTTTATTATCAGTGTAAAAGAATAGGAAGCTGGTGAGCTTCAAACCTCTCCCCTGTTGCTGGGCCTAGGGAAGGAGGAACCACTCCCAAGTTCTGGTGTTGAAAATCATGGGGTTCCCACGCATCGCACTCCTGGAAGAGACGCCTGACGGTGTGAAAGGAAGACAGAGCGAGGCTGGCAATTTCTGCACCAACGCTCAGCAACGCGCTCGGCTCAGGGAGCCTTGGTACTCACAGGTTCTTGCTTTTCTTCTTCTCGTGTTCTTCCAGGATGGCCTCCTTCAGGAGAGACATATAAGGCATTATCATTAATTGCAAATCTTTAAGTGTGTTTTATGATCAGAAATGATTTACCCAGTATTTTACATTACGACTCCAAAGTCTAGACTTCACTATAAGAGTCTGTTGGTATCAATGCTTTAAATAATAAATGGATAAAAACTGAAACTGAGGATTGGGAAGAGGAGATGGAAGAGTGCATTATTTAGAAATTTGAAATGACCTAAAATATGTTTTTCTTAAAAGGGGACACTGTTTAGCTGCCTGCTCAGTAGACCCCAAGCTCTGAGTGCTTTAACTGCACTGACTTTTTAAGTTCACACGCAAAGCTTACATCCCTCACATATGTGCTTATTCATTTACCAGTTTTCTACATGCAATATAGTAGCAATCCATGATGCACATTTTCAAAAGTACACAAACTGAAACTTTAGAAAGTTGAAATTTAAAAAATACAGAGAAGGTCCAATATTTTCTTCCTGTACTTGGCTGGATGGAGGGGCAGGTCAGGGGCATGTCTCCTCGCTTTGGCTGCCCTGGTCTGAGCTAACGTTGCAGCCAAGGTCATGGTCTGGAGAGCCCAGACTCCAGGCCACACCACCTCGGCGGCCTGCACAGGCCCAGCTCACCCTGATGCTGTTCACGATGGCAGCAGCTTTGCTCTCTGCGGCCTCTGGGTTCCCGATGAGGTAGTCCCAGGCGCAAAACACCCGCCAGCAGAAGGTGTAGTTTTCACTGGAGGCACTGGCGAGGCTCGTGCGTGAGTTCTTAGCCATCCTGCAAAGAAGAGGGCCCATGGAGGGTCACGGACGGACGGACGGCGTCAGGAACAGGCTGGGACACCCGCCGAGCCTCTGCATGAATCGGAGCACCAGCTGGTTCAGCCCCGCCCGTGTCCCCTCTGATCGATGTGGAAACGGAAATGGCCTGTTGTTGATTGTTGTCGTTTGACAAGAGACCCCACCACAGTGGTGGCCAGGAGGTCACTGAAGGTGTGTGGGCCCTGGGACCCAGTACAGCCCACCCTGTACAGCTGTGTCTGTGAAATAAAATGCTTTCCTTTGAGCTAGTCGGTCTTCGTGGAGCCTCTACCCATGGAGGGTAATGCTACCCTCCACTGTCCACAACTACACGGACTGCTAAGTGCACGACTCTGGTCTCCCCGCACCCAGCCTGGAGCCTGGCACAGCGCAGCAGCAGCCAGTGGGCGCTGGTTAACACAAGCGCAGGCCCTCAGCCTCCGTCTCATCTGCACAGTGGGTGCAGCTGCGCCTTTATGGGTTTACTGACAAGATTAAACCAGATCTCACACATCATTCTTGGCACATATTTTGAGACACTGAGCCAGCCGTACCTTTTTAAGAGGATGATGAAGCTGTAAGCAAACACGGCCATCCCCACAAGGAAATACGCCAGGGGCAGCCGGTAGCCCGCTCTCCCGATCCTTCGCTCGCGGCCGTAGTAGCCGTAGAAGAGGACTGAGTACTGGAGGTAACCCTGTGGAGACAGCCTCGTGTCGGGTCCGACTCCCAGGACCGGCGCGGTGGCCGGGTCCTTCCCTCCCTCCAGACAAACATGTGGCAGGCTCAGTCTCACCCCCAGGGACCAGACGGTGTCCAGGTCTTGGGCTGAAGCCACCTGTGCCTTGGGGATGCTCTTGCTGGCTGTGGTCCCAAAGGGCTGGCCTGCGATGAGCTGGGAGAGAGAAGAGGGTGGCACGTGAGTCTCCCGGGCGGATCCCTGCTGGATACTCGCTGATGGAAAATCAGTCACGGGGGCCAGGTTTTCTTTTTGTCTGATCGGGGCTGCCTGGGTGTCCCCGCTCTGGGCTGGACGTGGCTTCTATGGTGGATTGTTGAGGTCACTGTGTTTCTCCAGAGGCTTGGGAAATGGCCCCCTTCACTTTTTTTTCCCATCTACTTTTTGAGGATAAAGTTTGTTGAGAAATGGGTTTTACTTAAACAGGGTGTCCACAAACTGGCTCACAGGCCAAATGCAGCCCAGCATCTACAGCCCGAGAGCTGAGAATGGGTTCTGCTTTTTTAAATGGTTGAGAAAAAAAAAATCAGAAGAACAGTATTTTCTGACTCGCATCATCACATGGAGCTGATTTCGGAATCTGTAAGTGAAACTGTGCTGGAACACAGTCCCCTGCCTACTCTCCCCACCCTCCCTGCCAGGTGCCTCCTGCCGGCGGCTGCTCTGCACAGCCCCGGGGACGTGCGGCCTGGCAGGGTGAGCGGGCGCCGGGCTCAGCACACGAAGACCCTCCCCGGCCAGGATGTCAAGGGCGGCCATGTAATGGTAGTAGTGCCCTAACGGCCTTTTGAACAAATGGCACTTTTTTCTCTAAAAAAGATACATGACCTGTATCTTTTTTTTTTAGGGGGGGGGCATACTTTTGAGAATGTCAAGGATTTTTCTAAGGATTCTTTTTCTTAATTTCAAGTCAGATGACTTTCCAGATAGTTCTTACCTCTGGGATGACAATAAAGGCCCCTGTCATAACCATGAGCACAATGTTAATTCCAAACAGCCACCTCAAGAAGATGAAATAGGAGGCAACCCCAGATCCAAAGTGACCTGGAGAAGGATGAGAGAAAGAGCACAGTTCACATAAAACCCCCACTGGGCGAGACGTTCTCCATGAAGCAATACGGCGGGTTTTCTTACTGAAAATGCCGTAACTGTACCAATCAAGGAGTCCCCTAAAATGGTCATTTACATGATCAAGATGTTCATTAATAAATACCAGTTATTTATACAGGAAAAATCCCTAATTACACAATTTCCATAATGACATATTCATCTAAAGTACTTTTTATCGAATTTACATTTCATGTATGTTCAGAAGTATCAGCATCTTTTGAGAATTTCATGTATCTTTATTTTATATAGTTTTGAGAATCTCAAGAAATTTTCCTAAGGATTCTTTTTCCTTAATTTCACGATAAATAATTTTCTAAATGTTAATATTAGGGAACTGGATGAAGAAGTTATGGAAAGTCTCTTTACAACTTTTCTATATATCTAAACTTATTTTAAAATAAAAACAACTTTCTATTAAGAAAACAAGGGAGCAGAGAAAAAGTCTTATGGAGATGTGGGTAATATTTTGATGACTTTCTGGAGCAGGTAGACTTTCCCCATCTTGAATTTTTCCCAAATCTGGTTTATACTTCCCATGGTAAGTAGAAAAACATAAAACACTGCAACCCCCGCCCCCCGCCAATGACCTGTATCACTAAATTAAAACCACTACTGCAATTAGTTTTTAGTACACTTTTCGTGCACCTGGCATCTCTCTAAGCAGGTATCTTAAGTTTTCAACATACTACAAACAAGTTTTTCACATGCAACAATATCCTTCCATAAAATGAATTTTACTGTTCCTCAAATGAACCTTCCCAAGTTTAATGCACCCCCCACTACCTGGCGTGGAGGAGAGGTTTAGCTTTTCCCGGGACGGGGGTTGGGGGGGGGGTCCCAGGGCAAGTAACTCTGTAGCAGCCACTTCTGTCTAAGGGCAGGTGTCCTGGAAGCAGAGCTCGAGGGAGTCAGGAGGCGCCAGGCCCGGGAGGGGCGCTCAGGGGGAAGCAGCGAGGGCGGGGGAGAAGCGGGGAGGACCAAGCGGGGAGGTGCTCCCCGTTGAGTGTTGTGTAGCCTGACCCACAGGGGCAAGTGGTCCCACTATGAACACAGGGTTGGACCTGAACACCCCTCAGCCAGCTGCCGCCCCGGTGGGGCTGGGGGACCACATGGAACAATGTAGGCCAAGGGGGATCCTCTACAGAAGGGGACAGAAACCTATGGAAATGCAGATTTTTTCATTTTTGTTTAGAAATTGCCCACGTTACTCCCTTATTAATCTACACAGATTTTTACTCGATCGTTTTGGCTTTGTGACTAATAAATGAGCTGACAGAGACCAGCAGCGTCAGGGTGGAATGTGGACCGTCTCACCCTGGGGGCAGGGACAGACACCGTGTCTCCCACTTCCGCGGCCCCATGCCCAGCCCAGGCCAACCACGGGGGCCCGTGCCCTGGCTGCGCACTGTGAGGCCCGGGCCACCAGCCCCTCCTTCCCCTCCGCGAAGTGCCAGCTTACTCTCAATTTTCTTTATCCTCATCTCCCAGGGAATGAAGATCACTGCAAAGTTACAGGCGACACGAGCAAACTTCCGCCAGAGCTGGGAGAAGGGACAGGAGAGAGTGACTGCATCCGTTATCACGGCAGTGGCTGGGCACGGGGGCCCTACGTGGCGGGGCCCCAGATATGCGTCTCGTGCCTTCACTTAGGGCTTCCCACAGAAGACGCAACTGCTAAAAGTCCAAAGATCTGCTGTTACCGCAAAGGACACTAAAGCGGCCTGTGGGCCCTGACACCGCCCCACCCCCCGACAGCGCCGGCAGCTTGTTCACGTCAGCACATGACTGTCTTGGGTCTGTGCTGGAAGCGAACGATGTCACTGCAGAAAGGAGGGCTACAATGTAGTCACAATATGGCACACGGGCCCGACCCAGACGCAGACGCGCGTGGTGATGCCACACGGGAGCTGGGCGTGTCTGCTGAGGCCAGGGGGCCTGCGAGTGAAAATCTGAGTTTTATCAGAATCTGGAATAGTTCTTCCTCTGCTCGATTCAAGACCCAAGTCCAGTGCAGCCGCTCCTGTGACGACCACATACGCCTTCTCGGCCCCCACAGATACATTCTGCTGCCTGCCAACTCCCTAGCAAACATTTCTAGCCCCTCTCATACGTCGCTCATGCCCCACCTGTACTGCCTCACACCATTCCTGTGCTGTCTCCTGAGGCACAGAGAGAAGACCAGAGTTTCCCCCCTTTCCATCCCTGGGCGCCCAGAGCCGGTGCTCACGCACCCTCTGGGGAGGCCTGGGCCGGGGGCACTGGCGTCTCTGGGCCGCTGCACAGTCCTGAGTGTAAGAAGCACTTAGGTGGAAGGTCAGAGACCTGAGATAGCGCCTGGGCTCCACCTCTATCTTATTCTGTGCCCCTGGGAAAATGTTATTTTCTTTTTGGGGGGATTTGGTTTCCTCATTTTGCGAGAAAAAGAACTCAGAGCTCAGTCCGTGGTGCTAGAAGTGTGCTTTAACTATAAAACGCGGGGGGATTTCACCATGGAACAGACTGAAGCAGCACAGCGCGTGCGGGCAGAGACGTGAGGCCCTCTCCGCGCCTCGGGGCTCGTGCGAGGATGCGGGGGCCTCCCTCGGTCTGAAGAGCAGCGCCCCCCACGCCCACTCTGGCATGGCGCCCCAAGGGAGGGCCCGCCACGGCTGCGCCTGACGGAGCTTCTAGAGGCAAAGGGGTCGAAAAGCGTGATCTGCTGACGACCGGGACTGCGGAAGGAGTGGGAACAAACACCGCGCTTCTCTCACGACCGACACTGAGCTTCCATGGCAAGGGAATTACCAACGGTGAGAGAAAAGCTACACAGCAACACAGAAAAACCCTCATTATGGCGGTACGCGAGAAATGAAGCCAAAATGTTTGTATCCTGTTAGTCTGATGTGAAATTATATCTTCAATAGTCAATGACTGAAACAGATTTTTAAAAAGATACTCAATTGAGAAGTAGGCAGTTACAAAAGGAGACATGATTTTTTTGTTTTTTAAGACAGTTATGAAAATTATTGAATGTCTTTATGAACAGATAGTTTCAATGTATGCAGCTACATAAAGCTAGTTTTTATGAAAAATAAGACACAAAAACCTCAGCACTGTATCATAAAGTGAGCATTTGAATATGTCTGTGCCTTTCTCATCTCAAGAGAGAGGATGAGTGAAATCTGCATACGTGGGCGGGATTGTCAGGAGAGAGGCAAGGTCAGTCTCTCAATGGAAGAGACTCACTTCTGAGGACAGGCTCACCCAGGGTCCCATAGCCGGTAAGTGACGGCATCTGGGACTGAAGTCCAGGTGTGGGGACACGCAGGTGCTCACACCCAGGTGCACGGGCAGGTACCACTTGCTGAGGCCACGGGTGGGAGGCTCGGCGGGTGCTCCTTACCTCTGCCCCTGCTGCCTGGTAGCCCCGGGTCCTGGTCAGCCTCCCTTCAAACTTCAGCACGATCTCCTTTGCTCGTCTGAGAGAAGACAGATGTTACAGTGAGCACGGCTTTACTGCACTGATAATCTTTGCAAAATGTCTGAATATTCAACAGGAATGGGAGCCTGACAACATAGGACAGATGCCAGAGCAGGGAGAGTCACGCTCATCTCTCATCTCCTGGTCTTTGGGAGAATGGAAAATCTCCTTAAAAAGTATTTTCAGAGAGATCAGACCTGTGGTCACCAGAGGTGGAGGGTGGAATTGGAGGAAGGTGGTCAAAAGGTGCAAACTTTTCATTATAAAGTCGGTATTTGCGATGCAAGGTCCAGCACAATGACTGGAGTTCACCTCCTGAATGGTGCACAAGAAAGCCATCAGCAGAGTAAGTCCCAAGAGTTCTCATCACAAGGAAAGATTTTTTTGTATCACTAGAGGATGATGGATGTTAGCCAAACCTATTGATTGTGGTAATCATTTCATAATATATGTAAGTCAAACTATTATGTCTTAATACATAATATTATACGTCTTAAACTTACACAGTGATGTATGTCAATTATTTCTTAATAATAGTGGGTAAACAAACTGGCCCTTCAAAATGGGCTGAATTCACTGTGCTGGATGGTTAAATCCACACCGAAATGAACAACAGGGTTACAGAACACACATCTGTGCCGTGGGACAGACTGACACCAAAGACCCCTAGAGCTGACTGTGACTGCCAAGGAGACCTCATCGGAGACTGCGCTGAGGCGATTCTTATTATCGGAGGCGATGACCTCTGTGTGATCATGTTCAGTGTCCAAGACGTTTGCTCTTCTGAGTCATTCAAGTGGTTAGTCTCCAGCTTCCGAGCCAAGTAATTCCTGCACATCCGGGAGTCTCAGGCAGCCTCCTAGCAACGCCCACTGGCGCCAAGTCCTTCCTCGAGAGGGACAAGGAGCTGGAGCCCTTTCCACAAACAGAATGGTCTCTTCCAAACACGACCTGACCAAGCCCACGCTGCCATTGCCCCGCCCTCACAGCCCAGCCATGCACTGTCTTCATTCTGGCTAGAACCGGAGATGCAGGCAAGGGTGAAGGCAGAAGGCCTACCCTACACAGCATCTAAAAGACAGAGGCCTTAGAAGTAAACCGATCGTTCCTCAGGTCTTTCCTGCAGACGTTTTCTGCACATGTACTTGGGTCAAGCACGATGGACTACGGAGGCCTCGAAGAGCCCACTAGCCAACAGGGAAGCAAGAGCCCTGAGGTGACCATAACCTCGCGTGTGGGTGCGGCCAGAGCTAGGACTCAGGGGTGAGTCAGACTGAGGCAGCAGGGAGGGCTGGCCCAACCCAGCAAGCCACAGACCAGTGCTCACGCCTACGGCACTGCCCACTGGCTTCCCTGCGGGGCGCAGACACATGCACTGCACCCACACAGGCAGGCGGCCGCTGCCCCACACTCAGAGGCGAAGCGCCCGCTTTCATCTGTGCCGGCAGCCTCCCTCGGTCCCCAGCAGCCAGGAGTCAGGGCTCTGGGTCCCCCTCTGGAGGTGCCGGAAGAGCCTTGGCCAGTGTGATTAGGAAGGTGCTGCTCCGGTAGCTTCTCAAGGTGACAGAGAGGAGATGTGTGGGACAAGGGATGACAAAGCTGGCGCTCAGGGACGAGAAGCTCTCTGAGAGCTTGACGGCTGGCTGTGCGCACGGCCAGGCCCCGTCGCGGAAAGGCCTGCTTTGTTCTTTTGTTTCTCAAGCGCCTTGACAGAAAAGTTGTTCGCTCTACTCTGCCCGCCCATTAAAAAGGCTTAACCTCCCATCGTTCAGATAATCATTAATCATCAGCATTCCTGTATGACTTTTAGAATTCTGATAGAGCACAGTTTTTTTTGAGAGATGAAGTGTTAACTTTGGTGGAGTTCAGTAGAACAGAACATCGGGGACAGGCTCAGGAAGCCCAGGCCTGAGCCTCTAGTCCAGCTCTCAGAGGCTGTGTGTCCTGGGTGACCATGAGCATCTCTCAGTGCTCTCATCTGAAAATGCCTCCCTTAGACAGAGAGAGAGAGAGAGAGAGAGAGAGAGAGAGAGAGAGAGAGAGAGAGAGAAGTGAGCTGGCAACAAATACAGGGGGTAACTGAGAACTTCTGAGAGGGCAAATGATAGACATGACCTTGGGTGCTTCCTGTGCCCCCTGAGGGCCAGCTGCACTTCCGGTCAGACTGGAAGGACAGAGCCTGGGGTGGAAACCTGGTGGAGGCGTGACTGCACGGGAAAGACGGGCTGGCCCCATGGCAGGTACGGGGCAGACAGGGCTGTCCGGTATCTAGGCAGGCTCAGTGACCAGGTGCAGCGCCTGTTTCTAGAAATGTCCACTTCACAGGGCAACAACACCGGTCGTTTAGACCATTCTGCTAACACCCTTGCTGTGACCCCAGCCCCCGGTCATCACTTGCTCGCAGGAGTGACACCATGTACAAGACATCAGACACGAGGCTGAGCGCTCTGGTGGTTTATCTTGCTGGGGCCCTGTACCGCCATCAGGGATCTCAAGCTTTAGTGAGCAAAGGGTTTTGTTGGCCCGAATGCCCCTTCCGAATGCCGGCCCGCTCCCCGAGCTCCTGGCGCGGCCCATCGGAGGGCCGCCAGGGATTTCTGAGCCCTCGGAAGCCCCACCACTTCAACTGTAAGGAGAAAGGAACTGGAACTTAGAGAAATTAGGAAAACTAGCCCATACCACACAGCTAGCGATTGGAAGCAGCACTGTGGGTTCAGGCAACCTGCCTTCCGATCTTCAGGCTCTCACTATAATCTAACCAGCCTCCGCAATATGGCTCTTGCTGTGACGGCGATCTGGCTTCCCATGGAGATTTTTCCTGCCAGAGGGAAATTTTACCAAGCAGGTAAAATTAACATTTACTCTCATTTGGATTATATACCTGTCTTTAGTAGGTTTGATTATTTTGTTCATCTCTGGACACAGTGCTAAAATCTAGTGTTTGAAAAGGAGACAGAAAACCAAAAAGCCCCTCCAACACACACATGTAACCCAGACAAACAACAAGGAAGTGACCTTGAGGCTGGCCTGGCCCAGCAGGACGCCACCACATGTCCGTGCTGTGTCTGAGGTCACGAGCGCCTGGCCCATGGGTCTCTCCTCCCGTTTCCAGGGGTGGGGCAGGTGGTGTAGTGGACGCAAACATGCAGTTGCCAGTATCCGCTGTGGAGGCCTTACCTCAGTGCCCTCAGCTTCTGTCCCATGGTCCAGGGTCGGCAGCGAATGTTTGCCATGAGATCTTTCTGGAACTGTATATTCTGGAAGATCTGCTCCGGGTCACTGCTGTCCCCCATTTCATCAGCATTACAGCTGTCATCCAGGGAAGAGAAGGAAATCCGATTAACAGGAATGTGCGGGAGGGGAGGGGTCTGGAGAGGGGGAGAGAGGATTCGGCCGTGTTCACAGCCCATGGGAACACATCACTGGGTTCTATTTCAGCGGTGAGTCCGTGGAAAAAAAGAGTTTTTCAGGATAAAAGATATTTTCAGAAGACATCATATGAGGAGACAAGAGGATGCATATAACAATTCCTCAAAACAGCATCTTTGGTGGTAAAACAATGCCTTTTTTGGGCACATGAAGGACACAGGACCCCCCTTGCTCCGAAGCTGTAGGTGCAAAATTAAAACCCGAACTCTGCCTCCCAGAGACCCCCTCCCTGCATTCCCACTTTGATTTATTTGAAATCTGACATAACAGGGACTGATTTCTATGAACAAGACACAAACTAAGCAGATTTACATGGGGAAACAGCTACTCTCTAGGAGAATTTTTCAACATGTGGCAATATTTATTCCTGGTAACTATTAATATGCTAATCTTAATGCAACTTTCCAGGAAGACATATGAGTATTCTGCTCTATCTTGATCAATGATACACTTTAAAGAAAACAGAAGAAAAAATAGTTCTTTTGCTTTTCTCTAATTTAGATTATTTCACTTATTCAAAGGAGAATTTTGTCCAATTTGTCTACATTCATGGAGGAGTTAATGTACCTTTATAAATATATGGTGAATTACAGAGTCCCCCCACTTCTAACCAGCCTGCAGCCCTCCCAGCAGGCACTGTGTTTATTAGGACAGAGCGTGCTCTGCTCTCTCTGGACACTGCTGATTGAGTTAACAGAAACAGATCAAGCATGTCTATGGGTTTGGCCAGCAAAAAAGCCAGGCTGGGTGCAGGCTTTTGGACTTGGACCCCCTGGATAAGAAGCAGGTAGAGCTGTCTCCCTCTGTGCACTTGCTGAGGTAGCCACCCCAGGTGTGCAAGAACCTGGAAGAAGGAGCTTCTGAGTTCACTCCAAAGGAGTGCCAAGCAGGATGGGGACTTAGTCCTCTGGTCAGATACAAGCAAGGCTTCCCTTCCCCACCGCCTGCCCTGGCTGCACAGCGGGTGGCCAGGGCCAGCTCACCTGAGCAGCAGGGACTCCTGGTAGAGCTGGCTGGCATTTCTCCGGATGCTTCTATATCGCTGGGAAGCCTTTGAGGGTTTCATGGGAGCCAGCGGGTTCCAGTGGTTGCGAGTAGTGGGCAAGGCGCTGGGAAGAAGCAGGAAGGGGGTTTCTGAACGGAGCTGCAGGCTGCCCTGCCCTCCCCGGCTCTCAGAGAGGCAGGACTGTGTCTGCAGCTGGTGCGGGCAGGGCAGAAGCCAGAAGGCCAGTCATGAATATGAATGTCAATCATGAATATGAATGCTTAGGTGGCGGCAGCAGCAGCGATTGGCTGGGGCCCGGACAGCCGAGGCGGCAGGCTTGGCCAGGTGGCCCAGGCATCGCTGAGCAACCGCATCTGTGGCCGTCTCTGCCCAGGTAGCGGCCTGTGCTTTGCAAAGCACTTTACACTGGTGACCGCACTGGTGTTCACAACATACTTAGGGAGAATGCAGAGCATAGCTCGTTTTTTCCCAATTTGCCTCTCAAGAAAGAGGCTTAGTAGGAGTCAGATTCTTGACCACGTTCACACAGCATCATTCAGGAGAGGAAGGGTCAAAACATTTTGTTTTTATGTATTTTTATCAGCTTTTTCTTTTTGGCTAAAAGAGTCACACCTGTAAAAACGGAGGGAGAGCCGTGCCACCAGTATCGTGCAGGCTTATCCTAGGTTCACCAATTGCTCACACTGTGCCACGCTCGCTGTGGTTCCATCTATACACTTCCTCCCTGACACCATTTGGAGGTAGTTTTCAGAAATGACATGCCATCAAGCAAGACATTACTTCAGCAAGACATTAATAATAAATTAACGCTTTATTATAGTTTACATTTACTAAGTGTGGTCACGTCGGTCAGAACAATGATCCGAGGAGGCTGAGGCTAAGAGGGTTTAAGAGGCCCCGAGAGTTTCACGGAAGGAAACTAAGAATTTGGCAGAGATTAGGTGGCCACACAGACATTCTGAAAATGAACCACCCGCTGTAAAATGGGAGGCCCAGGCCGTCCTGGTCCTTGGGCGAGACCAGCAGCTCCTCTCCCTTCCCCACCCAGAGCCCTGGTCACCAAGAGGCCCCCATTTCTAGCCATTCATAACCACCCGCCATTCACCTGCATTCTCCACCTGGGGATTCATGCCCAAGGCCAGGACCGTCCCAGTTTCATCGTATAAACCTTTATGTCCTAACTAACTCAGGAAGCAGTTTCTTTGCAGTAAAGTTACTTGTACGGTATCTGAATAGCAAGGCGCGGCACACACAGAAACGGCCTTTTCTGTTGAATAACCTGCCTTGCACACATGAGAGACTCTGCAAGCCGATGAGGCAGTGCACAGGGCGGGCACCAGCCACAGGGCAGAGAGGACACCCTGGCAGCCCCAGGGGTGGGGCTCAGGAGGAGCCACCCTCCCCTCGCCCCCCCACGGGCCCATGCACCAACCATCGGACAGCTCCGCTGTCCGCACGCACTGCCTGCAGAGCTGAGCCGGGCCCGGGGCAGAGCCCTGAGGGCCCGGGGCTGCCCGAGAGGTGCTCAGATCAGGGGCTCAAGGAACGGGGGCCACGCGGAACCCGGCGCCACGGCTGGCCTTCCGTCCGGTGACCAGGGCCTGTGCGGCCAGGCCCCTGTCCACAATCGGCCTGAGGCCGTTTGGCCTGCCTGGTAACAAACACTAGATAAAATCTGTGCGTATCAAATGGACAACATGGCCTATATAATAGGGCTATTCCTACTTTGGGAAGACATTCTTTTAGAAATCTTTACTTACATGGACTGCTTCTAAACATTGCAGAGATTTTTTTCATCCTTTTTATAAAGGCCCCCCTGCCTTATTTTGAAATATTTATTCAAAATTTGGAATATTTTAAGTTTATGCAATTAATGATTTTGAACATTTTTGTCTCTTCTTTGTATATATATCTGTGTTTTCAGGGAGTAGAGGACAGAGCAAATTCTGAGATACTACAGTGATTAAAACAAATTATTGCAAATCCATTTTTTTTTCATATTTATTACTCAGGTAATTCTGTTTGATAGTATAGGTACGATAAAATGGATTTATCTGAAGACGTTTTACTATTTTTAATATCTAAGTCATAAATTAACTGGGATGACTAAGTATAAATAATTACTACTTTTGATAGGATCATCCCATTTTTTTGGCTCACTTTAAATAAATATAATCTTCTAAACATTTTTTTTATTATCAAAATAATGTGAAGTCATTAAATTTAAAAAAAGTAGGAAAATTAGAAACAGGAAAATCCACCTCAAACAGTATTACTTAATGAAATTAACTGTTAGCATTTTCAGTTTTTTACCAGGTCTATTTTTCTTTGTACATATATATTTTGCAATTTTCCTGTATACATGCATTTCCCTTACTTTTCCCATAAATTTTATATCTAAAGCAATCTCCATGCTTTTGAAAAATTTTCCTGTAAACATATTTTACCAACGGGCCGCTGAGTGGAAGAGTCTATCTGAACATGAGATAGCCAATTTTGCCCCAGTTTTTATACATCCATTTTGACCTACGACCTACAGTTTTTGCCAGTGATGTTTTTTCTCCTTTTAGAAAAAACATTACTTCTTTAGAATTAGTTTTCCAGAAATGAAATTACTGAATAAATTACCACTAAAAAAAAATTAAGTATGTTCTTTCAAGAAAAGTCAACTCTCTTTGCATGATATTGACATGACATGTTTTCATGATTCTCGCTGAAATGAGCCCTTCAAGCGATCGGATCCGTGGACTGTTGGTGAAGCCCGCCTGGCGCCCTGGTGAAGGCGCGGCTGCCCGCGCTGCCTCTCCTCTCACTGGCTCAGGCTCTCCTGGCTCCTAGGGCCTGGACGCAGAGAGGAAGCGGGGGCGGGGCGCAAGGGGACAAATGACCACACGTATCTGATTCCACTGAAGATCTTTAGACATGCTGGATGATTTTACGTTAAGCCAGTGTGTGTCCATAGATAAAATGACTAAAAATGCCTCAAATGCTGACAATTGGGACATTTTTAAAAAGTCAGGGTCTCGTGTCGCAACGAGCTCAAACTATCATTCCCTAAACCAACTGCTGAGAGGATCTTTGTGGTGGGAGAAGGCAGTAAGGAAGGGAAAGGAGTTACAGGGGAAAATCTAGCTGTATAATATACAAATGCCTCTCGGTTAAAAAAAAAAAGTAAAATTTCGTTATAAATCCCAAGAGGTTTTAACAGAAACCATCAGATGGCTTAGCTTACAGGAACAAAAACATTCATTCGCTACGTCATCAATTAAGAGAATTTTTTTCTGTTACTAAATGAATCCTGTCCCGAGGCACTGATGCTTCTGAGCCCGTCTGAGTCCCATCGGCAATGCCAAGCTCCCTTTTCTAAGCTATCAGGTTTTTAGCCCTGGATTTTTTTAGGACAAGACTTTTCCATTACTGAGATATATTTACATGTCTGTTGTGTTGTTCCAATGGCTCTAAGTAAGAGCTTTTGTTTGAAGTTTTGAAATACATTTTGGGTCTGGAAAATGTTACTCAGGGAAGATGCTCAAGAATAGATTGTTTCTAAATATGTGAACAACAATGTCATTTGTACAGACTTGAGAACAAATGATTTTGTTGTTGTTGTTGGATTCCCCCTAAATCACCAGCTGCAAGTAAGCCTGAAACTGAGCAGACACCCTGAGAGAGCCACTGCGGGTCACGTGACACTGTCGCCACCTTAGACAGCTGCAAGGTCAGCGATTTCCTAAGAGCGACTGCCATGGCCAGTGCTGTACCATTATTCACATTATTTGAACTTCATCATGAACGCTGGATCTGAAATTATTTCTTGAGAGCTAACGTAATTCGTGTAGAGAATCTGCAAAGACTGTCTACTGCAAATCTACTTAACTGCCTGACATATACTGTGTGTGCTGTTTACACCGCTACAAAAAATACTCTTGAAGTGCCTTCCCCTTCCAAACAGCACGGAAATCTAGTACAGACACCGGCACAGCAGCCAGTTACGGACACAGAACTCACCAGGCGGCTGCGTTTACTGCAGTCACCGTGGGTGAGGGAAGGAGCCTGCCAGGCCCAGAGACACAGGGGTGACTTCCCCGAGCTCCCGGGAAGCAGCCCAACCCTGGAGAGACCGCTCTGCGTCGCAGAGCACACGGCCCTGGCACAGCTGCAGGAAGGATGGAATTTGGTCAGTGGTCACTTTCATGAGGTTAAAAGAGGAAGACAGACTATCACTAATTACGACAGGATCTTAGGACATTTCTAACTTGCTTATCTGGAAACTGTGATAATGCAGTCTTGGCTTATGGGGTAGGGAATCAAAATGTACAACTGAATGCTGGCATTTAGAAATTCTATGGTAAGATGTACCACGAGGTAACGAAATTCCAGAGCAGAGAGCTGAGCTAGAGTTACTGAGAACAGCGCCACAGTGCGGACGAGTTGAGAGCCGGCACTGAAAAAAATGGCCTGATGATGTGTGTCCAGACTGATCGCAGCTCAAAACAGGGAGCGCGGGGTGGGGCTGGCTGGGGCCCTGCAGACCGCGCCCCCTACGGCCTCGCTCAGCAGAGCTGACAAAGCGGGCCTGTGTTTTTCCTGCTGGATTACCCAGAAGATACACAATCCTATAAACAAATTAATTCCCCCTGGAGACTTCTGAAAGCATCCTAAATGCATTATCATTTTTCTGCATAAAGGAAGCTTAGCAAGAAAACAATCATGGAACAGACTTAAATGATCTCCAAATGGCCATGAAATAGAGAAGGCAGTCAACAGAGATGCGGGAGGAAAAACAAACCAGGCTTTGCTTGTTAGGATCTAGGATTCTTTTACTCTGAAAAGCTGTGTTGACTCTTTTTTTGGCCTTTCTCCCTCTGTCCGCTTGTAACAGGTGTCCTTTGGCCTCTTCATGAAAAATTGCTCCCCCTTCCCTACTGCTGCCCACGGCCTTTCTGCTGGCCTTGCCTACCGTATCAAGGCCAAAGCGGGACCCTCAGGCCTGGCCTGTTCTGGGATGAGCTGACGTGGCCAGGACACGGAGGTAAGAAATGAATTAGCACACTCTTTCA